TTGATAATGAGCTGAAGCAGCTTGAGAAAAAAGCCTATAAATTATTAAAGAACTTCCACTTTTCTGAACAGGGACTAATCTTAAGTGGCCTACTTCAGAAACTTGCTGACATTGTGGTTAATAGAATGGGTGGTCCAGTTGGTGATGCTGATGAAATTTTGAAAAGGTGGACCATGAGGAGCCGTGAGTTAAGAAATTCATTAAGAACCAGTGTTCTTCCCATTGGCTGTCTTGATGTTGGACTTTCACGTCACCGTGCCCTACTTTTCAAGGTTGTAATATGTTTCAATTTCTCATTTAATTGGCTTTCCAAATGGACACACATGACTCATTTTCTTTTTTCGTTTTGGCAATAAACACTTAACTGCTTGAGATAGAATCTTTTGTGTCTTCTAATCATCATTCCAGTGTATTCGGATGCATTTATTCAATATGGAGTGGGATGGCGGCCCATTTAGCATGATCTGTTTGTCAAGTGCTAGTTGTGATAATGGTCGCATGATTATTATATGTGGGCTCTGAAGACGGTGATGATTTTCTTTTAACCTGACGGAAAATAATAAAGCAACCTTGAGTGTAGCATTTACATTTCCGATTTTATTATGTGAGCTATATACAGAAAGCTAAAATGAATTTTCCCCGTTTGTCTTTTAAGAAGCATTACCCTCAATGTTGACATTCATCTGAAGCTATTCATGTCATTCTTCTGGGTGCTTAGGTACTTTCAGATAGAATTAATGTTCCCTGTTTGCTGGTCAAAGGGAGTTACTACACTGGAACTGATGATGGAGCTGTGAATTTGATCAAAGCTGATGATGGGAGGTAATGTTCTTTTGGTAAAGTTTTAGTTCCCTACTTTTAAGCTTGCTCAGTGCAGCTTTGGTCAGCCGCGTATCTTCTATATTAATGTTGTTTGGGGATCTTTGGGGTGTGGGTCTTGTCCGATACAATCTCCTTACCTCCTTCTATGCATATTTAAAGCGATACAAACAATAGTTTTTTTTTTTTAATGGAAAAGGGCAAGCCACTAGTCTAAGTGACGCCTATTTGGATTTATTGTTGAGTTAAAAATGCATTATCTCACTTTATCATCATGGTGTGCTAGAGAATTTGGCTCTCTAGCATGGATAGAACTCATGTGGTGAATTTGGTTTATGCTGTGACTTGTGGGAGATAAATTATATATTGCAAACTGGTGGGTATTGTATAAAGGTACATTAATAGCACTCTATGCCTTTTGGATGCTCTAATTTCAATAAGGTGCTCTATGTAAACTTAACTTTTAAGAGAATAAATTGGATCACAATCCATGCGTCTTACATTTCTTGGTTTTTTTGGCTCCTACCATATGAGGCACAATGTTAAAACAAGTCCACTGATCTTGCATGTACATTGGAAAGTACTCAGTGTTATTTATTTGTAAAACTGATGCAGTGAATTCATTATTGATCTGATGGGTGCTCCTGGTGCTCTTATTCCTGCCGAAATACCCAGCAGTCAGCTTCAAAACTACAGTTTTCCTGTAAGGAGCTGTACAGATATTGTGGAGGTATCAAAAGACGCACATTTGATGTTAGATGACGGAAGTAGAATGCTGGCAGTTTCTGGAAGATGTTCAGCGGTAGGCACCGCTTGGCCAGAAGAATTAATAAATGTTGGCAGTAAAAAAATACCAGTTGAAAGGAATTCTGTTGGAATGAATCAAGCAGAGAGGTCTGAGCATAAATTTGGGAATCATCTTCAGTCACTGCATAAATCAGGTGAAAGCTCTTCAGGTGCAAAAGCATCACCAGCAGGAAAAAAGCAAGCGAAAGATGTATCAACAGGCCCAGATTTTGCTCAAAACTTACACATTGTTCAATTAGAAAATTATGCACTACCTTCATCGGATCTCTTTTCACATATTAATACACAAAATACAGCTCAAGATAAAGTGTTTGAAGATTTTCCTCAGGTTACTGAAAAAATTGTCAAAAATTCTGTCCAAGCTGATCCAGATAAGTTGTTATCAAGCTGTGAAAAGTCTGTCAAATCCCCTCAAGGGGTGTGCTCTACCAGTGATAATGCGAGGAAGGTGCCAGATACTTTCTGTAATGGAATTGAAGAACTGGAGCAGCTAGAAGCATTAGACATAGAAAGCGCTTCATCCAATGCTCATCAGAAGCATGAAGAGCAATTTCTTGAGTCGTCCTTGCCCAGAGCAGCTGTGTCTTGCAAAAGACAAAGAGGGGTTAACTTTGTTTGCGACGATGATGAAAATCTTCTTAATAATAAGGCTGTAGAGGCTTTTAATGACACTGAATTGGATAAGGCTTCTGCTGTCCAATTAAATGAAACAGCTAATGGAGATCACACTAAATATGATGGCAAAAGTGATAAAGTTAATGCAGTTCTAGGTGAGGGCGTAGAATGGGAGATTCAATGGGAGGATCTTCAAATTGGTGAGCGAATTGGTATTGGTAAGTTTCTCATTATTGAAATATGCTAGATTTGTGTTGTATCTTCCTCTGCCTTATAAATGGTCTTCCAATTTTTATTTCACCCCAAAACCATGGATTCTATGTATCCAGATAATGAACTCCTGCCTATACCCTAAATGAGATAAGCAACAAATTGTTGATGGCCTGTTAAAATGCTACCGTCTAGTTGTAGTTTGATCAATGAACCTTAGCATTTAGGCATTGTTTTATGACGATCCTATAATGGCTAGCTGGAAATTTGTGTCCTTTTTCCCAAATCTGTTAGTTTACTTCTTTTTAACTCATACAAGTATCATGAATTTAGGTTCCTATGGTGAGGTCTATCATGCTGACTTGAAAGGCACCGTAAGTCCTCCCTCACCCTGTTTCTATGTCCCTGTGAAGCACTAATGGTACTGCACTTGTTACCACCGTGCATGATCTTGCGTATTTTTTTTCATGAATGCTTTAACATTACAGGAAGTGGCTGTGAAGAAGTTTCTAGACCAAGATTTCTCTGGTGATGCATTGGCTCAGTTTAAATCGGAAGTGAGCAACTGACTTTATGTGCATTTCATCAATGTTTTCATATACACACACACAAATTTATCCCCGTACATTGCATTTTTTTACCTTCAGGTTGAGATAATGTTGAGACTGCGGCATCCTAATGTTGTGCTCTTCATGGGAGCAATTACCCGACCCCCACATTCCTCTATCTTGACAGAGTTTCTCCCAAGGTTAATTTTTGTTTTACGCTTTAAATGACTTATTATAGTGGGTAGGCAGGTTGAATGATGAGAAGTGAGTCTTACTTATCTCTGGACAGCTGTGCTTTTATTATGTTGTTTTTCTATTATCTGAGAACATCCAACTTATTCTCTGTCATCAAATCATCTGATTAATTGATTTCTCTATATTTTGTTCTCTAAAGCACGTTTATGACATGGTGTACAGAGGAAGTCTATATAGGCTATTACACCGACCCAATTTTCGACTTGAAGAGAAGAGACGGTTGCGTATGGCTTTTGATGTGGTATGAGTAGAAAAAATTTAACTTATTTTCATTTGATTTATATACATCTTTTGTTTTTTATGTGAGAAATCTTTACTGTATCTTCTAGGCTAAGGGAATGAATTACTTGCACACAAGCCATCCTCCCATTGTCCATCGGGATTTGAAGTCTCCAAATCTTCTTGTTGACAAACATTGGGTTGTTAAGGTACTCTTATTGAAACTTTTCATTGAGAAATTTACTTCATTCCATTGTAAATAAATACCAAAGAAAACTAAAGCTGTAAAGTGAAAATCTAAAATAATGAGGGTGGACTGATGGAAGCCATTTCCATGTCATCATTGACAAATTTGTTGGACCTAATAATGGAAAAATCGAACAAATATGAAATGTGTAAGTTCTGAGACATAGTGATAGAATTTGGCTCATTAACCCTTAATTTTATATAGAAGTTGCATTTGTTTGCTATCCTGGACATGAGACAGAATTGGCGACAAAGTAAACTGTAAAAACTCAGGGCCTGACATGTCATAGGTTAACATGGTAAAGGTAATGCATGAACAAGAAAATCAAAACCAGGAAACATTCAACCGACATACAAAAAGTAAGGTTATAAAAGGGTCAATTGGGCAAGTCAAATAGATGCATACACTGGCAAATAAGTGAATACCTGATGAGAACTAGAATTAAGTCAATTATACGATTCCATTTCATATATTTGCATACCAACATGAAGCTGTTTATTTTTATGCATGTTGGAATGGGTAAATATTCTTCTGGAGATGTATATGAAAATTTCCCAAGCTGTGTATGCCATGTTTTAACTTAAAACGTGCGTGATTATTGCTTGCTATGGCGCTTGATTAGTGACTAGTGTGAAAATTTATCATTTCAATGCTGATACCTAAACTGTCTCACGTTGTAAGATTCTGTTTTTGGTACGTGTCTGGCATGCGACAATACCTCTTCATACTCTGCAAGGATTTATAGCGGACAATTTGTTTCCCCTTATGATTAATATTTTGTTAAAAATAGATGAACTGTGATGGTATTTTGTTTTTCTGCTTATCTGGTGTTATATTATATATGACGTTTCTGTCTCTTAACAGGTCTGTGATTTTGGCTTGTCCCGCTTGAAGCACCATACCTTTTTGTCTTCAAAGTCTACTGCTGGAACGGTAAATTTTGATGGTTAAATGGTTTTGAATAAACTCTGTGAATACCCTTCTAGTTCATGCATCTCTGACCTGTTTTTGGTTTTAATATAAAATGGAACTAAATTCTTATTTGACTGCAGCCTGAGTGGATGGCTCCAGAAGTCTTAAGAAATGAGCCAGCCAATGAGAAGTAAGTTAGATGTGAATCTGTGTGCGCTCCTCCATGACAGCCTTTGTCTATATGCAGCACTTAGCAGTTTAGTTTGCTGCCTTGCAGGTGTGATGTATATAGTTTTGGTGTGATTTTGTGGGAGTTGGCTACCACGAGGATCCCATGGAAGGGGTTGAACCCAATGCAGGTTGTTGGAGCTGTCGGGTTTCAAAATAGACGGCTTGAAATTCCAGAGGATGTTGATCCAGTAGTAGCACAAATTATATGTGATTGTTGGCAAACGTTAGTACTAGTCTTCGGCATATGTTTTCTTATAGCATCACATTGATTATAGACTTATTTACTAGCAATGCAGAACGTTTCATTTGAGCTTGAATTCAAACTCCTCATGAAACCCTACGGGCGATGTCTTATCTCTTGGTTCCAACTTTTACATTTGAAATTCTCTGCTTGTTCTGCATTTGTAATATTGGAAGTTGGGTTCCGACATACAGCTAGTATCCACTCTCCCCCTTTTTCTTTCATGACATCTGAATGCTGACCATGGGGCTCATAATACTTAAACCTGAAAGCTTTAGAGAATTTATATTCTAGGCATTCCTTTGATGCTGGAAAAATTGAGGGCGGGCTCGCACTAGTGTGATTCTAGTTCTGGGTTTATGTATATGTGTTTATATATTCGTGTTCTATAATCAAATCTGATAATAATTCACAGATGCGTTATTGTAGTTCAGGATTGTATATTGATTTGCATGCATATAATGATGTGTCAATAGTGGATCCTGCTTTTTTTTATTAGATCTGGGCTGCTTGTCATGCAGGGAGCCACACTTGCGACCATCATTCTCACAGATCATGTCTCGTCTCCGCCACCTTCGGCGCCTGGTTGTTAGAACAGATTCGACTGAAAAACCAAATGAAGTTGGCCATAGTACCAAATTATTGAGATGATAGTTGTTGCTTGGTTCAGAGATCCGGAGCAGCTAAAGCTTTCAACGTTTTGTGCTTTCAAATTAAAACAAGAAAACGGATTAAGAGCTTATCAGCCTGCCTCTAGCTGGGATGCCAACATGGAGAGCAGCTAAAGATTTTACCTATTGACATATGAGGAGATTGCTGAACTGGGAAGTGTAAGGCTCATTCAAAGCGGTAGGCGCAAACAACCATCAGAGCACGGTAAAAACCGTTCCAACTACCTGCATTAGTGCGGTTGAAGTTTGGTTTTCACAGTTCAGTATCAAAATTGTATTTAAAATAAAAAAAAACAAACTTTATATTTTTGGGGGGGAGAACTTGACAGCAATTGTATCTATAGTCAGTTTTATAAAGCATGAGTTAGAGTAGGGCCGACAAGTTGTCCAAGGAAAAAAGGAGCAGGGACAACTGAATAATCCACCAGAAAAAGAGGGGTGAGGAGAGAAATAGGCAAAAGAAAATAAACGGTACAAAATTGTTCATTATAATTTGTATGTAGAGGACCTATTTGGAGTTTGGAATTGTTAACATGTGATCTTTGCGGTTCAAGTGGAAATGTAAACAGAAATCTCGAAATGAAGAAAGCATTTGTATATTCGGCGTATTTGCTGCTCAGCTGGATTTGCTTGGGAAATTATTCCCTTTACATTTGTATTCGCAGTAAATGCTTGTTTGTTATTATCTTGCTTAAGGAGCTAGACCTAACTTCAAATGATCAGAATCTTCTTTCCCAAGTTTTCTTGCTTCTAAGCAGTCTATTATAAGTTTCATAGTGGGGAGTCTTACAAAGAGAAGAGAAGTTTACAAGCGTGAAAGGCTGTCTCGCCTAGTGGGTTAATCTTTTGAAATGAGTTATCTTTTGAATCTGTGCTCATAACACAATCATTCACATATTTCCGTCGGCGGCGCGGCCGCCAGTCTTGGGACTCATCAATGGCAGTTATCACGCCGTCGACAAATCAACGGTCATTTTGGTTCCGTCTGATATGGCATTGATGTTCGAACATACTTCTGACGGCTTTGGTTGGTCTGTCGGTTGAAAGTGATATGGCATGTTCTCTCATGGTTAAAAGGTAAGTTGCACTATCTCTTGTTTCCGGTGGGATCAAACGATGAGCCGCCGATTTTGGCCGATTGCGTGATGTAAACTGAATCCATTGTACGGACCAACCCCCCTATTCGATCAACCCATGCCGAGTCTTGATCACTGGCTTGAAGAAAATTTGCTTCTGAACCCATTCGTCTGATTCATTTACGATCTTGGGCCATAGTTTTCTCGGTGAGGAAGAGACGGGTAAAACAAGAGGCCCCGCTTTTGGATGACACGTAGGATCAAAATAAGTTGAGGTGGCGTGTTTCTACTGGATGGAGTACATATTAATGCCACATGGACCAAGAACGGTTGAAAGGAATATGTGCCTGTTTGGCATCACTTATTTGGAGTTTATAAGCAGCTTATAAGCTCTATAAGCTCGATTGACAAAATTGGGTCTGTTTGGATCAACTATTTTGCAATCGGGCTTTTGTCTGAAAAGCTACAATAAGTTATAAGCTAAAATTAACAGCTTATGACTTATAGCTTATGACTTATGGCTTTTGAAATATGGAGAGAGAAAAAGTTAAGAAATTTATTACCTCTTTTGGTTCTTACTATAAGCCTCAAATAACTAATTTGTAGATAATAAAAATCAATTAAAATTAGTTGAAAGTAATGAATAAGTTAGAAATATATTTTTATTTTTAAATATGCTCCTAAAAATATACTTTTATTTTTTCATGTTTCACTTTATATTTAAAATATTTTTTATGACTTCTTCATATTAAATTATTTTAATTTCATTGTATTATGTGAATTATTTTTTTAATCATATTTCATTATTTATTAAAACTCATATCTATTTTGGTCATTTTACAACCAAACTTACTTTTACTCAATCATAATCCAAACAACCTTTTACCAATCTCACTTTTGCAATCTAGCTTTTCTGAACTCTAATCCAAACACAATTCAGCTTATCTAATTTAGCTTTTTCCAATTTCACTTCTCTATAAGCTACTTTTTCAATTGCTGATCCAAACGAACCCTAAAAGGGAAAAAGAAAAAAGAAATGAAAGGAAAACATTAAAGGCTCCGCTGCTTCAATTAATTGATACACTTGGACACTAGTTAGGCTGCCGAAAAACCTCACGCTAAAAATGCCTTTAACCCTACACACATCACAAAAATATATTCCCCTGTTCTTTATTATAAGAGACATTTAATGCTTATGGCATGTTTCTATATATAAGAGACACTTAAAAGTTTCTCTACTTTTTTGTATTGATTTCTTATTTTACCCATATTTATTGTCTCCAACTCACACTCTCCCTCCTTTCCACTTCTCTTTTTTTTAATAATTTACCATTGTTCTCTCTCATGTTCTTTCTCCTTATTAATGAGGACATTTTTTAAAAAAAATTATATTTTTTACATATTGATTATTCTTAACTAATTTTAACTATTTTTTTAAACAACATAATTCGGTTATTCGTCTCTTATAATAAAGAACGGAGGGAGTATCAGTCAATCAAATTTCAGATTTGGCCCCAAAAAAAAAATCCAATTTCAGGTTTAATTAGTCATAATTAACATAGACAGAATAGAATATTGAAAAAATCTGGATATTGGCGAGGAGCGAAAGGAGGGAGGGACGAGGTATTGGCATGGCAGACTGCGAAGTTCTCTCTACCGCAATGGCCACAGTCTTTCGTATATCACCGAGTCGTCCAAGACTAGCTTCCCATCTGCCAAGACCCATATTTGCCTTGGCATCAGAATTCATTTCCCCAGCTCCATTCACAAATCGCCAGTTCCAGCTTCTTCACTCCCACAGGTATCACAACAAAGGTTTGATTCGCAGACGGTCGTCTTTCAGAAACGAGAGCAACTCCCCATCTGAGACAGAGTGCCCTGTTCCCCATGACCAGCAGCCCATAAACGAGTACCAGTCCCTATCGACTTCCTTCCCCTTTTCATGGGCTGCTGGCGATGTTGTTGAGTACACTTCTCGTCTATTCGTCACCGGCGCTTCTTTTGCGCTCTTTATCGGACTCCCAGTTTCTTGGTTTGGCTCTGTTGGGGCTGAATCGGAGCCCTTGAAGCGAATTTTATGTGCTACTTCTAGTGGGGTCTTTGCGGTGATTCTTGCGGTCGTCAGAATGTATCTGGGCTGGGCTTATATCGGCAATCGCCTGCTCAGCGCCACCGTCGAATGTATACTCTTTGTTCTCTGTCTAGCACCTCTCAAAAACAAAATTGTCGATTTCTGTAAAGGAATAAATGAACCCATGTATATGGAAGAAAATATAGCTCTTCTCTCACAACATCTCTTCATTTTGCAGATGAGGAGACGGGATGGTACGATGGCCAGGTACATTTTTATTCTTTGTAAATGTTTTAGCATTCTCTTGGAAAAACTGAAAATCTTAATGAATCAGAATTCAGTGTTATGATTTCTTACCGTGGGCAGTTAATCTCAATTGTTTATCGAAGGTTCTGGTTTCAATGGTGAAATTTCTATACGGTGAAATGACTTTTCCAACTTCTTTCAAGCTGTCCCGTGAGCTATAATTCGGTGCTTTAGCGTGTTTCTTGCATGAGTCATCCACCCAAACTACGAGGAGGGTGCCCTAATGTAATTATTCGAAGATGCGAAAATAGGATTTTCGGCTTTTTCCTGTATTATTCTATTGAATTCTTCTTAGAAATTCCAGTTTTGAGATTATTGTTGGTGCCTTAACTGATATGTTCAGGAATAGTTTCAAAATAATGCAAACTTGAGTAGATTCATGGGAATAACCGAATAAGTAACCTCATTATGTCCTTTCCCCTATTGAGTGCTTGTTCATCATCTCTCGTAGATCTGAAATTCACACTTTCTATACAAGCTGAATACTGAGTCAACTTTAAGCATTGTACAGGTAGCCATAATCAATCAGCCATTGCCATGAATACGAGACAGGTGCAATTGCCCCTGCATCTTTGTCCTTGTTTTACCACACTATTTTCTTCCAGTTATGCCCTACTGATTATATGCTGTTAGTGAAAAGTATGAATTCTTCAGGCTGTAAGTTCTGGTTCTTTATCCAGTTTAATATGACTGATGCTTTAAAGCAAGTTTTTTCTCAACAGATATGGGTGAAGACTGGTGAAATTTTGGCACGTGACCGCCTCCTAGGATCATACACTGTGAGTAGTTTTATACATGTAATTCGGGCTCCTGCGCATGATCCATTCTTTTTATTGCTTTAGACTCTGTTAACCATGAGCTAAGTAACATCGACTGTTCTGGCATTTTTTGTTTCTCACTTTGTCTGTATAGATTTGTTACGAGAGATAGTGTATTGGTAGTATTTTACAAGTGGAATCACGATGTTAGCCATAACATTCATGATATATTGATACGCAAGAATTTCTTAATTAGGACTTAGGTATCGTTTTTTCACTTCAAACTGCAGAAGGTTGTGAATTCCATATAACTGCAAGATTTGTAGCTTCGTGTTACCGCAGTCATGTGTTCAAGTAACAACTAACCGCCAACATTCCTAGTTTAGGCTATACTCTTTTGGTGTCAAGTGTCGGGAGGATTTGATGTGTCTAGTTTTGACCCTTATCCTGTTCTTTTCTTCTTTGTAAAACAAACAAACAAAAGAAAACAAGAACCGAGGGTAACAATCAACAAGGCAGTGCGGAAATGATGGATCTGCAGACTGTAGTGCTGATGTTTTGAGAGTTGATGCAGGTGCAGAGTGTGTTCTCTGATCTGGAACTATAGTTCTTAGTAATCTCTTGGCATATTGCTTTTCCTTCTGAAATCCTAAAAGAGCTTAAAATCTGCTGTTATTATTGCTGCTATTATTATTTCTGTTCTTCTGGAGAAATGAGAAAGTAACCATCTTTATTTGCATTTCTGTCATCAAAGCGATGATCTTTTGCTGCATGATGCTCGACTGACTCTGTCGTTATATTCTGTTTGTGTGGAAGGTTAAGCCTGCGCTTAGCAGATTGAAACTTACTTTGGTCAGTCTGGCTACATTATTATTTGCATTCGTTCTTATCCTGGTCAACATTGATGGGAACCAAAATAACTCGTATCTAACATCGAAAGAGGCTGGAGTTCGGGTGATACCTGGTGTTTACAATGATGATTCTGCAAAATCCTTTGAACCAGATGCCTTCTGTGGTGAACCTGATCTTCAATGATGACCTCTCTTCACAACTAAAGCCTTGACCCTCCATGTGTAGTATTAATTTCAGGGAAGAGGCAACCCGTATATACTGTAGCATATTATATAGTTCCTGTACATATTTTTGTTGTGTGGTACTCTCCCGGTCTTAAATATGGGACCGAAGGAGTACCTTCCTCATTGCCTTTGTCCCGTGGCATTGTAGTGTACTATGAAATAAACATGTCGTTTTTTTTTTTTTTCCTTTTTCGAGAATGTTCCTATTCTTTTTCTTTTTTAATTTTTTATTTATTTATAAATAAATGATAAATGACAAAAATATGTTGAGAACATTAAAAAAGGGGTAAAGCATCTCATATAATAGAAAGTGAATGAGAATTACCGCTGAGAATTTTATAAATAGGACAAATACTAAATTAAAGTTTTCATCACAACTTAAGTTTCAAGTTCAGTATTCATTTTTTTATACTTTATATTTTAAAACTAAAAAATTCTGATTCAATACTCTTTCGGCCCTTGTAGTGTAAGTTGCATTATAAAAAAGGTCTTATATTTAGATCCGGAGGAGTATTAATTTTTTCTGAGATGTTTATTTGTCATTTTTACCAGGAGCAATGTGGATGTAGATATATTTTTTTTTCTGAGAGAATTATGAGTGAGTTTTTATATCTCCAAGTTGTTTGCGTTCGGGTTGCCCACCCCGAACACTGAAATTCTTGTAGGTCTAGATTTCTCTCTTTTTCTGTTCTTTTTCCCAAACATATCATCACTTAATTTTTAAGCGATTATCTAACTCGTTAATATTATAGTATGAAGCTTTGGGTATCAATCTATTAAAAATAAGTGCTAAGATTTTTTTTTAAAACCAGAAAAAAGATAGAAGGGAAAAGAGTGAAGATTTTTCAAAATAATATCCGCAACCAATTAATAAGTAGAATTCTACTAACATTCAAGAAATTAAATTGCAGTGGATTGTGATAGCTGAAAAAAGTATCGTTGGCCAAAAAAGCTTTAAAAAAAAAAGAGTAAATGGATAGTTTTAAATCTCAAGATTCATCAAAATCAGGTTCACGGAAATCTTGATTCGCTAGAAGCAAGCAACAACGTAATTGTAAAATAGTGAGAAAAAAACGACGACTAGCAAGCATTGGGTGCGTGGTCGGTGCACGTCCCAACGCAGTCCACCCGTGTAATTCAGAGTTGGCCACCACTACTCCTAACCCCGGGCGTGTCCTTCACATGACGCCCGTGACTTTTTGCCCAAAGGCTCCCCAAATTATTGCCCTTTTCACTGTGACCCCCCGCCCTTTCCTTATTATGAATATTTCTTTCCCAATTAATTAATTACAGTAAAGTAGTAATTATTAATATTTCAACATGATGCAAGTGGGGTGGGGGCCCACACTGACCCTGCCTCGGAAATATCCCTGGGTTCATGCATCTTTCCGCTTCCTTTCTTTTCCTTCTTTTTTCAGAAAACGGATAATTCCCCCGTGGAATATATAAATCATGGAACTTGATTTAATTATATGTTCTTGAAAAAGGACGGATTGTGACTTCAATCCTTTTTATCCTCCTCCTCCCCTTTTAAAGTGATTTCCCCTCAGAATAAATCTTACAGCTCCTCCTTTTTCCCTCCGAGGACATCGCTCCTGCTCCCAGTTCGTCTCCTACAATCTCAACATATACGGCTTCTCCAGAGTGCTTCCATATTTCTGAGGCCTTTTTGCTTGCTTCATATATTCTTTCGTCATCACCTTCTTTTTTCTTCAGGTACGGAATAATGACGATCGGATGAATTAATGCTTTCCTTTAATTTTGCTTCTCCTTATTCAAAGTTGAGTATATTCCTATGTGGGCTGTTTCCTGGTTTACTATGGCTTAACTTCGGACATTTGAGTATTCGTTTGCCCGCCCCGATCTCTGGTGACGGAATACTCTGTCTAACCTTGAGTTGCTTATCCATTCAGCATTTTTTGGGAGACTTGAGTTAATTTCTTCTATATTTGGAACACGTATCCTTTAAACAAAGTCGACTTGCTAAGATCCTTGATGATGCTATTGAAGTTTTCTTGCTCTCTCTGTCTCGCTCTCCATATTAACTTTGATGTTAATATGCGCTAGCTAGCTACAGAAATATGAGCTCGTGTCTAATGAATCTTAATCTTCCAAGTTTATCAATGGACCCCCCCAAAAAAAAAAAAATCCCAAAATCTCTAGCGTTCTTCTCATCTATCGCCCTGGTTGAAGTCCAAATGCGAGTGTCTTCAAAGAACGTGAGTCAACTGTGGGAAGTATAAATGTCAGTTTTGAATTCAATAAGGATCGCCAAAGTTGCGGATTGATGCCAACTTGATCATTTTAGCTTAATCGGATAAATTGATTATGATAACTTATTTCATCTTTGCTATGTGCAGGATTAATTATAGATGCAGCCAAGGTTAAAAAGCCTGTTTTGTTCATGGATACTCATTTTATTTTTTATTAAATCATTGGAATTTCAAACAAAATTTATTCGGAATTGCTAGACCAGAAGTGGGAACGGAAAACACTGGGCAACTCAGGCAAAGAACGCCTAGCCTGTGTCACTGGATGAAAATAATGTAGATGTAAAAAAACTGCAGTAAAAAATTGCCTAATCTAAGTAATGAAATTATTACAATATGTGCTGATGCTGATATTTCTTCTTCTGATATGATCCGAAAGCTTTCTCTAGTCCATCCAATATTTACGCTTGATGATCAATCAACTGCGCATGAAGGTCATGCCCAGAGATTTGAGGACTTAGTTACCAGTTAGTCATTCGTGCTCTTGTACTTTATCTTGCCACAGACCTTATTTTCTTTCGTGCTTCATCCTCGCGTGCTAAATTTTTTTCTGTAACCAAGTTGTGTTGTAAATTTCATTATTGCTGAATAGATACTAACTTATATCCTGTATTGGGAATAGGTTTTGGAATGCCTGGAGCTTAGCATCATTTGATTAAGTGATGCGTCCGTACATAAATTGTAGAAAGGCTGTATGCTGTGCTGTCTACTTGTATAATGGAGTTAAATGCAAGTTATGACATTGAATACTCAAGTTCTTTACAAAGAATCGAGCATGAGCCGTGGCCACTAGAGCCCATTGATCCAAATAGGGGAAAGTTTCCTTGTTGTATAGTTTGGACTCCACTACCTGTTGTCTCGTGGTTGGCACCCTTCATTGGTCATGTTGGAATTTGCAGGGAGGATGGAGTTGTTTTAGATTTTTCAGGATCTAATTTTGTGAATGTTGACGATTTTGCATTTGGTGCAGTAGCGAGATATCTGCAACTTGATCGTAATCAGGTAATGTTCCTTAGACTTTCTCACGTGATTTTCTAAGAAAAATAACCTACAGAACTAATTTTGGCAATAATAACAACGTCCTAGTTGGGAACGGCTGCATTTGGAGGTAGAGCCTAGAGGCCTCCTAGAAAGTGAGAACCTGCGGGACATGTCTTCTATAAATCTGAGAGTAGAGGATTTTACTGTGGGATTTAAAGCTTGAAATGAAGAATTCTGCACCCTATTTAGGCCTTTCCCTACTGTGGTGATTCCACCTCGTTTTTCGAAGAAAATTTATCCGGTTGGAGTCACCAAACTAGGTGAAAATATTCCACCGACTCCAGTTTTCAAGCCTCCCCCCTCCCTCTCCCCATTAAAATGTCATGAAACTGTTTGAAAGTTCCAACTCTTAATTGACAACCTTGATCTGGAAACTGAGATGTTGCAGTGTTGCTTCCCGCCAAACATGGCTTCACATACATGCAAGAATGCATACAGACATTCGGAGAATGGGACTGCAATAACATGGGATGATGCCTTGCGATCAAGTGTGCGGTATTTTGAGAATAAAACCTACAACCTTTTCACATGTAGCTGCCATTCATTTGTTGCCAACTGTCTCAATCGGCTGTGTTACGGTGGATCCATGAATTGGAACATGGTCAATGTAGCAGCTCTGATTTTATTCAAGGGGCACTGGGTCGACCTCTGGTCAATTGTGAGGGCTTTCCTGCCATTTGTTCTGGTTGTTTCCATGGGTATCCTCGTTGTTGGGTGGCCATTCTTGCTTGGGTTATTCTCATTCTCTCTCCTTTTGATGGGGTGGTTTGTGTTGGGTTCTTACCTTGTCAAAAATCTATTGGAGTGCTAGAAGCGCTGTTGAATTGAAGGGTCAGCTTGCAAGTGGCATAGTGATCGATAGCATATGTGATCTGTTGAATTGAAGGGTTGCTGAAACCATGTCACGTAGCCGCGGATTATAATCAGAAGAGACAACACAGCTTTTTGGTGAATATCTTGGAAGTGTTTATTTTGTTTCAATAACAATAAATTGAAACTTCAAGAGTATACTGTTATTCCATCTGTCCATATATCTGTATTTTTTAAATGAGCAAATTTGCATGCTAAAGATGATATGACCAACACTGTACATCTTTATTTAACGTTGCATCTCGATGCCATCTGGGCCTTGATTAGGGTGCACGGGCAGGGACAGGCCGTCCGGAGCCCCTGCCTCTAGCCCATCCTGAGAGCGACAAAAGCTGCATTTTTCAGCCCGGCCCATCCTGGCCAGTGACCCGAACTCAAACCATTTTGAAAGGCAATCTTTTTTGCCCCCTCCCTCAAATGACGAGACCAACGACCGGCAGCCTGATTTTACTTGGAGAGCGAAAGAAACAACATCGGAGAGCATAAGCCAACGTCGGAAATATCAAAAATAGACCCAATACCATTTAAACTTGACACCTTTGGAGTACCACTTGCATGCTCAGATTCTATTCTCTCCCAGAATTATAAACTTTTAAAGTACACATGAAAGAATTATTTGCATGCATGCATGCATGCATATACTTGTTATGGTGTTTATTTGAATAATTTCAACCTTTAATGTTTTAACTTTAGAAAACTAATCCATTTTCTAACAAGACTGGGATGGCAAAGTGGGTGACTCAGACATGCGTGAGAACAAAGCGGACGAAAATCATGGTTTATTTCCAAAAATACAGCTTCCAGATCAAAGGTGACCACCAGCCGAAACAATAAACAATCTGAAGCAGAAAAAACAAAACATCGGAGGTAAGCGAAGATGAAGTCTGAAGAAGTGATGACGATGATGGATAAAAAGAGAAAGGTGATGGAGAATGAGGAAGAAACGCGCGAACCAGTAGATCTGGAAGCCGAGGTGCCAGAAGGTGGAGGCGAGCTTGGAGGAGAAAAGAAGAGAGAAGGTGGAGGCGACGGCGTCGAAGAAGAGGAAGATCGAAGGGAGGTGCGCGCGCGCTCCAAGATGCCGCGTGCCTGGGGTCCTTTGCTGCCGCCGCGGATGAGGGTGGATCTGGGAGGGCCTGCGTTTTTCTGATGGCAAACTCGTAAAATGGGAGTAAAATATAAATTATTTAATAATTTTAAGATAAATGTAGCACGGGCGGCCCCGACATTCATCATTCTTGTAACCTTTTCTTTTTGGGCCAAGCCCTTCGAGCGAGGGGCGTCCCACAATTATTCAATAAATTCGATTGTTTCCAAGCTCAGTCTTAATCTTTTGATTGCTTTCAAGTTCTGCTTGCCTATTTGTATATATTAAAAAAGAAAGCAAGTTCTGCTTGCCTAATTTTTTGTTGTTAAAAAGAAAATATTGCATCTTCAAAAATTTTCTGGCATGACTACAGAAAAATTGTTCTATTTTGCCAAATTATTTTTCCTCCCCTTTTTGTTTAAACAAGCCATGAGATTTCTAAACACCTATATTTTTTCGATAAGATTTCAAAACACTTAAATTTGGAAGTAGTCAGATAACAAAGAATAGTTGATGACCCTGCAACGCACATGGCCACAAAACTAGCTTGTTTGATTTCTCACCCTCGTCTTCTCCGGGCTTAACATCGGACGACATGCTACATCTTAATCTTAATCTTTTAGAATATTACATATCAAAATTTCAACCTCTATCAGATTCTTACTGTTTTTAGAGGGAAAATGTATCACTTAAACATGATAAACTTTATTACATGGTTAATAAAAGTAGAGTATGGACTAAATAAGTCAAATGTGTGGGACATATTCAATGGGAAGCTTTGCAGACTGAGCTCAGCAACATGAACAAAATGCAAATGAAAATCATGCTCATGCTCCATACTTAGGAGCTTTCCAAAGCTTAAAGGCTACCTCATGCAAGAACCTATCTGCTGGTATGGTGAGATTGCCACCACGCTGCATATAGATTTTTTTAAAAAAAAAAGAAAGAAAGAAAAAGTCAGTAAATTAATCAGGTTAACTACAAATGATTGAAACATGGAAGAAGCAAGAGGTAGAGCATGGGCTTGAAGTAAATCATGCACCAAAGGCAGATCAAATACATTATCACTAATTAGAAATGAGCTTTCTAAATATTTTAACTTAATAAAAGAATATAGTATCTCAAAAATATACCTCTTTAAAGTCCTCGAATGAAAATCTACCTGCATTATCCTTGCGAGTCACACCATGCTGCCATTGAGCGATCAACATGGGAGAATGATGCCTGCATGATGAAAATGATGTGAACAAGCAAGTTTGTCACAAGAAAACGCAAGGTAATTTACCAAGGGCTTAATTACTTTATTTGTTTACCTAACATCCTTCCGGGGGGTTTCTCCTTTCATGGCGTAACTCTGAGAAGGAAAGAGTGTTGAAAGATATGAGTTCTTCTCATTAAAACTTTTTGAAACTGAAAATTTGGAATGGTCATCCTCCAACACATTCCCAAAGCTCATGACAACGGACAAGTGAAGACGGGAGCTGATGTCAGATCCAGGTTGCGCTTGGCACATAATCCCAGCAACTAAGGCATCGGCATACTCCACATCAGCCGCAATCACTTTTGATTCATTACTTTTCACCTTCTCGCCAGCTCCAATATGAAAGAAAACAACATCAAACTGATTATTGTCTACCACCTTTCCTTCTTGAAAGCCCAGCAACTTGAGTAGCTCACGGGCTTCTACATTAACTTGCAAATCAGCATTATGAGCTCTTAGTAACTCATCTAATTGGAGTACATGGAAGCCAAGTGTGGCACTAAAAGATTTCAAACTTGAATTGTTAGTCAGCACGGCAGCTTTCATTCCCATGAACCTGATGTCAAAGGAAGTTCTTTGGTTAAGATAATTTGCTATGCATCATCATGATGACAACCAGAAGAAACAGATGAAGAGAAGCACCTATCAGGTATGGACTGCTTCACTAAATTCCTTTGACTATCCCCATCAGTGTTTTGCTCACTCTAGGAATGAATTTAAATTTATCAGTAAAATGTCATCATGAAGCTAGATTCTCTAAGAAAGACAGTGAAGCACAAATGGACCTCACCATATCTAAATACGTCTCATATGCATCCATCAGCACAGCAAACTCCCTAACAATCCTCTCATCCTCGCTTTCTGAAAACTAAATTCAAGTGAATCTCAATGTTACAGAGGCAACAGATGGCAAGAATAAGATGAGCACAATGGTAGAAATATTGTTACATGAATCAATCAGCCATGAAACTTGGATTGCCCACCACTGACATGTACCCCCAATACAATAACGGTCTTTCCAAATCATTATTTCTTTTCTTCCAAATAAACAAACTTTGGCGACAAATTTCTATTTCCTCATTCATGTGCCATGATATTATCGCAAAAAGAATTAATGTGACACGCAGAATTTTAGCTTTCACCGATCATTTCATCTGAATAATGACATTATACTCATCCAAGCGAAAAGCAGCAGGAAACAACTATCAGGACCATCCTCGTTCCGCCTTACGTTTGCAAGCAGAAGTTATTGAACAGTGAACTCAAACAAATAGCCACCAGATAGTTCAAGAAATGTTTCATGCACTTACTACATAGGTAACTCTATACACCATCACCATTCTTGAAAACAAATTGATCCCAAAAGTTGAAAATGTGACGAAAAAGATCAGAATTTTATTTATACATCTGACAATCATTAGTTGGTGATGCTTGAGATAGACATATGGAATCTGCTATATTCTACAAACATCTTGAAGATTAATACTGGCAGATGTTGTCATAAGGCTCCTAAAATTTCTTTTAGCCCAAATGTGGTTACTCCAGACAATGAACCCCGAAATGATAGTTGGTTGGACTTGAGAACAGATTAAATGCTATATGAGCCCAAGGTCGAACCATCATCATAAGAGAAAAGGCTCATCATTTGCCGGCACCTCGACACTATTACACTAAGATTCGGAAGAGTGAACGAGGAAAGTATGGTTACTGTCTACGATACCTAGCGAGAAGGCAAAAAAAAAACTTAAAATTAAAACATTTTCACGCATTTTCGGATGTGATCTGCTTTGACAGTCAAGAAGTAAACAAAATTGAGAAGAAAGCGCAAAATTGTAAATACAAGCCACAGCTTGTTGCAAGATGGGATTTCAAGCAGAAAGATGAAGTGCTTCCGTGTTCCATGTATTTCTTTATCGCATTCAAAAACGCCTCAGTTAATTCTTCCCGTGTGATCAATAACTAGAATTGGGAAAAGAAGAGAGGGATCACCTGAGGGAGGAGAGTTGGGAAGGCTCAAAAAGCCACAGAAACCTGCGGATGCGAGAGAATGAAGATGAACGTGCGACGAATCAATAAAACGGGCCAACCCGTCTCCAAATAGCACTAGGGCGCGGCTCGGCTTGTCTGCCATTCAATTGTCTCTTCGTATTCTCCTTCCTGGTGTCAGATGCGGCAGAGAGAAGACAGAAGGAAACGGAGCTGCGGCCGCTGGACGAAACGGAACTGATTCCAGGTTGCGTATTCTCTGATACGAGGAATATTGCATACGTGGATATTTAGTTATTAATGACTACCTGTAGTTGATATAAAACTTAATTAATTAATTTGAATACATTAAAAATATTGGTTAAATAGTTAATATATTCTTCTAATTTTTAACATAAGACCTAATTATTTGGTTGATATTTATTCTAAATATAAGACCTATTTTTTATATTTATCAATTTTTTCTAAATTCTTTTTGTGGACACTCCCTCAACCATAATCAAGTAGGAGAAGGAGGAAGGATATTAAGAATGATGATTATGTTATTTTAAGAAAAACATGTCATATTTGTTATAATTAACTATACCTAATTTTTTAATTTAATCAAATTAGTTAAATAGGTCTTATATTAAGTACTAAGGAGTAATATATTTTTTAATACATTTTAAATATTTTTTTCTAATTTTCTCCATTGTACTTGATTATGATTAAAAAAATATTAATAAAATTAATTTAAAAAAATAATAAACATATAAAATAGGATAGGATTAATATTAGCCCATGAACTGTTTTCTTTTGTTTTTGTTTTTATTTTTTTATTCTTTCTAGAAGCTTATAAACTCTTTAACTATTTTTGAAATAAGAGTAAAAATCTTAATTGGACATTTATAATTTTTTGCTAAATTAAAATATTAAAAATAGTAAAATTTAAAGTACCTAAAATTGAAAGGATTGTTAAATATATCGAATTACTAAAAATAAAATTATTTTTTATAAAAAGTAAAGTATTAACAATAGGATTAAATTAGAAGATAGCGAATCAAAATTCGAATTCTCGTTGAAAAAAATGTCCATATTTAGTACCTGACACTGTCTCGAATAGGATTGCTTGAGGATACCTATACTTTGGTTAAAAAAAAAAAGGACTGAATTAGAAGATAACTGTGAATTGGCCAAATACACATTTTTATTTGAGTGGTGTTTGGGTAGAAATTAAGCTAACAACCTCAGGACACCTGCGAGCTTTTAAACCGTTTAAAAAAAAATACAATTTTCTATATAAATATTTGAAATGAAAATAAAATAACATAGAAATATAGAGATTTGAAATAAATAAACAAGTAAGTAAACAGCAGTTAAATTGAAAAATTAAATTAACTAAACAATCAAATAAAAACATAACTTTTTTTGGGGAAAAAAAAAAACTGGGGCATGGGCGGGTTGTATCCATTTTCTATTTCTTTGAACGCCATTTACTGATTGCTGTCGAGTAAATTACAATTTACCGTTGGCAAAACAAAAGAAGGGAAATTACAGTTTACCGTTTGCTGCTTCTTAACAGAATCCACCGTCTGACCGTCTCTATTCATTATCGTCTTCCGCTGCCATCCTCGAAACCTTCCCGCTCTCTACGACTATTTTCACCGCAATTCTAGAATTTCTTTTGAACCATCGATGTCTTCTTCTTCATTGAACGATGCTGAAGCTCTTCGGAGCCGTATCCTTTCGAGTAAGCTCTACTTCGATGTGCCTCTGTCCAAGGTGAACTACTTGTGTTTGAATCTTTGTTTGCTCTTTGAATTATGTGGCGTTTTGGACTCAGAAATTTGATAAATCAGGTTCCACTTCTCTACTCGAACTCGTACGATATAGCGTTTCTCGGCATTGAGAAATTGTAAGAAATCGTGCACTTGATTACTTAATCCAAACTTCTCTTGTCATGTTAGAAAGTTCTCGGGTGATGGTAATTCTTTATGTCCTTATTAAGCTCACTTCGTACCTTTTCACTTTTGTTCTTGGGTGGGGGCGAGATAAGACGTAGACCAAAACCTTATGCTGGTTAAGGTATCAGCATAACATCTCGACGTCATTTATTTTTTTGGGGGTATCATATTTTAGTAGGTCGTTATGGATCACAATTTCAAAGGCAAAGTTGTGGGAGTCTCAGATTCTGCTATGCTTAAGAAAATTTCGAGAAGTTGTTGGGCCCATCAACTCCTCTTTCATATCACAAGTTGAAATCTTCAGTTTGGTATATTATTGTATGAAAGCTTTTTTATTTTTTTTTGGCACTTAAATTGGCCTAGAAGATGATTCAACTATATTGTTTGCTTTGTTTTCTTTGCTCTAACTTTGATCCGAGCACCTTGGCTGAATCCTGACTTGGTGACTTTGATGTTCTTGAACTACTCATTTGTTGATGGAGGCACCCGTTTGATTCATCAAAATGGGGAAACATTTGTCAATTCCTCATCTCTTTTGGTATTTTGGATAAAAGATGTATTGTTGAGCCCCTTGAAGCTTCCGAGGATGATCTTCTAGTGGTAATCACTAGTCAATAGTTATGTTTCGAAATTACTGCTGCACATGAATTTATTGGTATTAAGTTATATTATATACCTGTGTTTTAAATATGATGGACAAGAATTCTAGGAACCATTCCACCCTCAAGAGGAAAAAATTTTCATGTTTCTTTGGAGGTCAATATTTTGAATTTTGTTCATTGAAAATAATGGACTTATCTTTTTGTCTACTGTTGGCGTAATTCATGAAGATAAATGACGATATTTCTTAGTACCAAAAGAAAAAAATGACAATCCTACTTAAAGTAAAGTGATTTAAGCACATTACATAGTGCTGCTGAATCTATTTTTCTTTCCTCCCTTTCCCTCATAGGTACATTCAGAATCATACTTGAATAGCCTGAAGGAAAGTTCAAATGTTGCTAGGATAGTTGAGGTATGTTCCTCTGGATTGCAGGTGGCAGGCCTGAAATATTTGCTTCTTTTTTTTTTTTTTCCTTTTTTCCTGATGTGCTTATCAATGCTCCCTTTTCCCTAACTGTGGGGCTCCTTTTCTAACTTATTGCGAAGTTAGTGTCTAAGCTAATATAAAATTCTATCTTGACACGGTAGAGTAAAAGAAACTGGTACGATGAAATGGAAAGCCTGCTTTTCTTGTTCTCTGTAACAGCATACTTTCAATTGACTTTTTACTTGGTGGTTTCTATACAGGTCCCTCCTGTGGCATTACTTCCTAATTGTCTTGTGCAAAAGAAAGTTCTTTTCCCTTTTCGAAAGCAGGTGAAGTAACAGTTTTTGAAGTCTGTTTGACTGATCTAAAACAGGATCATACTACTGATACTCGTAAAAGGAGATAATAGAGTAAAACAGTAAAATATCATTCATTCACTAGACCCCCATCACACCCTTCAAGTCCTTATTTATAGAGATATTAAAGTAATTACCCAAACTACCCTTTTACCCTTAATTACTCTTACTATTTCTAATTCCTATGTATCAACTCCTTTTCAAACGATAGGTTGGAGGAACTATATTGGCAGCAAAGCTTGCCAAGGAGAGAGGATGGGCCATTAATATAGGAGGAGGTTTCCATCACTGTTCTGCTGAAAGAGGAGGTGGCTTTTGTGCATATGCAGATATTTCTTTATGCATCCACTTTGCATATGTTCGATTGAATATGTCAAGGTACTTTTATATCTATGATATACAGTCACAAGTTACCATCTGATCTGCTACTAAGTAAACATTTACCTGTGTAAATAAGCAGCCTCTGTATTTGTCTGCAACATATACAGGGTCATGATCATTGATCTTGATGCACATCAAGGAAACGGTCATGAATTGGACTTCGCCAATGATAGTATGGCCAAAACAATTTCTCCTGGTGTTTGAATTAATATTTGTAGGATTCCGCTCATATGGTTTGTAATGACAGGCCGTGTCTATATCCTGGATATGTACAACCCTGGAATATATCCTTTTGTAAGTCATCTCTACTCCTCGAATCTGCTGTGCATTGTCTCTTCAAAAACCACCAGTTTCTATTTGTTTAAGCACTTGTTCTCTCCTATTCATTCCCCTCATCTATTCAAGGATACTGACTAAAATTCTATCAGCATCCTGAAGGTGATATTGTTATGCCATACGTTTTTCCCATCATTGTCCTTTGCCTAGGTTTTGTTCATCATTGTCCTAGTTTCTCTATCAGTATCCCATTGATTTCTGTGGATTGAAAAACGTCTCCGTTTTCTTTCAAACCAGGGTTCAAAAACTTGCTGACCTACAAAAATAGGGAGTAACCGCCATGGAAAATTAAACAAAATATGCATGGAAAAGTGCTATTGATACAATATTGGAAATGGATTTATCAGTATATGTAGCATTTAGTTTCTTACTGTAATGCTTCGCTATTATTTCACAAATCTGGTACAGGGGGAGCATATGTAGTGCATTAACAACATATAATCTTTATTTATTATTAACTTGAGCTGTGAAACAAATCTGGTAGGGTTTTTATCCTTTTTCTGTATCTAGTGCAACTTATGACAATCTATTATATCCTTTTCTTTTCCCCCCTTTTCACCTATTCAGGACTATGAGGCGAGGAATTATATAGATCAGAAAGTTGAAGTGAAGGTGCCTGTTCATTATCTCAGTGAACGCCTTGATTGCGTTGGTCCTAATTCCTAACTGCTCTGATCTGCTTTTATGTTGATTACTCGTTGTCTGATCCCTTTTTCAGAGTGGGACGCTTACTGAAGAATACCTGCGGAAATTGGACGAAGCACTTCAGGTATTTCATCGTAAAAATTGCTATCTTCTAATCTTTGTTGGTTTGAATAATTTACTGCCCGACTGATAATAGGCGCATCCGTTCAATTTTTTATGTCCTTCATGTAACACTAATTATATTTTTCCAATTATACTCTTACCTTTGCCGACTTTAAACGTATAAGGTAGCACCAATTACTGAAATAAAGTAAGAGCGTATTAGGAAAGTTAAGAGAAATCTTGACATATCAATTGTATTTCTTAAGCTGTACATTAAAAAGAAGGAGGCAGTGCCACTTTAAGTTCCAGACAATAAGTGATTTACCAAAATACTACATTGGAACTGATATTCATCAGATAGATTTGTCGGCTGATATTTTTCTTTTGGATGTAATTCAAGGTTGCGGGGAATAGGTTTGACCCTGAGCTGATTGTTTATAATGCTGGGACTGACATCCTTGATGGTGACCCATTAGGCAGGTTGAAGGTAAAGTCATTTATGGGCTTACTTTACTGCAATAAATAAACAGCTTCTATTCATATTGACTTAAGTGGCCGATCACCTTCACTTTCTCCTATCAGGAGTAGTTTCCATGTGAAACAAATAAACCGTTGCAAGAGAATATTTTTGGTTGGTTTTCTTTCAATTTACCGTAGGGTGCTTGTGTTGGTTTGTCCATACAGATCAGTCCTGAAGGGATTGTGCAAAGAGATGAGAAAGTCTTCCAATTTGCTTGTGAAAAGAACATTCCAATTGTCATGCTCACATCAGGTTTGCTGCTTCAAGTATTTTCTCAGCTTATTTCCAATACTTTTATTGCGTTGATTGCCTTGTCTTCATATAACCTCCCATGTTTCAGGTGGTTACATGAAATCCAGTGCTAGAGTCATTGCAGACTCAATTGTTAATCTGTCGAAGAAATGTTTGATACAGACAAGTAAAGGCCACACTTCTACATGAAATGCTCCTGCACTTTCAGGTTTCCCTGCACTGAAGATGCGTCACAGTAGTAGCTCCATGTCCTAAAAGTATATGGATTAGAATGTTGCTATATCAGAGTAAAATACATGTACGTATAGTTTATGATAAAAGCTTAATATAAATGTAGTGGAAAATGAATTTTGCCTTTGCATGTAGGATTTGCAACCTGCGAGTACACTTACGGTGAAGATGTATGTATTAATTAATAATGACATAGATGAGTCTGAATTTATAATGTATTTTTATGTGTGACCCTCAGATCGGAATAACCGCATAATTAGTGTCTGTTCCTCTTGGGCGGGATGATGGTCTGAAAAACCTCAAGAACGAAGATATAACAGCCGAGAATGCAGGTTCCGATGATGTTGTTCAAGGACTAACAACGTACGCTTTTTCTGCCTGCTATAAAAAGGTCGCTGGCTGCGACATAAAAGGGGGAAAAAAAAATGTTACCTCCCATCATAAATATAAGACTTAATTAAAAATTCAATTTGATCCTGAATATAAGATTTTAGTTCACTTTATCTTACATTTCATTTTTTTTTCTCAAAATGGTTTTTATGATAATTGTACATGTTAAACAATTTCCATTCTAATACATATGATTAATAAGAATATTTTAGAAAAATAACACTCAGTAATTATAAATAACTAACTTAATTAATTTTTTTAATATTTATAAATTAATTACCTAACTTTTATATTAAAAACCGATAGTTTTCGGAGATAATGATGTACATGGTTTTATTAAAACTGGATATTTTATATTTTAAGATTGCTGCTGACACTGATTTGTCCAGAGCCACAGGATTTCCAATAGAGATGGGGCCGGTTCCACCAAATTGTCACCTTGGCCGAAAGAATTCTGACGAGGAAGTTAAATTCACGTGAATTTCTATCTAAATGTTCATCACAGTAAACAGATGTTCAAACCAATAAATTGGACAATTTTCAAAACGAGTGACGTACGTAAAACTCAGATGTAACTGTTGTAACAATTATTATGAACAGTGCTCGGTGAGCATTTAATATTTAATATTTTCGTTTTTCAAAATTTTTTTTAACAGGTACATAATTCAAAATAAATATAATATCTTAACTGTAAGTATTTTTAAAAAAAATTATTTAAAAATCACTGGTTAAAAATTTTAAATGTAGACCATTAAAACTGATTTTGAATTATTTAGATTTCATCGTAGCATGAGCATCATAATATTCATATTTGTTGAGTATTGAAACTGGTTCCGGTTAGAATATACTACCTCTGATCCTTAATATAAGATTATGTTTGACTTTTATTTTAATTCTAAATATAAAATCTCAGTTCACTTTATCTCTCATATTTATCTATTTTTTTCAAGATAATCATTCTAATAATGGTAGTTCTAACTATTAAACTTGATTAGCAAAGATATTTTGGGAAAGACAACAAATATTTATTACAAATAACTAACTTAACTTATTTTTTTAATTTACTCAAATTAGTCAACTGGTTTTTATATTTAGAACCTAAAGTAGTATTATATGTAAGCTACATTAGCCCTCCACGATTAAAAAGGTAGATTCTCTTGCATGCACAGATGGAGTTGGAAAGCACTTTATCTAATTATTTAATGTTGTATTCTTGACCTTATCCGCAAAGATTGTAGGGCTTTAATTGGTCACTTAACGTAGTAAATCTGTATAGAGCTAATGCGCATCATTTGTTTATGGTATGCTTCTCAAAACCAGGACGACGAAGACCAGAATTAATATATGTATATATATATATATTTAAGCGAGCACAGATATTGGTGAGGAAACCAGGAAAAGCAAGGCGTTTACAAGCTCGAAGGGTCATGTGATCATTTCAGGTGCTCCTCCAATGGTAAAATGGTAACGTTCAGCCTTAAACCGCCAATAATGCGAGCCTTGGAACAAAAGACGAAGACGTACCAAGGGCCAAGGCAAAGACAAAAGGCCTCGGTCCAACCAACGACACTTTCCCTTTTAAGGAGCCCGTCCTCTTTATTTTATTTAATATAGTACTCATTGGAGTACTCTATGTGGGTGAGTCATTGGTTCGTGGAGTTTCATGATTGAATCATGGTTAATTAAACGGAGGTGGAATTAACTAGTACCTCTCGTCTTAATCACATGAACTTATTTATAATCTATAAACAAAATCTTATGATTAGAATCAAAAGTAATATATGAATAGAGAATAATAATGCTATGTGCTAACAGGCCATGAAGAATCCCAACACACCGTACGAAAGGAAATTCCAAATAAAGCTTCCACACATGCAAAGTAGTTGTACATGTACAGTACCCACATGTGGCCTTGCTCCTCTTTTTGATTCTTTGTCACTTCTAATTTTTGGTTCTTAAGTTTTCTTCGTATGTAAATGAAACACATTTTTCAACATATTATTCAAATAGCTTCATGTCGAACGACTTTTTGGCAAAAACATAGCCAATAGGCCAACGTGCATGAGGCTACAAAGGGGACTTGGCATCACGCGAACAAATTAAAGAGTTTGTTTTGTTCCCCTTGCTTGCTTCCTTCTAAATAATTGCTCAATGGGTATTGGAACCTGTAGTCAGCAACATGCTCCAGAGGCAGCTAGAATAAAGGTTGTCGTGTTTCGTGCGTGAATATATAGTAAGCTCTCCCAAATTTGAGTTGTCATGGCCCTCCTTTCTTCAACTTTTTACTATTTAATTTGATTATACTATTTTTAATATAAGAGTTCATTTGATTTTTATTTTCATTCTAAATATATGATCATAATATAATCTGTCTTTTATATTTATCTATTTTATTCTAGAATAGTCTTTGTAATAATGATAGTTATAGCTAATATACTTGATTAATAAGGATATTTTAAGAAAAATAATACTTATTTATTATAAATAACTAACTTAATTAGTTTTTTTAATCTATTCAAATTAGTTAACTAACTGTTATATTAAGAACAGAAGACAGTAATATATATGAAAAAATAACAATGGAATACATCACCGAATCTTTCCTCTGTCAAGTCGCCAGAGATACAAATCCGAGCATTTTAAAATTACGAACAACACGTTCCCTCATATCGCTAGATTATTGGGGGCCACCCCTTTCCATTCGCCTAGTTCACAAGCCAAATATGTAGTTTTTTAATTAAACGACGAGACGTGTGAACACGTATAATTAAATGTCTCTGATAGAAAGTAAATAAACGAGCGGGTGAAGAGGGTTCTGATTCGGACCGGGCCTCTTCGGTCAGAGTTCTCATGCAGGGTTTGAACTTTAGACTATTAAAACCTAGACCCCTCCCCCTCTCCCGGGGATAGTCAGATCACAGGGATGGTTTACAAATAATGTATGGAGATGGCCTAGGTACGGATATTTCAAAAAGACAAAATATTTATATCCTATCCATTTAAGATATACTATCTCAGGTCTAGGAATATTTAAAAAAGACAAAATATTTATATCCTATCCATTTAAGATATACAATTTCAGGCCTTTAATATAAGACCTTATTTGACTTTTATTTTAATCCTAAATATAAGATTTCAATTCACTTTGCTTCTTATATTTATATAATTTTTTAAAGATAGTCCTTCTAATAATTATAGTTTTAGTCAACAAACTTGATTAGTAAGGATATTTTAGAAAAGATAACACCTATTTATTACAAATAACAAACTTAACTTATTTTTTTAATCTCCTCAAATTAGTCAATCAGTTCTTATAATTAAAACTGGAGGTAGTAATACGTTTTCTGTGTCTTGATTTATCATAATCTTTCTATTATCTCGATGAGAGAAATATATATGATATGAATTTAATCTCATCATTTAAATCTTTGTCAAATATTGACAATATATATCGAAGATCTGGAGATTAAACCTTAACTTGTTATATGAATCTGATGCTTATTCTATAAATTTGATTATATTCAAACATCTAATCACACACACGAACACGCATATATATACATAGTCAATATATATATTTAATACGGAAAATCTTCTTTATTACATGTTCGGGGATTAACCGTATCCATTGATGTAGCTGTTATATATATATATATATAGATCCTCGTGCGAGAGCCCGCCTTTACTACTCCTAGCTCTTCCGATCGATTCCAATGGCGTCAGAAGCACAGCTTCATGGTCTAACGGCAGCGGAATTTGCAGTACTTGAGCCCATCATCAACAAATATCACCAGTTCGAAGCTCCTCCCAACACATGCACTTCCATCATAACTCAGCGAATCGAGGCTCCGGCTCGAATCGTGTGGGGTTTCATTCGGAGCTTCGAGAATCCTCAGAAATACAAGCACTTCATCAAGAGCTGCAACATGAAAGGTGACGGCGGCGTCGGCAGCATCAGAGAGGTCACGGTGGTTTCCGGTCTCCCAGCATCCACCAGCACCGAGAGGCTCGAGATCTTAGACGATGACAACCACATACTCAGCTTTAGGGTTGTGGGTGGCCAGCACCGACTCAAAGATTATCGCTCCGTCACGTCGGCGAACGAGTTTCATACGGACGACGGTAAGGTCTACACTATGGTTGTGGAGTCATATACCGTCGACATACCGCCGGGCAATACTGCAGAAGATACGAAGATGTTCGTGGACACCGTGGTGAAGCTCAACCTTCAGAAACTTGCCCTCCTCGCCCTCTCAACCCTCCATGCACAACATTAATTAGTTAATTATCGATGAATACTATATTAAGGATTTGCCGCTAATGATCTCTGTCTCGTTGTGCTCATCCTCAATGCTAAGTGGTTATTGCTAGATGCTACTTGGATTGTTTGGTCTCTTCTTTATTTATTAATAAAAAAAATCGTATTATCTCATCCCTAGCTGTTCGATCACGGTTTCGCGGTTGTATGTTTGTATATTGTCGTGGGCAGATTACACATACCTGGTTTGAAATCAAGACTACTATTATTATTATCCATTAGAAAACTGGTTCAAAAACTAGGCGACTCGAATACGGTTCTACTCATAACTACGTTTCTTATTGTGGTAATGCGGCATTAAAAATTTGGATTTAAAGCTTGCATCTTTAGAGAGTTACGTTAATGATTGATTGATCCGGTTTCTGGCTAACCCAATAAATGTATCAGATTAAAATATAGAGCTGATCACTAGCTGGCATATCACATCCATGGAAAATGGGAGAGGTGTGCGTAGCAGCATTATTGAATGAAAGATGAAAAGGAGAGAAACATAGGGAGGAGGAGGAGGAAGAAGAAGAAGCAAGTGGTGGTGGATGCGTACAGGGGAGAAATTAAAGGGTGGGATGGCAGGTGGGGCAGTTCAGACACTTTTCGTGCGGCTTAAATTAAATGTCACCAAAAAGTGACAGAATCTTGTACTTGCTTGTGATCCCACTTTCACCTCCACGTGAGTGTCTGAGCTGTGACACTGTGACTATCAGCATCAACACCTCTCTCCCGCTTCCATCAAATCTACTTTATATAATTAATTACGGGTGATCGATTTGGTATATAATTTATAATATTAGTCTCCTGTTGATTGTACATTTTTATTTTTTAGTTTTATCAATCGAAGACTTAATTATTTTTGTGGTCCTGAGAACAAGTCAGATTGTTTATGACATGTTAATAGTGTTGTTTATTACATTTAACTCACACTATACTACTGTCGCACTTAATGTTGCTGGAGAGAAAAAGAAGACCAAAGAGACAACAGACAAAAACAGAGTGCAGGTCGCCCATGAAGGACGTATTGAAAATGGGCTTGATTTTTTCGTCGGGCCTGATATTGGGCCTAAATTCATTGAACGAGTGGTTGATGGTGGGCCGAAAGCCTATGACCCAGACAGAAACCCCTCGGCGGGGTCACCTTGCAAGTTTAATTGCAGGATGGCGTTTGAGCACTTTGTGAAAAAGTTATTGACACTTTAGTCCCCATTTTAAATCCCGTTGCAAGTATTCTTATTCTGCTCAAATTAAGAATATTAGTCAGTTAAAGTTTCTAAGACTTTTATAATTTTTCAGATTTATCCTTAATAAGTTAAAATCAAATGAGAATTCTTTTCACATCATATTACCAATGGCTCGTGTTACTATCATGGGACCTCGTTGCGTTCACTTTGCTATTGAATTTTCTTTCTGGGCACAATTATTCTTTTATTGGAAACACTCTTATTGAAAGTATTGTTAGATACTAAATATGAATTTTTTTTTTAAACCGAAATTCGTCGCACTACGAAGGATTTAATTCCTTCTGATGCATCCAATAATATTGGTTCTTTTGCTATTGAAGTGGCTGAGCGGGTTTTGCTAAGATTGAAGCCAAGGCCCACTTGCATGGCCAAGGTGGTTTTGTCATTTATGAGGAAGAATGGGCACTATGCGGACACACTCATTCGTATCATCCCAAAGCTTACACATGCCCCACACGTCACCTTCTCGTGCCCTTGATCACTTCTCTTTTGTTCTTTTTTACTTTAGCTTCCGTCACCAACATGTGCTTATTCTGTTTACCTACCAACTTGACTGTACCAGAGTGATAAATATGAGTAATAAAACCCTTGCAATAAACGTTTCTGAGCTGCAAATATAATCATGACATTTTGAAATTTTATATTGTTCTTCTGTCCAAAATCATTTGGCATTGATAAAGTCGCGGATGATGAACAAAACCTCAAAAGGAAAAGGACATCGATCCGCCTCGAAGCAAGATGAATAGATAGATTGATCCCCGAAAGAAAATTCAGATAAATTGCCATTTGCGATGAATACAGAGGCTGTGCTTCTACGTACTGATGAATTATTATATTATACTATATTAATTATTAGAGCATATGCTCATTATGATGCCTCTTAGAACTCACACCCGTAGGATTGGCCCATGCCATCAACGACATGGGATTGATAGGTTCATTAATAGCTATAGTAAATTCGTCAAAGATCTTCTCAGCTCTCCTTGTCATCATTTGTTTTGGCTTTGCTTACCTCATTTTCTATGTGTGTCTGGCCACCCCACAGAAAAAGCACCTTGCTAAAACAGTGGTTTTTCATTCCATTCGCCTCTAGCTGTTGCAGCCTCGAGGGAAAGTAAGAGACTTTTTACTCCATTTACTCATCTTTCTCGTCACAGTACCTTTCTTGTTTTAAAAGAGCTAAAAAAGCAAAGGGCTTTCGTTGAGTAGTACCTGCCATGAACAGAAGCTTGAACAGAGAGAATCCATATATTTTGATTGCGATGGTTGCAGAGAAGCAGATAATAAGATGGAGTGAGTGAGGAGGACAAAAGAGATCAGAGTGAGGGGCAAGAAATGGGCCCCTTAAAGCCTGCTTCAGAAATGAGTGCCCCTAAACGTTTCTCTCTCTTTTTCTTTGTAGCAGCGCTTCCCCCTCCCTCTGTCTCAATTAATGAGCCCCTTTTGTCCCACACCATTCAAACACGCGCACATAGCCTCTCTTTTTCTTTTTCTTCTTCTTCCATCTTCTCTGTATGTGTTAAGTAAGAGTGCAAACTGTTGAGAGAAGAAGACAAGAAATGGGCCATTAGCAAGACAAGTATAGGACTTTTTATGGGTTTCTGGTTTGGTTTAAACTTTGAGCAAGGTAAGCTGGGGACTACTGGTTTCATCTTGCCTCTTTCCCATGAACAACCATCTTCTCTTGTGCGCTACTCCTTTTGGCTATCATATATAACAATTGAACCTCAAGCAGAGCGCTCTCTCTTTTTTTGGGTTCTTCTCCAGATAACAGGAGGAAAGTACACATATACGGTCTATCAGCTGTCAAATGTTTGGACCATTTCTGGTTCTTCAAGTAAAGTCCTATACAGTGACTTCCCTTGCTTCCTGGTGGCTGAGAACTCCCTTTGCAGAGTAAAGTAGGCTTGCTAAATTTGTAGCTTCTTTTTAGTTGATACATTACACTTGATAGGAGTCTGAAAGCAATCTGATATTAAATTTTCACCTTTTGATGTATTGTCTACTATAAAATTTCAAATTTAAGGCCAAGATTTGTCAATTAGGATGTCATAGAATCCTCTAGTCGTCTGTCGCTCATTCCCTGTTTTTATTTTCTTGTTCAGCTTGGGTGCAGCTTAATATGTGGCTACAAATGAGCAAAGAGAGTTCTTGTATGGAAGAAAGATAACGAGATTCTTTTTCGTCGGATCAGCCTAAAGTCGATCACTTATGTGGATGCAAAAAGATATGTTGAGTGTTCCAGAGGAGATGGCTGGCCAAAATTCAAGTACCATTAATGAAGCTCCACAAAACCCAACGCCCAACTCACTCATTCAGTGCTATTCATTGAACCTCAATGACCAAACCCGTATCATAGATGGGATATCAATGCTTTCTGGTTCTGAAGTGCACGGCTCATCTGTAAGCAATGTGAATGTGCGCCTGATAAATCCAGAAAGTACTGGTTCTAATGCATTTTCTTCATCGCAAGGAAAGAACATTTTTGGATATGCCTCACATGGAACTTCATGTCCCATAAATAACAGTGAGTTTCAGGAGCAAACAGCCGGAGGAACACCAGTTACCCCTGCTTCACTTGCTAGCATTCTTGCTGCTAGAATTGGTCTTCAAGAAAATTTAGAGAAATCACAAGTTTTATCTCCTTCGTTCAGTTCATTGGGCTCATTGGGACCTTACATGTTAGACAATTGGTCATATACTCCAAGTCATTTGCATTTAACTTCCGGGGGCCATGGCTGCAACAATCATATGCCTGAGGAAATCTTGGATTCAAATGGATGGGCTTCATCAAATGTTACAGACTTGAGCAGCCATGCTTATGGTTCATCTAATTTTAGTAATGAACCTGTATTAAGTCTTGCAACATCTCAAACCACAGGCCAGTGCTCAGAGGTGAGTTGTTCTGATGAAATCACCCGTTGCTTCAGTAAAGCAAGGTCAGGATTGGAACATGCCTCTTGCAGCAACAGGGAATTGCCATGAGTCTGAACTCTGGTAGACACTTCCATTTTTCGCAGGCAATGCTAGGATCAAGATATCTTACTGGAGTTCAAGAGATACTTGCTCAACTTGCAAGCTTTTCACTTGAGAATCTTGAACAGATAAGATATTCACAAGCAAATTCTATGTTCAAATTCCACATGGAAGCTCCATTGGAAAGACATGCAGCTGAATCAAAGAAATCCCAGCTGCTGACACTCTTAGAACTGGTATGAAGCGTACATCCTTATCTTACTTGGTGATGGCGCCAATTATTATCCTGATTGATTCAGAGATGTAATTATGTTCACTTTTTGTTTTTCATGCTTCAATAATTGATGAGTGGAAAATGATTCCAATGAGCTATCTTTTTTGACTCAGGTGGACAAGCGATATAATCAGTGTTTGGATGAGATTCATACTGTTGTGTCTGCATTCCATGCTGCTACAGAGTTGGACCCACGCGTTCATGCGCATTTTGCTCTTCAAACGATCTCTTTCTTGTACAAGAACTTGCGAGAGAGGATCAGCAATTACATTCTTGCCATGGGGCGGGATTTTGACAGTTTATGCACACTGGACAAGGAAAGATCTGTTGATACTTCACTCATCCATAAGCAACTGGCTCTCCAACAGTTGAAACGAAAAGATCATCAGTTATGGAGGCCCCAAAGGGGCTTGCCAGAAAACTCTGTCTCGGTCTTAAGAGCCTGGATGTTTCAGAACTTTCTCCATCCGTGAGTTTTCTTACCATAAAATATGTTATCTACGAGCCCCACAAACATTAAGCTCCACATTCTCAGATGTAGTTTTATATGATATGATTTGATGGATTTTCAGGTATCCTAAAGATTCAGAGAAACATTTACTTGCTTTAAGAACTGGGTTGACGAGAAGCCAGGTCCGTCCTTGGTCGACCGAAATTCGATCATTTGCAAATTGTGTTTTTTAATCCTTGATTATGCTCTTTGATGATCCGACTATGTGCACAGGTATCTAACTGGTTTATAAATGCTCGTGTTCGGCTATGGAAACCCATGATTGAGGAAATGTACGCTGAACTGGATCATAAAAGAAAGGCTAGTCGAAATGAAGGAGGAACAGAGAACAGCCGTGGAAAATCAACTTTGAGATAGATGAAGGGGAAGCAAGCCGCGTTAAAATGGGAAGGAACATTTGCTTTTGAGGATCAAGTCATAGACTGAAGACAAATTACATGATGCGCTCTGGATATTGTTGCAGGAGGTACAGTACTACTAATAGGGAATCTGCTTTCAGCGATAGTTCGACAAAAGGCGATGCTCAAATTAACATAATACTCGTACGTACCATCGTACTACTCGTCCTCGACTAGTTGTCATTTAGCTTAAGCTAAGCTTGTTTTATCCACATCCAGTTCTTTCATATCAAGTCCGGGACCATGAGTTTATTAAACTGCAATTGGTAAACTATTCTTTTATCCCTGAGGCTTGAAAGTGAATTTTCGCACATGTGATGCGTATATTATAGCAAATACATGTTATTAACGTAGAATAACTAATTTTGTAAGCTTGGCAACTTACAAGATTATTTAATACAGAAATGAATCATTAAAAAGCAAATCACGTTCACAAAATAAATGTTTTAATTTAAAGCTTATAGGTTTCAATTTTCAAATGTTGCCCAAAACTGGTTCTGCAAAGCTCAATCTGAATTAGGGTGTGTTTGGCAAGCATCCCAAACCATGGTTTTGGAACCCAAACCATGGTTTGGAAAAATGTTAGCCAAACACCATTAAAAAAATCAAAACCATGGTTTGGGTTCAAAACCATGGTTTTGACTCCAAAACCATAGTTTTGAGAAAAACAAAAAAATTTTTACTTTTAGAGGAAAAAGGGAGAGTGTGTGAGAACCTATAGGATATATATCTTGTTGTTTTTTTATAAACATATTTTTTATAAATATATTTAATCTTATATCTTATAATATATAAGATATAACATATGTTAATAAAAAATATATTATTAACAATTTTATTCTTCAAATTAAAATATATCATAAAATATATTTTTTCTATAATTATCATATTAATTTATGTCAATTTGTATATATAAAAAGTACTTCTAATAACAACTATCCAAACACTCACACTTCTCAAAATCACTTTTTCACCAAATCTATTCTTCCCAAAATCTATTTTTTTCAGAATCTATTCTCCAGAAGCTATTCTCTAAACCATGATTTAGTTTCATCTAAACACACCCTTAGTCGATTGTTTGAATACCCAAGCACTGGATAGGGGTGGCGCAATGAGTTATGGAAAAAAAAAAAAAAGGTTTCAAATGACTTTAGGTCTGAAATAAATGACATGGAAATAAGTTCATTTATTAATATGTGGTTCTAATAATTAATAATATTTTCCAGAGTAAGTAGGCAGGTTTGGCTGGTTTCACAAAATAAATTCATAATCTTTTTTGTTTGCATTCATAATAATAACGCGCTCAGTTTTATTTCGGTCGTTAAACGGCATTATTTGAGAAGACACCTGTTTTCCTTTTTCCCCTTCGAAGCAGCGCGTGCTCGGGTAACTTCTAGTATACGCATCAGAAGTTGACAGAGGATACGCATCAGAAGTTGACAGAGGGACAACTTTTCATGACTAATTCAGAAACAAAGAATTAAGAGCAGGCAGTCATAGCTATGGTTACCCCGGAAGACACCTCTTCAAGATTGAACTACAAATTCCAACCGTGAAAGCTCGTTTAAACTAGCTTCCAAAACACGCGAGGTTCCTATCAAAGGACCGGACCGGCTTCTCTATGCTTCCGGTTTACTAGCAGAAGCTCGCTCCCACCATCCAAAGAGTCGTCACTGCTGCCGGAATACAATTGAGTTTTCCCTCATTGAATTCTCCTGAAACTGGCACCTCATAAACTTTACCTTTGCTTTAGTCTCATCCGCAATACATTCTTTGCGTTTTCTTGTTCCGTCAGTGTCGCTATTGCTCATTCTATCGTCCGCAGACAAAACCATGGCGTCCATAGGATCATCCATGTCTATATCACAGGTGTCCGGTTTATCTTCCTCTGTCCCTCCGTGACGAGAATGTAGAAAGAGATTCTTACCCACATTGTAATAGGAATTTTTTATGATTGGGGGACCGTACTCAGTTCTTGATGTGAAATACTTGGGTTTTGCACGTAGCTTGGCAGTATCACCATCGAAGATGCTCAGTCCTTGATCCTCAACGGCTAGAAGCCACTCTGATCATTAAACCATTTGTTAGATATTTGAAGCAAAAGTTTTACAGACAACTAATAAGAAAGAAAAACCACAACATGGGAAGCTTGTCTTAGTTAACTGATATCTGAGTTCAATCAACAAGGCAATGACAATGCGACAAAAATGGACTTTAGAATGAACCCACATTCACTGAAATAGCCTACTAGACTTTTAAGAGATGTAGTAACATCCATTTGAAGCAGCAAAAGAAACATTCTAAGAGACAAAATTTGTCAGAGTTTCTGAATATTTTCCAAGAACTCACTTATAAGAGCTATGGGAGTGGAAACATTTGGTTGGCTAATCATTCCGCCAACATTACTCTGACTAGTAACCCAGTTAATCAATTGCGTAGGTATGCATGATCTAGAGAAGGCGTTTAAATAAGAAACGGCTTTCTCTTGATCGCCTTTGTCCCTGTGATTAACCAGATCATGAGACCCGTCAGCCAAAAAATTTTAGAAACCCCTTGCTCCATCACAACAACAAAAGTCGTTCATCATACCTAGCAGACTGGATTGCGAAGTCAGTGACAATAACCACGTTAAAGCAAAATCTTTCAAGCTTTTGGGACACAGTGAAATTCCTGCTTGAGGGTTAATGAAGGAGTACTCTACCGTCATAACAGCATTGAACAGGACTTCTTTAAGAAGAACTTCATTTTCAGGACCCTATATAGCAAATCAAGTACTTAGTTGTTGAACCGAATAATAATATATCTATCCTATCTATCTATATATGAAAGTATATATTGAAGGGTAAGGACATAATTCATTTCATATAACTAAACTCTTAATTTCAATGTTCAAGAAGACGGGCTAACGAGCACCATAAATAGCTAATCCACTAATCCTTCTCAAGGATAACATACTGAAAATCACAAGTCAGTATTTATTCATGAGGAAGCAGTGAACTAAATCAACTTAATGAAAAAGGTTTAACACAAATAAGTTTTAAAGTAACAAAATCTAAACTACGCTTACTAATCTTGCTCATTACTATAAATCTTGTTCATTACCATAACTCCAGGCCTTACCTCAAATATCAAATGAAGAATATAACTTAAGGTAAACTGACGTGAACAATGTGCGACACAATAGCTCACCCCATCCATATTCTCATCTGTAAAATATGTTTCAGCGTGCCAACCGAGGAGGCAGTGGCACTGGCATCTATTAAACTTATGCCTTGTGCGTAAAGGCACAGAAGTCTCCTCAGTTCTCTTGTGAGATCTTGAAATTATTCAAGGTTAATGTTATGGCGCCTTAAGCTTTGAGATCACACATCACCCTCAGGGGAAGTACGTGCATTGCCTAAATGTAAAAGCCAATAATTCCAAACTGAAAAGTGTGTCCAAGGAAAATTAAAATAAGGCATCATACTGACCAGTATGTTGACCACTGGCAAAACCGGCTCCAACATCATCCTGGAAAGGATATCTGATACCCAAAAAATAAGAAATCAGGAACTGCAAACACGAAAACTAGAATAGGGTCACCCCAGGAAGCTCAAAAGGTTCAACAAAAGATTAGTGCAAAAGAAAACCAAAAGAGAGGGATACATAGTACGCACTCATCTGATTAGTTTGGTGCTTGTAAAACGGGGTACTGGTCCCGAAAATAACAAAACAGCCTTGACTATCAGAATGCCAATATAACTAAATAAATAAACGTGCATTTCGTCAAAGGTTTATCTCACTAAAACCCGAGAATCGAGATTCCAAAGTAATAAAATAACGTGACAAAATTAAATTACAGGCTAAAAAAACCATAAATTATAGTGTTTCAATTTAATTAAATTTACGTATGGAGGAATAAGTTCACCTAGAAAATAAAAATTACGAAACCCAGTAATGTTCTGAACTGCTACACCGTGCAACTTCTTCTCCTGCTCTGCTTTGGCAATCCCTGATTCGAACTCCAGGCACAAATTCAACAAGAGAGCTTCACACATCACGATTCCAGCTAAGAACCCAATATCACATCCCGATTTAATTCCCTCGCGAAGTTGGTCGCTGATAATGGGGAAAAATTCTTTCGAGTGATTCCAAACCCCAGATTGATCCACTATCCACACGGGAATCACAACCAAGAAGCTTGGGTCCAAACTGGTCATCCCATCGCTGTCTTCTTGAAGCCCCTGGCCACAGAAAATGCTGCAATAACTAATTAGTCCTTCCAATAAGCTCTGGACCTCGCTCTTCAAGTCGGTCTCCTCGACCACCAAACGGTGCAACTCAAAAACAAAAGGAGCTAGAATAGCAATCCTTTTCATCGAACCACAATAATCCGAACAAGAGACTAACAGCTGAAATAAATCCTTGGCTACTGCTGCTCTTCCCGAAGATTCTATCTGAACTGCCAGTTTGGTCGTATGAAACCCAAGGGCCGAATAAAACCAGACGACTCCCAAAGGCGGGTCAGCCATGCTCTGCAGCATTCGAGAAAATATGGAGCTGAAATCACAGAAATCAGTGACGCCGTTCCTGTATTTAGTTAGGAAGTGGTCAACCGATTCTTTAAGCATGGAATAATGAGGTGGTAAGGGAACGATGTTGGGATTTTGGGGAGGAGGAATCAATGGAGTTGGGATCATCTTAAGTACCCTTCCGACAGGGCAAACTCCAACCAACTCGAAGCCCCGAGCCTTTGATAGACTTCTAATTTTGTAAAGCGACGAGTTGGAGGGTCAAAGGAAGACAGAAATTTGAAATTTGGGGGGGAGGGGGGAGGGTGAAAACCCTAGGCTTGTGAGTGAAGAAAACGGGAGGGAATATGGGGCACTTTGGCAACGGGCGACTTTTTAAATTCCAACCTCTGTCTCGCATATTGGAATTAACGGGCGACTTTGACATGCGTATTGTTGACGCTTGCGCGGGGTCAAGTCAACTCGGGTTATTAAAAACTAAAGATAATGAATAATTTTGCAAGAAAAAGAGAGAAATGCAGAGGAGAAATGAGTGGGAGAATCCTCATTCACACGTGTTGTTTTGCCATTGCTTATAACCCTTCAACTTCGAATAACATCTCATAAGTTACTGTTGCATAGAGAATGATTTAAATCGTGTAATTCGCACAGTGTTAATAAGTCTGTTTGAATTAGCGATTAAAAAAAGAGCTTATTATTAATTTAACTTTTGAAAAAGTAAAATTGAAAAAAAAATTAAATTGAATAAGTTGAATTGTGTTTAGATTACAATTTAGAAAAGTTAGTTTGTAAAAGTGAGATTGGTAAAATATTGTTTGTATTATATTTGAATAAAAATAAATTTAGTTGTAAAATAACCAAAATAAGTATGAGTTTCAATAAACAATGATATGTTATTAAAAAAATAATTTTACATACTACTTCCGATCCTTAATATAAGATCTTGTTTGATTTTTATTTTGATCCCAAATATAAAATCCCAGTCCACTTTGTCTCTCATATTTACTCAATTTTTTCCAAGATAGTCCTTCTAATAATTATAGTTTTAGTCAATACACTTGATTAGTAAGGATATTTTAGGAAAGACAACACCTATTGAGGACAAATAACTAACTCAATTTATTTTCTTAATCTCCTCAAATTAGTCAACTAACTCTTATAATTAGGATCGGAGGTAGTAATACAATACAATTAAAATAATTTAATATGAAGAAGTCAAATTTAATGAGTGAATTAAATTTTAAAACTTTAGAAAAATCATAAAAAAATATTTTAAATATAAAGTAAAACATGGAAAAAAAATGAATTAACATAACATAATGAAGAAGTAAAATTTAATGAGTGAATTGAATGTGAAAATTTTAGAGATTTAGTTATTACATTCATTCTTCCACGTCAAATCCAATATGTCCCACTCTTCTCTCTTTTTAACTTACCTTCCTCACTTTAACTTTTCACTACCACTATTTTTCTTCATAAAAAGAATAGGATATACATTAAAGAATGACTTTTCCTTGATCCAATTGAGAGCCTGTTTGGAACAACTTATAAGTAGCTTATAAGCTGCTTTTCAATAGTGATTTACGGAATATGAAGTAAATATATTAGAGAAGTTTTGTCTCGGTTTATGTGAAACATGCTTGTAGAAGATTTTCACTGCTCTGCCAAATAGGGCCTAAAATGAGGACCTAAATAATTCTTTCAATGAGTTCCTCCACATTGAATCTTTCCCTCTCTCCTCCTCCTTCGACTCCTCCGATGAATCCAGCACATGCTTCAGTTGAAAGGTTGTCTCTCGTCGATGAGGTGATCGGCTACTGGTGCTTCGGCAGAGAAGCATTCGCAAGGTGGTTTTCCAACTCTGAAACTGAACTAGCGGGTTAGTCACAAGGCTTGGTGTGGGGCTCTGGACGACACGCATTGCATCACTAGGAGCTTGAATTTCTATAGCGTTGCCATCTAAGCGTAAGTCCCTCTCTCCCTCCCTCTCTATGTGTCTGGCTGTGGCTCTTAAAGTCTATGAGATACTTCAAATTTTATTGTGGTAGTGGTAATTATAGGGGAACAATTGGGAATTGATTACTTCTAGGAGAAGCGACAGAGACGACCACAGGCGGTGGTTTTGGTGAGGAGGCAATGGAGGACGTTGGGTGACACAGAGCAGTCATGGGGGAGCTCTAAGGTGGGAAGAAAAGAACTAAAATCTAATAAACTCAATACATTATAAGTCATGCCAAACATCACACTATCTCCAATCAGGTTTATTTATGAATTTAAACCATGTTTAGGGCAGCAAACGCTGACCCAAACAGGCACAATATTGAGCTTGTGGTATGAATAAGAATACACGCATGCAATGTTATCATTTATCTCAACATATAAAATTAATGCGTTTATTTTTCATAAAAAATATTTTACTTGTTAAGAGTTAAAGTCGTCTTTTAACCTTTGTTTCTTTATTATTTTTTAATATAATATTTTATCCAGTTTTTTAATATAAAAGCTTGTTTGATTTTTAATTTGCTTATAAATATAATATTTCAATTAATTTTGTTTTTCATATTTATTTATTTTTAAATAATCTTTGTAGTAGTTGTACATATTAAATTAAAGATTCAATCAAATGACAACAATACCTAATTATTATAAATAATTAACTCAACAAACTTTTTAAATCTATTCGGATTAAGTAACTAAATTTTATATTAAGAATTAAAAGTAGTAATTGTCTAATATTATATGATTTCGTTAGCTATGATAAATTTCTAGAATGACTCTGTGAACCGAAAAGTGTTGCAGCATGTGGTGGTCTTATCTGAGATGTACCAAATGACTGAATGAATTGTACATTGTCCAAACCCCGCAGCCGAACTCTTGGCCATTCTTGAAGGGCTTAATATTTACCAAGAGGCCAAATATCCCATGGTTAATGTTTAGGTTATGAGTGAAGTGAATGGGAGGAGAATGGAGAAAAATTTTAATAAGTTTGATCTTAAAAATTTTAAAAACGAGGTTAAAATTTTTTAACTAATTTCTATTACCTTTTTATGTTACATATTCTCTATATTAATAATTTAATAACTATACTTCTCTAATTTTTTAAATCAAACTCATTAAAATTTTCCATTATTTTCCCCTCCTTCTATTTTTCTTATACTAAACACAGAGTTAATGCCAACGTTTTCAAAATAAACATGTTTTAGTAGTAATCATAGAACAAATGTCTTATAAAATTTTATGTTTTTGTGTATAACTGATTTCATGAAGTTCTAAAAACAATCAAAACTCTTAAAATGCTCATAAAAGCGTGGGTAAAAAAAAAATGTTAACTACTGTATGCGCGATAATTTAGCATGCATTACATCTAAAACGGCAAATACACAGCATCTCAGCGGATGGCTTTAAGAAATTCTTATGATTTGTTCAATTATGAGAAGCTTTATAATCCATATACACAGAAGGATTAGGTTTAAAGTTACAGAATTGGTGAGAAATCAAGTAAATATCTTAGCCTGCCAACCACAGGCATCAACATACCAATCATCAATCATGTAGCAGTATTATCCTAGGATCTTCTAACCAATGTTGAGTTATTGATGTTAGTGTGAAACTAGCATCACCTCTCCCGCGCTCTGCGCGGGAAGCATTCACTTCAATCTAATTTTTAATCATATATAAAAACACTTTAATCTAATTTTTAATTATACGTAGAAACACTTCAATCTAATTTTTAATTATACATTAATGTTTCTATGGGGCAAACAATTAATAAACAATATTAGCAACACTTTTAATTAAACATAATGAACATACAGTGAGTGAATACATTAAAAAAACAATAAATCATGTCAACAACTGGAATTTTCACACATTACAACAACATCAAGTTATAAGTTGCTAAATATCTCCTTATACACAACGTTTTTGGTGGTCTTCTCACTTGTAGATGCACTCCTTGGAAGAACAATTTTCAAACCATCCATGCATTTGACTCTTGATAGTGCCACATATAGTTGACCATGAGTGAACACAGGCTTTTGTAAGTATACTCCAACATAACGTAATGACTGACCTTGACTCTTATTGATGGTCATTGCAAAGGACAAAGTAATAGGGAACTGTCTTCTCTTCATCTTGAAAGGCCATTTACTTTCTGATGGGTTCATGTCCATTCGATGAATCAAAACCTTTTGATTTGGTTTTGAACCATTCAATGTAATTGCCTCAATAACAGTCTTGCCTAGCTTTGTAATACGAAGTCGTGTACCATTACATAGTCCTTCTGCTTGATCTATATTCCTCAGCAACATAATTGGTGATCCAACTTTCAACATTAGCTTATGTGGTGGCAATCCAGAGCTACTAATAGTGTTCAGAAATTCAGTAGTGTATAGATTGTCAAAGCTGTCACTTTGATTCGAAGCCTGGCACACTGAATCCGAACTGAAGAACTCATGGGCTTCACCGGGCAAAAGAGAGCACATGTATTGGTTAATCTTGTCAACCATTTCGATTGTTGGTGCAAGTATAGCCCTATCATTGAAGTATTCGTTGTTTGACAGGTTTGCAATGACATCACCATAAATTACTGAGACAATACCTTCAATTGGATCTTCATAATCATTCACTAACAGTGCTTTAGGCACTTCAATGTCAGTAGTACCGTCATTTGGCTCCCCTAACTTGCCATCACCAACATCTAATAGCCATTTGGAAAACCACTCTAGTTTCTTCTTATCTTCTTCACTTCCCAATGATGTCAATCGCATGTTTTTTGTTAAGGTGAAAATGGTACAACTACTCCACAAATATGAGGAACATATACATGCATTAACGACACTTGCTCTTGAACCTTTTGGAACCACAGGAAGTATTTGACGAAAATCACCTCCCATTATTATGCATTTCCCTCCAAATGGAAGATTTGAATGCATTAGATCCTTCAGTGAACGATCAAATGCTTCAATGCAATAACGTTGCACCATCGGAGCTTCATCCCAAATAATGAGCTTAGTGCATTCAAGTAATTTTGCCAACGGAGAACCCTGACTAATAAAGCACATTGAGGTTTCATTAACTTGAATAGGGATTGCAAACCTCGAGTGAGCTGTCCTTCCAGAAGGTAGTAATGTAGCAGCAATACCACTTGATGCAACAGTAAGTACAATTTTGCTTTGTGCTCGTAACGATGATGCCAATGCATTCCATAGGAATGTCTTCCCTGTCCCACCAAATCCATAAACAAAAAAGAAACCTCCATTATCATTTGATACAGTAGACTACTGTATGCGCGATAATTTAGCATGCATTACATCTAAAACGGCAAATACACAGCATCTCAGCGGATGGCTTTAAGAAATTCTTATGATTTGTTCAATTATGAGAAGCTTTATAATCCATATACACAGAAGGATTAGGTTTAAAGTTACAGAATTGGTGAGAAATCAAGTAAATATCTTAGCCTGCCAACCACAGGCATCAACATACCAATCATCAATCATGTAGCAGTATTATCCTAGGATCTTCTAACCAATGTTGAGTTATTGATGTTAGTGTGAAATACTATAATCCCAAATACCATTCTAACCTTGACAGCCAATATAAAAACATGAGTAAGAGGGATTCCCTTGAAAAAGAAGACAAATAACCCTCATTCATATGCTGCCAGACGATGAAAATAGGCAGAAACATTTGACATAATCCTTGTTCTAGTTTCCGGGATACTTGTACTCACAACTCAAGCATCTGTAACAGCCAATCCATATAGTTTTCTACTACCTCCGATTCTTAATATAAGACTTTATTTGATTTTTATTTTGATCCTAAATATAAGATCCAAATCCACTTTGTCTATCATATTTATGCAATTTTTTTTTTAAAATTGTCCTTCTAATAATGGTAGTTCTAGTCAATATAGTTAATTAGCAAGGATATTTTATGAAAGACAGTATCTATTTATTATAAATAACTAACTTAATTTATTTATTTAATTTTCTCAAATTAGTCAACTAAATTTTATAATTAGAAACGGAGATAGTAATATACAAAAATGATAAATAATCACGCATTCTGTGCATTTACTCTTCTCACAAGACAGCGCGTCATTTTTAGTAACTTCTCACTACTTGGGGCAGCATTTTGCGCCATTGAATGTTAATGGACTATAAACTATTTTTTTACATTACAAAATAAGTTTTATATTTAGGACCGGAGGAGTACAGTCTCATATCACCAACTACCATACTTTTGAGTATTATATATATTTAATAACACTAATTTTTCAGCCCAATTCAGTCTCACGATCCTAAACCTAATCACACTGTTGTTGTTGTTGTTACTTGTTATTATTTTGCGCTCTTTTAAATATGCTGTCTTCCATGTATTAATGGTTGATTATAGGGAAAATGACAATAAAATACCACTTGAATTCTAAAAGGACAAATAAGGGACCTGAATAAGCAAAATGACAAGGAGGTCACTGGGAACCAATCTGGAATTAATATTTTCGGCCAAAAGACCAAAACGCCCTGATGAATGCGGGAAGACCGAAAGCTGAAAGTGAGAGAAAGGAGAGAGGAAGACCGACGCAGTGAGAGAAAGGAGAGAGGAAGACCGACGCTGATGAAATGCGGGAAGAAGGAAAGAAGAATGTTGGAAATGCTATTATCTTACTCCTTCGCATCACCATTCTGTAGAGATTGTTGATTTTGGTTGTGGGAAAGAGGATTTGTAGTGAGAGAGGGAGTGAACCGAAGCGGAAATCAGCAAGCAATTACGTAACGTAACTGCTGTGATATGCTTGCTGGTTTTTGGTAAATCCCATTACGTGAATGGTAAATTTCACTATACATGTAGTTAATTATGAATTTTACAAAATACATATTGTGATTTATAACTTTTGTAGTGAAAGTGACTACTTTGTTAATGGGTTTTGCAACCTGTTTTCAGGAGATAAACAACTTGTTTGTAAAAACTAATAAAATTTCACGCTAAATTTGACAAAACGTATAGTGGGATTTACAACTTCCGTAGTAAAAATGACCACTTATTCAATGGGTTTTGTAACTTGTTTTCAGGGATGGGCAGCTTGTTTCTAAAAACTAATAAAATTTCCTACTAAATTTGACAAAACACATAGTGAGATTTACAACTTTCGTAGTGAAAATTACCACTTCTTAAATGAGTTTTGCAACCTCTTTTCAAGGAATTGGCAACTTGTTTCTAAAAACCAATAAAATTTCATGCTGAATTTTACAAAACATAGAGTGATATTTACAACTTTTGTAGTGAAAATTACCACTTCTTAAATGAGTTTTGCAACCTCTTTTCAGGGGATGAGCAACTTGTTTCTAAAAACCAATAAAATTCCATGCTGAATTTTACAAAACACACAGTGATATTTACAACTTTTGTAGTGAAAATTACCACTTCTTAAATGAGTTTTGCAACCTCTTTTCAGGAGATGAGCAACTTGTTTCTAAAAATTAATAAAATTTGATGCTGAATTTTACAAAACACACAGTGATATTTACAACTTTTATAGTGAAAATGACCACTTCTTAAATGAGTTTTGCAACCTCTTTTCAGGGGATGAGCAACTTGTTTCTAAAAATCAATAAAATTTGACGCTGAATTTTACAAAATACACAGTGATATTTACAACTTTTATAGTGAAAATGACCACTTCTTAAATGGCTTTTGCAACCAGTTAATTCAACGTGACTACAAAAGTTGTCACTTTTATTAGTTTTTACAAACAAGTTGTTTATCTCCTGAAAACAGGTTGCAAAACCCATTAACAAAGTAGTCACTTTCACTACAAAAGTTATAAATCACAATATGTATTTTGTAAAATTCATAATTAACTACATGTATAGTGAAATTTACCATTCACTTAATGGGATTTACCAAAAACCAGCAAGCATATCACAGCAGTTACGTTACGTAATTGCTTGCTGATTTCCGCTTCGGTTCACTCCCTCTCTCACTACAAATCCTCTTTTCCACAACCAAAATCAACAATCTCTACAGAATGGTGATGCGAAGGAGTAAGATAATAGCATTTCCAACATTCTTCTTTCCTTCTTCCCGCATTTCATCAGCGTCGGTCTTCCTCTCTCCTTTCTCTCACTGCGTCGGTCTTCCTCTCTCCTTTCTCTCACTTTCAGCTTTCAGTCTTCCCGCATTCATCAGGGCGTTTTGGTCTTTTGGCCGAAAATATGAATTCCAGATTGGTACCCAATGCCTTATTTGTCATTTTGCTTATTCAGGTCCCTTATTTGTCCTTTTAGAATTCAAGTGGTATTTTATTGTCATTTTCCCTTGATTATATCTGTTGGCAAAAAAAAATCCATTATTTCGTTTTTTTTTTTAAAAAAAATTTCAGCGAAACTGTGATGGGTAAATAAAGAGATCGTTCTCAATAAGAAAGGCGCAGACGATATTTTCCCAAGCGAAGCTCCAGTAGCATCTCTCCAACTACCACTATATATAAAACGACAATAATGCCAATCTCGATCCTAATCTGATTGTCTAGGGTTTCTTCCATTCGATCTTCCAAGAAACCTAATGGCCGACGAACCTCAGTATTCATCGGGCACAGATACTACGACTCACAAGCGCAAATATGAAGAGCCATCGCTCTCTCAATCAACCCACAGGCCTACTGGCTTCTCCGCGCCCATCGCGTCTACATCTCCCGATGGTCCTCACGCTCCGCCTGCTTCCTATAACAGCGTCCCGCCCCCGGCGGCAACTGGTATTGAGCTTGCCAAGCAACGAGCTCAGGAGGTTGCTGCTCGCCTCTTAAACAGCAGTGGAGCAACTGGGTTGGATGCCAAGCGTTCCAAGGTCGAGAACGGTGCTTCAGGATTTGATTCCAACGGTAAGGGTTTAACTGCTAAGCAGCGTGACTTCCTCAGTACCGTCCGATATTTGGTTTTGAAGCCTAGGGTTCTGTTGTTTCTTAAATTGTTCCGAAGTCGTGTTTCTTGATTGCCTTTATTATGTCAATTCACTGCCGGTATTACTGGTATTTATCCAGTGGCATTTCTTGTCCTCTGACCTGGAAGCGCATCTTCCTCTGTATTAATGCACAGTTTTAATTGATCTCTCTGAAAACAGATGCGAAGCCCCAATACTCAGTTCCTTCAGCTGCTCCCATTTCTTATGCCTATCAGGGTACTAGCAAAAAAATAGACATTCCAAATGGAAGGGTCGGCGTTATTATTGGTAAAGGTGGGGAGACAATCAAGTATCTGCAAACGCAGTCTGGAGCGAAGATCCAAGTTACCCGTGATATGGATGCAGACCCAAATTCTCCAACAAGGATGGTGGAACTTATGGGCACTCCTGATCAAATTGCTACTGCTGAGAAGTTGATTAACGAAGTTCTTGCTGAGGTATTACAAAGTACTTCTCTATGGATTCAGTCAATCGCTGACCGGAATGTTGAATCTAGGTTTGATTTGGGAAAATTGGTTGACTTGGCATGTTTGATGTCTTGATATATCACGGTCTTGCCCTAATATCTCTTAAAAAATATTATTCGTAAACCAACAAAGCCTCGGTCTAAAGGTTCCTTTCTCCCCAGTTAGAATCACCACTGATAAATTATTTGAGGCTAGGATCTTTTGTAGGTTATTTCGCAGTATAATACCCAGTATTTTTCTAATAAACTATGTATAATATGCATGAGAACAGTAGGCAGTTTGTAACAACTCACCCACTTCATGTATATAGCAGGCTGAAGCTGGAGGTTCTGGTATTGTTGCTAGGCGACTGACTGGACAAGCTGGGTCTGATCAATTTGTGATGAAAATTCCAAATAATAAAGTATGTTGAGGTTATATATGCATTTATATTCACACTCATGCACACAGTCTTAGAAATTGTGCTACGTTCTGTTTGTATTTTTTATTATTTGTTTGGGTTGCTATGGTCCTTACTTTCAGGTTGGACTTGTGATCGGAAAGGGAGGAGAGACAATAAAGAATATGCAAGCTCAGACTGGAGCAAGAATTCAGGTTTGTTTTTACTCATGTCATATGTCGCTTCACTTTGGGTCCCAAAGTCGTGGAATTTCTGTGCTCATTTTTATTTTATAATGTGTTGAATCCTTTTTTTCAGGTGATACCATTGCATCTTCCCCCCGGCGACACATCAACAGAAAGAACATTACAAATTGATGGAACCAGTGAACAAATTGAGTCTGCAAAACAGTTGGTTAATCATGTCATCAGTGAGGTATTTTCACATTGATCTTTGAGTTTGATTTGGCCTTGGTTAGCATGTTTGCCATGTGCCAAGTCTATTAGTTCAGAACCATATGTTTTCTGTTGCATTGTGCATTTAACCTTTTACATTCATGCTGTTTGATGGTTGTGTTTGGTTGTTTGTTTACCCTTATTATGTTGCATGCCTTTTCAAAGATGAGCCTGGTCCCTTGTGACATTATGCTGAACTGTTTTATATGATCCTAATTACGCAGGGTTATTTCAATGTTTCTACTGGATTACTGTTATCTGTTCTATTTTGGTGGTGTTGTAAAAAAAAAAATCAGTTACAGAGGCTTAGTAATGTTAATGTTAATATTCAATTTGCTGAGGTGTAAGATTATTTTGACATTATTTGCACAAATGCTCTTCATTTGTCTGCATTTTTTTAATCCTTAGTAATTAGCAATTATGAGCGTGATTGGCTCTGTTATTTGGACCTTGTATTATTTTCTGTTCGATATTTAGGAGTTGAGAATTTATAGCCCAGACGATGAGGCCTGTGGCTTGTGACCGTCAATTCGAGATATATTTGTGTTTTATTATTGCCCTTATCTTCTTATCAGAAGCAGAGGAACAGTGACGTCAGGTTCCTTTTCTTTTTTCCCCCAATATTCTGGCTTCATCCTTCTAGCTGTGCCTGTTGATATCAGGACTGTTCATTGGATACTTTCATATAAATAGAAAATACTCTTAAACTGATATATGTAGGGTGTTTTACTGATAATCTCCACATTGTAGTTGCATTAGCTTATCAAGTGGAATTCTGAGTAACGATATGAGCTTCTGCTGTACTTTATCTATGTTAGAAGGTCTGGTTTCTTTTGAAGTTTATGATTTATCTAGTTTGGATAGGATAATGATATTAACATGCGGCAAATGTATATTGGTATAGTTTCTGTCCCGATGGATGTGAACTTTGCAGGGTCTTCCAAGTTGACTTGCTAACTATATGCCTTATATCTTGTGTGCGTGTAACATGTAGTCCTCTTCAAAAACAACGTAGACAGTCAGCGTATTCTTATATGGGACCAAACAGGTTGTTATATATGGATTTTTGAGTATTGGATTTATCGGCTTTGTCGTGCAAGATGCCAAGCTCTTGCAAAGCTTGATTATTAACTGCGGTTTGGTTTTTTATCTTGGATGCCTGCTGTTTCGGGGTGGTTTGTCCATATAATATATGGTGTAGGATGTAGAGGAGATCAAGGCTCTTTTTATTATGCCATCATATTTTGGTCCAAGTGAATAAACATTGGGATTACAGGAAAAGCCTTATGTGCTTATTAATTGTGCATCCTATGACTGATCTTGTTATTGGGACTATTGTAGGATTAGTGTGTATTGGATCAATAGTGACACCAACATTTAACCCCTTTTGTTGGTGTTCTCTCAGCATGCCCCCGGTATGATTCTAAATCTCAAATTTGATATTGATTATCGAGGGCTATTAGTTTCCCATTTTTGTCTCTGTAGTACCGTGGAATTGGGTATTAAACTACTCAATGTCTTGAAATAACAATTTAATATCTATCTGTTAACACTGGGATAATAAGCTTTTATACATCAATTATAAAATATGTTGCTCAATATTTCCATATTATGTTATTTCCCTCTTATTTCAACCTTGCAATTTTTTCAGGCAACAATTACTCTTTGGTCTTTAAGTAAGATTGATCTGTTATTTTGAGAGTATTATTTCTCATTTATTTCTTATGCCAAGTGATATTTGTTTTTCAAGTGTGAGCCTTGCTATGGCATGTGCTGCTCATCTTCTGGTCTTTACTCTCATGGTGTTTCTATATATCTCCCCCACCCCCGGGAAATTGTTCGTCTTATAATGTTCACTGAAGTTTGAGTCTCGGAATTTCTATTTAGTTCAAATGATAATATTTATATTTTTATTTATTTGATTTGATGATAAGTGCTGACACAAAAAGCGTGATCTATTAGGTTGATAAGGTGGGAAGGTTGATAGGACTATTTCTATAGTTGTACGCACGGTCCTTTTAATCTGGATTCATGTTTGCTTCTGCCTCACAGATGCTGTAGTGCAAACTATATCTCTAAATTGGTTTTGTATTTGGTGGCTCAAACAATGAGCTTGTTTAGTATCTCTGAATAATTAGTAATGCATAAATTGAAATTAAACACTATTATTTGAGATACTTGATACTACACCGTGGCATGCCTTTTGAGGCAGCATAGATTGTGTTTGGCTGCTTCTATGGTTTGTGCTTTCCTTTGTACCCATTCATTTGAAATAGGGAGAGGGTCTGCTTCTGCTGGAGTAACTCAGTTATATCACGAACCAGTACGGTATGTAGGCCTTTATACCCCCTCTTAATGCTGTATGGAATTAGTCAATCTAAGGCAATGCCCTTTATCTTGTGTATCTTATATGTTGATTTTTGTGGTGTTTACATGTTTATTTGCATGCATTGTTCATTCTATTTTAGAATTTCATGTTACCTTGTACAAGTTCACTTTGTATTTTTTTTAATTTGTTATTACAATTTCTTCTTCTGCAGAATCGTCTTAGAAATCCATCAATGTCTGGCGGTTATCCTCAACAAGGTTACCAAGCCCGACCACCTACTAGCTGGGTTCCTCCTGGTGCTCCTATGCAACAACCTGGTTATGGCTATGTGCAGCCTGGAGCATACTCTGGTCCATCGCCCCAGTATAATATGCCTCAGCCACCATATCCAGGATATCCCCCCCAGTCATCTGGTGGATACTCCTCCAATTGGGACCAGTCCTCTGCACCACCTCAACAGTCAACTCATGGTAGTGGTTATGATTACTATGGTCAGCAGCAACAGCAAAATGCTGGGGGTGCTCCGCCTGCAGGTGATGGGACTGCTTATAATTATGGTCAGCCACCTTCCTCTGGTTATAACCATCCTGGCCAGGGTTATCCTCAGGACAGCTATGGTGGGTATAATGCACCGCCACAATCAGGGTATGGGCAGCCACCTACATATGATCAGCAGCAAGGTTATAGCTCAGCCTCCAACTATGGTAGTGGCGGCAACCCGACACAGGAGGGCCACACTCCCAGCTATGGATCTCAAGGGGACTCAACCCAGCCTCCTCCAGCTGTCCCAACTTCAATGTCCCAGCAAGGTTATGGTTCTAACCAGCAGCCGAGCCCAAACCCAGCTACCTATCCAGCTCAAGGAACTGCACAGCCAGGTTATGGGATGCCTCCAACCTCTCAAGCACCTTATGGCAATCAACCCCCAGCACAGTCGGGTTATGGAGCTGGTTACGGGCCCCCTCCACCTCAGAAGCCTAGTGGCACTCCTGTTTATGGACAGTCTACACAATCGCCTAGCGCAGCAGGAGGCTATGGTCAATCTGGCCCATTGCAACCAGGGTATCCTCCTGCTCAGCCCCCTTCTGGCTATGCTCAATCAGAATCTGGTCCACAAAGAGCCCCGGCACCTTATGGTGCTCCCCCTGCTGGTCAGCCTGGTTATGGTCCCCCGCCATATGGTTCTACCCCTGGTGGTCAGCCTGGTTATGGTCAGGCACCTCCATCATACAATAGTGGTTCTTATGGTGCCGGTTACCCTCAGCCTCCAGTATATTCTGCTGATGGTACACCGGCACAGGCCGCCCAACAAGGTGGAGTTGCTAAAGCGTCACCTCAAAGTTGATTTAGTAGTGTGTTGATCGTGAATTTTTCGAATTGATGGGCTTTTATTGTTCTTTATTGTAATAGTAACTATATAGGTTTTAGTGTTTAGGTGGAAGCGTTGATGCTTCGAAGGTCTCCGTGTCTTGTATGGGTTGTTAGGAATTAATATTTCGTTGTACCTGATGTTGGGCCTTTTGTCCAGACTAGATATTTTGAACCGCCTTTTCTTCTGCTCCCTCCTCCTCCTCTTATAACTGAATTGCGTTTTCTCTTTTGTTCTTTTCTTTTTCCCTTTTACCACAATAACTGAACTACCAAATGCTTCAATTATTGGGTCTGTTGCATTTTTAGCCGGAGCACTCAGGTTGTACTGTTTAGTTACTTTTACAGATGAAAAAAATTGGGTAAAGCTGTAGAAATTTGTAGGTTAGCACCCGCTCCAAATTTCAAACGTCAAACTATATAGGAAAGTTTATGAAGTCTTATCTGTTGGTAAAAAAAGTTTGGATGAGCAAAAACCACCGACAAATGGCCCGTTTAACAGCAAGATAAAAATCATGATCCCAATCACAAAGTGAATTCAAACAATCTTCATTAATAAAAATTTACAATGTGTATTATTTTTTTAAAAAAATATTTTACAAAATTTGTACTGAAAGTATCCTTTTTAATTGAAAATTTTCCTTGTGCATTTAATAGAAATAATTTTAAAAAATTATAAATTTAAGAAATAAGGTAGAGTCATCAAGGTACATGTCATTATTGGACAAAGGTTTGTCCGGATCAGGATCATCGAACATCGTTCCGGCTCCCAACTACCGTTCTGTATATCACCGTCAACGTAAAATTTGACTGATATAAAAAAAAAAAAAAAAAACTCATTTTTGGAACCAAGTGATACAATTTGCCCTGCTTGATGGCAGAAAATACTTTATTAGCATTACCTAACATGCAGATCCCCCAAAATTTCTCCGACAGATTCCTAGTTATTGGTTCTCAATACACCATTTTAGACTCCAGGAATTGGATATCGAGTAGCAAGGGCTTCGACTTTCTCACGCAGACTTGAAATGTGGTCTTTCAAAGGGAATTCAGAGGATGATACAAACCTCATAAAGTCTTGAAGCTTTGTTCCTGAAGCCAAATGTTTGGCTTCAAGTGTAATCTGTACACCCTCATGAATGAAGTCTGCGATCAGAACAAACTCTTCCTTTCCCAGTCCTCTTGTTGTCATTGCCGGTGATCCAATGCGAATGCCTCCGGGAACCAAGGCACTTTTATCACCTGCCACGACTCTCATGCGTAAGTAAAATCATGTAATAAGTATTTGATCTAAGGCGATGGAATACATAAACAAGAGAAACAATACGGTAAGCAAGTAGCATGAATCTCACTAGGCACTGAATTTTTGTTGAGAGTTATAGAGGCCATGTCGAGAATTTTCTCCACCCGAGCACCATCAATACCCTAACACCATCGAAATCACAATCGTGTTGAACTTTCAATAAAAGGAAGGAAATTTGATATAAAAGAACTACATGCTTACAGATGGTCTCAGATCAACAAGAGCCAGGTGATTATCACTTCCACCAGAAACCAATTTGTAGCCATGTTCAATTAATCGATTGGCTAGAGCTCTACAGTTAGAGACTACCTGCAAGATCAAAGTCATATAATGCACTTCAAATTTGTAGCCATGTCAACATATGCCCAGGAAGGAGGACCAGAGTCACCAAAAATGAAAAGTGAAATACCTGGTTTTGGTAAACCTTAAATTCTGGGGACTGGGCATACTTCAGACAAACTGCCAATCCTCCAATTGTGTGATTATGAGGACCGCCCTGAATAAAGATAGTTTTGGGTTATATTATTATATCAAACTAGGAAGGTAGAGACATTTTACATCTGACCTCATAGCCACAAAAGGTACGAGACAATATCTTCCCAACAAGAATAGTAAAAAGTGACCCAAGCAGAGCCATTATCTAACCTGTAGGCCTGGAAAAACGGCATTGTTAATGGCAGCCTCTAGATCAACACCATGCACAGAATCTTTTTTGAAGAATATCATACCACCTCTTGGACCTCTTAGAGACTGCATAAAAGCATTTTAATAGAATCAAGTCATGAGCACGGAGCCGCGACTTAGAAGAGTATATAGTTAAATATAAAATGCGGGCTAGTTGTTAGAAAAATGCAAGTAAAATCCGCCCCTTTCTCTTTTGAACCATTAGTTAAAGCACGACATTGGGAATATCCCGAGGCAAACCTTGTGGGTTGTAGTTGTCACAATATCACAGAATTCAAAGGGATCAGCAACCACACCAGCAGCAACAAGTCCACTAGTATGAGCCATGTCCATCATAAGAAAAGCCCCTACTTCATCTGCAATCTTCCCATGCATATCAAATGTAATGTAATTAGCTTTTTGCTAAGAAAAGAAAAATCCCATATCGCAAAAAGAGAAATTCAATCACAAACAAAATATTCTAGAAAGTGAGCACAAACAAGACTTACTTTTCTCATCCGTGGATAGTCAATGTCTCGAGGATAAGCACTAGCACCAGCAATGATGAGTTTTGGTCGAAAGAGATTAGCAGTTTTCTCAAGCATATCATAGTCAATGAGGCCTGTTTATAATTCAAAAGTAAGTTGATAAGCTACCTGCAGATTATCAAATATATTTGCTATAAATTTAATAACAAAAATGTAAACACCTGTCAATTCATCAAGTCGATAAGGCATTGATTCAAAGTAGATTGATGTGCCTGATACTCTCCTTTTAGGAGTCATGAATCCATGAGATAAATGTCCTCCATGGGGCAAGTCCAAGCCCTGAAAAATTTATCATTCTGTATCCGCACAACCTCATGACAGAGACCCTATTTTGAATCATGAGTGAAAATTGTTTACCATTATTCGATCATGTGGCTTAAGAATTGCTGTGTAAACCGCAAAATTAGCAGGAGATCCAGATAAGGGTTGAACGTTCACGCCCCATTTATTCCCATCCAAGCGAAATGCAGCCAATGCCCTCTCTTGACATAGTATTTCGAGCTCATCAATGTGCTCGTTTCCACCATAGTACCTTGTATAAAAAAGACACCAATTAATGCAGTTATAGGAGTGAAAGTAGGATTTGCCACTTAGTGAAACATTCATTTACTAAGTAGGAAAAAACAAAGAAATTCACCTCTTGCCAGGTAGTCCTTCTGAGTACTTGTTCGTGAGGCATGAGCCAACTGCTTCCATCACTGCCCTTGACGTAAAATTTTCTGAGGCAATAAGCTCAAGGCTTTTATACTGCCGGTTTTTTTCCTTGCCAATAATAGCATGAACCTCAGCATCAGCTTCACTCAAGCCATAGTCCAGGAAGCTGCTACCATCACCTGGAAATACCACGTGATCCCACAGACCAAAATATTAATGATTAGTTTATTGATCTCAAATGTTCAGCAGACCAAACACCTTGAACGCCAAACAAGAGGAAAGAATATACAACTCATTATGGCATTGAAGTGTCTAAGCCTTAGATATTTATTTGGTCTTTATAATTAAACACAAATGAGTCACATTAAATTCTACCCATTAAATGGTGAAGTTACCCCAATTTTAGGCATAGAGACTGAGAGAGGAGATGGTCTCCCACCCGCCAAACTTCCTTCAATATAAGATGCTTTACAAGCCTTCACATTATCGAGCTTTACTTGAGGAATGAACCCATAACTGTCACACCCATTAGCAGGAAAATTCAGCACCTTGGTCCAGGCAGATTGTTGCCAAGAACCCATCATCGCAACGGTACCACAGACTTGCATCTTCGCCTACGATTCTGTGATGAAAGGTCCTGCCTGGTTCACGATACATTGTACAACGGAGTTGAGATGAAAATGGCACACCATAGCGCGTTATAATTGCAACATCTTTCTCTCTAGCGGAAGATATTTTAGGCAAACATATTTCCTACTCTCAAGTTATTCAGAACAATTTTCAAATGAAAATGTTTAGAGTAAGTTGTTTAGGCACGTCTAAATATGGATGCAGATTTCATGCATGAAATTCTGCAACGCTACAGGAGTTATGTCATCCTTATTTTCATATCGAAACAACAGTCTAGCCGAAAAGAATAGCAAATATCAATCTAGTAATAAACAGTTTGTCCGGAATTCATAGAACAAGAGTAACAATGCCATTTTCAGAAACGCTAGCCAACAATAAAACAAGGAGTTTAACTTACATGCATCCTCGAATATTCATCAGAACTCCTCCCTCCCACTTTTACCCGACACAAATCACATGAGGGCACAAACACCAAGCTCAACACACACATCGTTCGCCAAACTACTATCTAAAATCACTAGATATCAAATAATAACCATCAACAACATGGATGAATAACAACAGACTAAAGATTTTTTTTTTTTTTAATGTTACTCCTTTACCCAACATAGGGGGGTTGACAGGACTCCAAAAAAAAAAAAAGACCACGGGGAAGTGAGCAGCAAAGGGAGGAGAAAACATCAACAGCTTTAGAAACAAAAGGAGATGAGAAAAGCTGAGGCGAAACTAACTTGCCTCAGGAAAAGCCAATGAGCTCTGAGCAGCTAGCACGCACCCAGAAAACTGCTTCGGGAAAGAAGGAAGCGCAAAGCAGAGCAAGGGAACGAAGAAAGACCAAAGACGAAAAACTGAGTGACTAGCGCAATAAGTAATTCTTCTATTATAAAATTTTAAAAATAAAAAAAAAGAATCATTCTGTAATAGAGGCCAGGATAGTTGTGGACGTTTATTTCGTGAATGGATAAGCCCATTACAAAGTTGAATCAGATTCGGCTCCTTTAAGAAAAGTCATCACATATGAACCATTCACGATCGCATCAATTACATTCTGAAGAAAAAATGCACCTAATTCCATTGAAAAAAGATAGAAAATGCAATATTAACTTCATAATACCTAAAACATTTTGATCAATTTAACAAATCCCATTTTGGTCTCAAGAGACCAAATTGGGATTATCATGTTAAATAAAAAGACCAAATTGCCTTTCAATTTATTTAGTGTTTTTAAAATACCAAATCTCTCACTGGCCGGCCGGTCCCCGGAGCTTCAGCGACCGGCCGACAATTGTTCACAGCAGTTAACAACAGGTTTTCTGGGAAATTCAACAAGATCCTACGGCCAAAAATTTTTTTTTTGAAAATTTTCACAACTTCAGTATAACGGTTAACAACTTTTGTGACGCTATTAACAATTTCAGTATAGCAGTTAACAATAGGTTTTTTGAGAAATTTAACAAGCTCCGGTAGTCAGAAAATTTTTTTTAAAAAATTTTTACAACTTCAGTATAACAGTTAACAGTATAACGGTTAACAACTTTTGTGACGCTATTAACAATTTCAGTATAGCAGTTAACAACAGGTTTTTTGAGAAATTTAACAAGCTCCGGTAGTCAGAAAATTTTTTTAAAAAATTTTTACAACTTCAGTATAACAGTTAACAACTTTTGTAACGCTATTAACAACTTCAGTATAATTATTAACAACAGGTTTTCTGTGAAATTCAACAAGGTCCGGCGGCCGGAAAAATTTTTTTTTGAAAATTTTCACAACTTCAGGATAACAGTTAACAACTTTTGTAATGCTGTTAACAATTTTAGTATAGTAGTTAACAACAGGTTTTTTGAGAAATTCAACAAGCTTCGGTAGCTATAAATTTTTTTTTTGAAAATTTTCACAATTTCAGTATAGCGGTTAACAATTTTTATAACACTATTAACAACTTCAGTATAGCAATTAACAACAAGTTTTCTGAGAAATTCAACAAGCTCTGGCAGCCGGAAACAATTTTTTTGGAAAATTTTTACAATTTCAGTATAACAGTTAACAACTTTTGTGACGCTATTCACAACTTCAGTATAGTAGTTAACAACAGGTTTTTCGGGAAATTCAACAATTAGTCGTCGGAGCTCTAACAGCCGGAAACAATTTTTTTGAAATTTTTTACAACGTCAGTATAACGGTTAACAACTTTCATAATGCTATTAACAACAAGGTTTTTGAGAAATTCAAAAAATAGCATTTTTACAACTTTAATAATACTATTAACAAGTTCTGTAACTCTATTAAAAATTTCAGTATAGCATTTAATAACATGTTTTCTTAAAAATTAAAAAAAAAAGAGGCATTTTTGCAACTTTAGCAACTACCTTTTTTTTTTGTTGAAAATTTTTACAATTTCAGTATAATGGTTAACAACTTTTATATTGTTATTAACAACTTCATTATAGCAGTTAACAAGTAGTTTTTCAAAAAACTTCAAAAAGTAGCATTTTTACAACTTCAGTAATATCGTTAACAAGTTCCGTAATTCTATTAACAACTTCGATATAGCATTTAATAATAGGTTTTGTTAAAAATTCAAAAAAATAGCATTTTTATAACTTTAACAACTACTTTTTTTTGAAAATTTTCACAACTTCAATATAACGGTTAACAACTTTTGTAATTCTATTAACAACTTCAATATAACAGTTAACAACAGGTTTTTCGGCAAATTCAAAAAGTAGCATTTTTACAACTTCAGTAATGCCGTTAACAAACTCAAAAACCTGTTGTTAACTGCTATATTGAAGTTGTTAATAGCGTCACAAAAGTTGTTAACCGTTATACTGAAGTTGTGAAAATTTTCAAAAAAAAATTTCTAACCGACGGAACTTCGATGAACAGCTCCGTTGACCATGGTATTAAAAACCGGACCGGACCGGTTGGGTTGAGCCAGAAACCGGCAACCCAGTCACTTATCCAGTCCGGTCAGGCCTCTAACTCGGGAAGAAGTGACTCGGGATAGCCTGGTCGTAACCTGGGTAACTCGGTTGTAACCTGGGAAACCCGTTGGGTTGGGCGGGTTGCCGAGTTACTCTTGAAAAAAATTTGTCTAGAGGACACAGAGGCTCAGATCCTCTAAAAAAGAACAAGCAAGTTTATTGTCAATCAGGAAAAAGAAGAAGGGCAGAAGTTTTCAATGTAGAAATCATAAAAAAGAGAAGAGAATGATTCTTGAAGATAAGAGCTTTCGTTGTTTGCGAGTACCGTGTATTGAGAAGAACACTGTGTGTGTGAGGAAGAGCGCAACCAGAAAATCAAAGGAAGCACTTACCAGACCGCCGGAGAAGACATATTGCTCAAAGAGCGTTGAGAGGCAGAGAACAAGAGAGAAGAAACAAAAGGGGCAGTAGGACACCGTGTAGAGTCAAATTGAAAAGAAAAACAGAGAAAAAAAAAAAGGAAAATGTCAGTCATAATCATAGCCTCAACGCGTTCTCTCTGACATGCATAGCGTGTTGCAGTTTCTTCCTTTATTTTTCAAAGCTCGCCCATTCTCCCACATTAATCAATACATCAGCCTATACAAATTATTTTTAATTATATAAAAAGGGGCAAATAGAAATTCATACGATGTTTTTTTTTTTAATAAATTATATACCATATGATAATTTAAAAATATTTTGTATACATTTTATATAAATTATATATTTTTGCTTATTACCTGTTTGACTCTGAGTCAACTCTGATCTAACCCACTAACCCTTGACCCACTAACCTAACCGGTTCAATGACCGGTCCGGTTTTCAGTAACTTGCCGGTGACTGCCACCGCCAGAGTTCTAATGACCGGCCGGCCAGTGAGAGATTTGGTATTTTAAAAACAATAAATAAATTAAAAGGCAATTTGATCTTTTCATTTAGCATGATAATCCCAATTTGGTCTCAAAAAATAAGTTACTTAAATTGAGCAGATGTTTTGGACATTATGAAATTAATATTGCATTTTTCTGTCTTTTTCCCAATTCCATTTTGCCGTAAGCACGTATGCTTCTGTTGGGGGAAAAAGAAATGCAGTTCCAAACTAAAATAAAATTACGTTTGCCATTATGAGATATTTTCCTCTGGATGCAGCCCTATCATGATTAAGAGAGATCATCCAAATTATTTTATCAAAGCTGTTTTCCCGATGATTTCATATTTTTCCTGTAATTATCATTAATGAACTCGCATGGGCGTAGGGCCAGGAATACTCTTCCAAACCAGCACAGGATACGGCCAGATATTTTAATTACGACAGTTCTTATTTTGATTATCATTATTCAGACGCAATTGTATGGATCATAGTGCTGAATAGTTTAACACAGAATTCCATGTGCCATTTAAAAGGGGGAAAAAAAATTCCGGGGGGGGGTCCTTCCTCGTACACGATCGTATCATTCAGTTGTATTTTTTCCACCATCCAGTTGTTAACTCTTTCTGGATCTTAAATGCGTAAACACACACACACACACAGATTTTGACGGTAATCCGGTCAAAAGCAAGTCTGAGTTTCTTTCATTCAATTCGAGAAAGACCGCCACTCCCTTCAGCTCGCGTCCTACAAGAGAAAATCATTAGTATTGGAGCGAAGAAACATTGTGACAAGGTAAAGCTCGTTAAACATACGGTTTTAAGATGGTGGACTTTTGGCCAAAAAAAAAAAAAAAGGACAGTGGACTTCCACAGGCACGTTAAGGATTTAAGCCAAGATGCTTCGGCTAAGAACTGTATTCAATGAAACGCATAAGCCATCCCGAATACCGTCTCAGTCGAATCAGACCCTTCTATTAGTTCTAGCAAGTGAATTCTTTCAGGATTAAAAACATAAATAGCAGAAGCTTCAATAATAAATACTTACTTGTGATCAGAAGGATTAGGCCTAAGCTCATAAACAATAGTGGCAACGACGTCCCTTTTTAACTGCACGACAAACAAAAAAGTTAAATTTCGTGATAGAATATGAACAATCTCAAAACCTTCAAATTAGCCGTTAGATGTACCTGGGTGGCCTCGCCTTTGAAGCCAATATATTGTATTTCAGTCGTGTCGCCACCAAAATTGCCAGGAAAGTGCAACGTAATGTTCGCCACGCTTTGGAATTTAGAATATCTAATAAAAAGAACTAAGACGTGATTGCGGTGACACAAGAAAACTCAAAGGAGGCAAAGCACAGGTTCAGTGATTATGATTACTGATACAATAAAATGGTAATCTCCTTCATCACTAGTTTCCACTTGGAAAAGATATTGCATACACGTATCATGTTCATTCAGTATATTTCTACGAGTTTATCGGATAATGCAAACCCCCCCCCCCCAAAAAAGAAACCAAAAGAAGAAGAAGAAGAAGAAGAAGAAGAAAGACAGAAAAAAAGAAATAGGTAACAATTACCTTGTCTGATATTCCAGTACTCCCTGCGTATTCTCAACCAAATCCCATTCCTAAGAAAGAAACATGCAATTATCATATTTTTTTTTCGGTTAATTGTCAATTAATCATAAGCAACCATTAATGAGGATATACCTGAACGACTTGCATGCTTTGAGCATCTGAAAAGTCAATGCCCTCTCGATTGATGAACCTGTTCAAGTTGAAGTGTTCAGCCTTCGGATAGATTAATGAAAAGATCTATATAATGAAGGCTGTGGGTGTGTGTGGTCTATATGTTTGTGCGGAGGCGGCAGAGACCGAACTTCTGATGAAAAATTAGGCACAGCATTTGTATTACTTGAAATAATGTTCATTCTACATGCTAAAATTGTATTGAGATAAACTATAAGCATTTAATAAAATATAACAAGGCTATTAAGGTAAACTAACGTCACCTCAAAATTTAAGCATCGAAAGAATTTCTGTACAATGCATTTAGCTACTTCCTTCAAGTTGAATGTTTTGATCATTCACTCAAATTCCTTTTTTCGTTAAGGAACACAACAAATACTGGCAAATCATTTTAACGCTGAATTGAGTTGGTCACTTTTTCAGACAGTCCTACGTCAATTCTATATTTTATTACTTCCAAAAGATGTTAAATACATAGGTGGTATTTACCATTATTAGCATGGAAGCAAAAAAAGATAAAAAGGACTTGATGGTCCAAGTACTTGAACGCATTGCCTTTCAGTGAAGTAGCTGGAGGTTGCTCTGTTACCTTACTCTTTGTGGGTATAACATTAAAAGAAAGTTCAAAACAGTTATAATTTTTTTGGACTTTTCGCCCCTCTGAATAGCCTCTCATTCTTCTTCCAAGGGGTTCAGAGAGAAGCAGACTCTTACATGTATTGGGGGGGGGGGGTGGTGAATTGCAAGTGACTCTACAAACATAGAAGCATTAGGAGGGGAAAAAATGAGCAATAAACAAGAGAATAGAACAATCTGCTTAGTGTAAACACTTACGCTCTCATCTTGGAAGGACCCGTGCCATCAGGTCCACCAATTATGCATATACTCTTGATCTTGACATCGGAAGTGAACCTGTTTCACTCAGATGCACAAAAGGTTTTGTAAGCATTAGAGAACCAAAATTTTTACGAGTAAAAAATAAAACTTGGACAACAAAGTTGATATAACCATGAAATAGATATGCGATCGCATGCACAACCAACATTGATGTAAGGGCTGTGTTAGATGTATTCATGACACAAAAAGAGATTTAACTAAAAGGAATGTATCAGCAAAATAATTTGATGTACTTTTTGTTTCTATAAAGGTAATTTGCTTTATACATGACAGATGGGGCAACATTAAAGTTCAGGGTTCTCGTTTGAAAAGAATCATTTTGCCATCCTGGTCTAGCTTCACGCTAAAGAATTAATATCTTAAAAGGGCTTGGGTAGGCTACACATTGAACTTGTTAGAGACAATCAATTTACATTATATGACATTGCGAACAATTTGGCTGAATTTTCCTTGGTCCATTCTTTATGAGTCAGATTCAGATGCAATAACTATCTCAATCAATCTTCGTGGTACAAGCATTAAAGAAGAGCAGTAGGCAAAAGTAGAAAAGGACACTTCTGCATACCAGTATAAACTGTAAACAACTTACGGAATGAAAACAAGTAATTCAGGGTCACCTTCGTTGCTTTTCAAGTGATCCTGTCACACCCAAGAGGACCAGAAAAGACACATCATGTGAAGATTTGCACGCAAGGGGAAATAAATGTATCATGTATTAAGCTGTGAAAAACGGGAATCAGGTCAGTTGATTGATTAAAACCAATATAAGTGGTTATGCAGCATTACCCCAGAAGAATCTAAACGTTGTTCCCAAGCTTTAAAAACTGACTTAACACTTCCTGGAGTTGCCTCATTTAGAGCAGACACCTGTTGGGTGGGGGGGGGGTTCAAGCAGAAGAAGCAAGTTGAGCATTGTTGATTCTTGACACATACCAATTCAAAGCTAGATTAATAGATAAGAATTTGTGTTTGTCGATTTAAGAGAGTATGCATCACTGTTCATTGCCAAGGACACAAAACTGTACAATATGCATTATATAATCCCAACTGCCATGGAACATATTAAACGGATGAGGTGATAGATGTATATCATAACAGTGCACATAGTTATAGATTTTATGGTGATGCAAAAATTGAATTTCGCTGTCTTCTCTAAATAAAGTATCCCGCCCCCGCCTACCCGGGGGCGGGGATCCTCCTTTCTATGTCAAATTCATCAATTACCTTCCATGCCCCAATTTAATCAAATTTGTTTGAGAATTATAAACACAGTGATTATATGGTTTTGAAGGGTTGAGCTCCATCCCCTCGCCCAAACAAGGGGGGGTGGGGGAAACCCACCCCAGCAAGTGATGTTCATCAAGCAGAAACATCATGTACACTGGACAAACACTGCTGTTTAAGATAAAATCTTTCTGAGTGCTTAAATATCACCTCTATATTATATGATTTTGAACACTAGGAGTTCAGAGCAACAAGGGCAGAGAATTTCAAACACTTGATTTATAAAAGCATGATCCTTCGCCGATGATGTCTAGTTAGCATTTGGAAAATCTATTGAACATAGATAGTTCCTCCAAGATTGATTATCGAATTTGATTGAAGCGAATTGTCACAGTAGAGTCATTAGAAGACAGTGCAGTATACGGGCAACCAAAGAAGGTGGAACAAACCTTGGAAAGATCTATGTGTTTGTAGAGGGACCAGTCAGAGGAACAGTTATGATCTTCACAACTGTGGTCATGTAAGCACGCCATTTTTAGCTTCAATCCCAAAACTCTCTGCGAGGCAAATGAGACGCGAAACTGCCAGAAGGGCGAACACGCGAACGCGGGGTGCCGGTGTGGCGGTGTCTATCCGAGTTTCTCTCCGTTGATTGCAAGCGTGCCGCACGACACCAGAGATCCGATGCGTTTAACTTTCGGCCAAAACGACAGCCCCCAAGCCCGGTTTTGTCCAGGTTTTCAAAAAAATACACACCCACGTACATTTGGTTCAAGGGTCGTCGAACAGAAATGAAACTATAATTTTAAAAATAATTTTATATTTTATAAAATAAATAAATAAATAAATTTATCTCAATTTATATAAAAAAAATATTTTTGAAATTTATAGATATATCCAAACACCCGTTTTTCATTTAAATTGGGTTTTAGAATGTTTGAGTAGAAATCAAATTATAATTTTAAAAATAATTCTACAATATACTACCTCCGATCCTAATTATAAGAACCAGTTGACTAATTTGAGAAGATTAAGGGAATAAGTTGAGTTAGTTATTTGTCCTAAATAAGTGTTGTTTTTCCTAAAATATCCCTACTAATTAAGTGTATTAACTAGAACTACAATTATTAGAAGGATTATCTTGGAAAAAATTGAGTAAATATGATAGACAAAGTGAATTGGGATCTTATATTTATGACCAAAATAAAATTCAAACATGATCTTATATTAAGGATCGGAGGTAGTATAAGATAAATATATGATAAGAGTTTTATTTATACTTATATAAAAATACTTTTAAAAAATATTTTTGGAAAACTAATCACCCCCTATGTTTCCACTTAGGCCGTAGTTTGTGGATTTTTAATAATTATAATATCACTTATATAAACACTTTTTTTTTTGGGTGAAAGAAAGGGGCCAAGCCCAACCATTACATCACAACTATTCTTCTCGGAGTTTCAAAACCAGACGCATCTAGTTTAATAAGGTCTTCGATCCAGTCAGGTGGGGTAGTCCAAGTAACTCGCACTGTATATATGGATACTATTTTGTATGATGATAGCGGTGATTGTATTCTGTGGCCAGTCCCCTCCTTTTCTGGCCACGTGGCCACTTCTCTCAAGTGCAATGTGTTGGGAAGTAAAACAACCCTTCAGGAAAAGAATATAATCTTACCAATCTTGAAACCTAAGCTAATTTATTGTTCTTATACGATAGGAAAAGCTTGAGAGCCTTGCTTCACAAGGAAGGTATGGATTGGTTCAGTGAGCAGTGGAAAAGTTTTGATACGTGTTAAGCAAGGTGATATATGTTTCTTGCGAGTTCAAAAAGACAAAGTTCGGAGAGCTGCCTCCGTTTAAAAAAAAAAAAAAAAACTAATGATGCTAAGTTCTAAATTCGTAGTACCACATGCTTGCACTGAATAAAGGGGGAAAAAGAGTGAGTACTAAGCTATGCTTGATGGCCAGCTGACGTTTTTAACTAAACATCAGGAAATTTTTGTTGAGAAGACGGTGGCCCTTTTACAGCTTTGAATTTATTATTCTGCTAGAACCTTATCACTAAGGAAAAACAAGTCCCTCACAAAATACAACAACATTTATAATTTGTAATACTCTTACGTATCTAAAGCACGATTTGACATTCAAATAAAATAAAGAAAATTACGCCATTGAAAGAATTTTTATGCACGGGCTTTGAACTCAATATCTCGCATTTAAATGACCAAACCTCTTTTTATTAAGACAAACGCCTGTCGAGAAAATGCCATCTGACTGTTTGTTCTGTATCTTTTGTTATTATCATTATCATCACATAAGATAATCTCAAAAGAAAGAAGGAGAAACACGAAGCCTGTATTTTCCTTACCTTATCTTTAGTACAGGGGAATTAGAATGGGAGGATTAGAAAAAATTTCATAAACATATTTAAAAAAATTGAAAAAGCGGTGTTATAAAATTTTGATGAAAAAATATATGATAAAAAGATAAGAAAAAATAGTTAAAAACTCTGAACCCGAATTTTTAAATTTTTTAAATTGAGCTTATGAAATTTTTTCTCCTATTTCCTTCCCTCTATTTTCTTCTTACCAAACAACCATCAAAGAAAAGATGCGGGGTGTAGATAAAATTTTTTTCACATGTTTTGTTTTGAGGTCTATAAAATTATTTTTAAAGAGCTAATTCAATCTAACAGTAGTGTACACTGTAAGAGAAAAGAAAAACTGGTAGCAAAATCAAAAACGGAAAGGAGCAATAAAGGAATCCCGATACCCCCGGAAAGAAGATTCTGTCCTCACTAATTTCGGACCAGTCGGGCCGGGCGGACCCAACGTGTTGGCATCATAATTGAAGCCCAGCCGAAAGCTCTGTTCTTTATCTGATTCTTGACTTGCAAGATTCCTTGTCACCTCGACGCCACTTGTCAATGTCGCTCTAAAAGATCCCGCTACGCATCAACTACCTCCCATAATGTATTATTGGCGCCTCTCACAAGTCACCAATCTCTCCTCCAGTGATTTACCACGCAAGGTCTCTAATCACTGCTTTTATCCAATGGGCGATGATCCATCCATAACTCATCCTATCATTTTTCCCGGCAGCCACAAGGCCTTTTGGTTTCCTGTATTTTGTTGCGATTCCATCAAACGTAACCAGTGACATCATTTTAAAAGCGGCTAAGCAAGTTGCGTACCTTATCTCCAAGCATCATGGGACCTCTCCCAGCGAAGTGAAATTGTAGCTCCTGTTCTTAACATGAATTACTTTTCCGGTCTTTAATATAAAATTCATTTAACTAATTTGATTATATTAAGGAAGTTAGGTAAGTTAGTTAATTATAAAAAATGTGACATGTTTTCCGAAAACACCATAATCATCTTTCTTAATACCCACCTCCATTTTCTACTTGATTATGGCTGAAAGAGTATCCATAAGGGTAATTTAGAGAAAATTGATAAATATGATAAATGGGCTTTATATTTAGGATCAAAACTAACTCAATAATTGGGTCCTATGTTAAGGACCAGAGGAATAGACAACTAATCTGTAAATATTAAAAAAAATGAGTTAAGTTACTGATTTATAACAGCCTAAAATACTATTATTAATGATTTCTATTGAAATAAAAAATCTTTTAATACATGTAATCAAAATAGACACAATAGGTTTATTGAATTATGATTTTATATTCAGGATAAAATTAAACTTTCAACTGGCTCTTATATGTAGAATAGGAGGTAGTCATAAAGTAAAACGAAAGGGTGATGATATGCACGGGTTGTTTTAATCAACGTCTTCTTCAAAATAGAGCCTATTTATGCACGATACAATATAATATAAAATTTTTAAAAAGCCAGAGTGTTAATTTGTCATCAATACCCTGAATTTCGATCTAGTTTGGTTGAAAAATCACGCAGGGAAAAATTATAATAATTAAAAGGTCTCGTAACAGGTAAATAACATATACTTATCTGGGTTCCTATTCATTGGTTTCAATCTAATTTTCTTTTTACTTTTTGATTAAAAAAGATTTTCTTTTTATTTAACGGAGAGAATGCATTAGTGCACCCTCTTGTAGTCTTGTTTGGTGCTTGGCTGCTTGCTCGTGATAATAATTGATAACATGCAAAACAACACACACCTCAAGGAAACCCATCATGAAAAGAGCGAGGGCTTGGGGCTGCCCACGCGTAGCAGGTGCCCATTTTAAATTCAAAGATGAGTATGAAAAACTCACTTCTTTTAGACCATTCAGATTTAAGTAGTTTAAATTTAATTTTTTAATTAATTATTTTTACATAACAAAAAATATTTTTTAAAAAAGTAATAGTTGAGAAATTATTTTTATTTTAGATTTTGTACTCATTAAAAGGATTATTTAAAAAATTAAACTTGAACCACTTAGATAGGATGAGCTATAAAGATAAGCACCTAGACTGTATGGCTGGCCATTCCGGGAAATTATAAGGAAAGCGGGCGATGTTCCCGGTTTCACGTGCTTGTCAGGATCAGCGGAAAGACGTCAAAATATTTTTATGCTAATGGCCACAGAGTGTCCATGTCGATTACGTAAGTAAAGAATTTCGTATATCAAGTAGATTCATGTAAATGGACAAAAACCAGATTCCATTATTTCTTCTTTCTCTGATTTTTTTCTTCGGTACATGAATAAAGATTCCTTCCCCCGAAGATGTATGTGGGACAGCAGGTTTAGGTGGGACCAAAAGCGGTCCAATAATTTCGGTGATTCGTGTCTGTAGCCCAACTAATTTCAAACCTCCAAGCATTGCCAATACCTAATGGCTGACCAAGATGAGAAGCAGGCATCGGAGGTAACTTCCTCGTCAAATCGCACTGGCTGAAACGAAAGTGAAACAACGTGGGCCACCCAAGTTGCAGGAAAGTCCCAAGTGACCAATTATAAAATATCATAGCCTGTGAGCCCAACCCATAATGCAGTTGCGTTAGTTATTATACTACTATTTTGTTGTAGTCTTCACCTAACCTTCCTACTTTGCATCTCTTCCTGACCCTCTGCCATGAATTTCTTTTCGTCGGCACTCATCGTCTTCCTCTTCGGGACCCTCTCCTGCGCGGCTTTTGCCGCCCGAGATCTTGATGGAGGGATCATCCAGTTGCCTTCGGAAGCTACGAGGTTCTTTCATGGGGGTCGCACGGAGGAGGAGAACCAACACGCTGATGCCGAGGGAACGAAGTGGGCTGTTTTGATCGCTGGTTCTAGCGGCTACTGGAATTACAGACACCAGGTCATGCCTCTTGCCTTCGATTTTTTCTGCTGTTATAATTACTTTATACGTTCGCGCATCCATTTTTTCCCTGTATTTTTTTTTTGACAGGACAAACTTCATGTTTAAGCTGCGGTTTATCATTTCAATTTTCCTATTGGCTTTCGGCAGGAATTGTTTGATTTCCTAGTAGACCTTAACCGGAAAATCAAGATGAGCGATGAACTTATTCATACACCTTGTTCATGTTCATACTCTGTTTAAAGCCCTGTTCCTTCTCTGCCGATTGTATGCAAAAAACTATACGAAATATGTTTTCTCTAATGTATATGGCCATCCCGTGCAGAAAAACAATTGCATCATCCTGAAATATTCTTATCTCGCAGTATGTTCGATAACGGATCTAGCATTAAATTTCCATGGAGAGAAAATTAGACAATTTAACATGCTATTGCTTGTATAACATAGTAAAGGGGACTTAAAATTTTCTTCTCTCGAGGACTGGCTAACTGATGTTTGTAGCTCTATTGTTTGATTAATACTGACTTTGGTCTTCACCTTTGTATCAGTCGGATGTTTGTCATGCGTATCAACTTCTGAGAAAGGTGGCCTGAAAGAAGAAAATATTGTTGTGTTTATGTACGATGATATTGCTTTCAACGAAGAGAACCCAAGGCCTGGAATTATCATTAACAGTCCAGATGGGGATGATGTTTATAAAGGGGTTCCGAAGGTCTGTCATGTTTCATTCTGGTATCCTTTGTCAATAATAAACTTTATGATCTTGGCATATGATATGGGAGTTTATTATTGCAGGATTACACTGGTGAAGATGTTAATGTTGATAACTTTTTCGCTGTTATACTTGGAAATAAGACAGCTCTTAAAGGTGGCAGTGGGAAGGTTGTGGATAGTGGTCCCAATGACCATATATTTATATACTACACTGATCATGGTGGTCCGGGAGTTCTCGGTTAGTGGCACTGAATCTTTTCATGGAAACTGTAATGAAAATATTGAACCATGTTTAACTTATAAGCATTTCAACATAGCACAGGCCTTGTATTTCAGGTTTTTACTGACAAACTGTACTACCCATAGCCCATATTTGTCTTTCTGATTTTTTTTTGTTTAACTATGCCTGGGTATAATGAAAATTTTGAAACGTACAAATTTAAGCACTGCTGATGGTGGTTTTCAGCAGGAACTCATGTTCGGTAGAACTTGGCACCTGAGAAGCAAAACTTTATCAAGTTTGTTTGAATGTGCCAAATCGACCAAAAATGTCAACAGATAAATGATGTATCTTGATGAATTTAAGGATGAAATATATCACAACTTCAGTTCAGTTTGTTGGAGAAGATTTTTGGGTCTTTAAAACTTCCTGCGTGCTTAATATGAATTGTATTGCATTTCTGTTATTCCTTAAGGATGGAGGGGGAAATAAATTGAGTAACTTAGTATAATACATCATGACTAGACATCATAATCTTTTTGCTTGATTGATTTCAAGGCATGCGATGTTATTTAATATAAATCTCTAACCAGCAAAGAATTTTCGCTCATCATATCTGATGCTCTGTTTTATAATGTTTGTATTGCGAAGTATTAAAATGATATTCATGCTCAGTAATGCTTTAGTTTTTAACATTTGTTGATTATTATATATGTTCACCATTTTACCCGAGGCCTTTTACATTTTCTTTATTGACTTTTTGGGGGCTGGATTTCAGGGATGCCTACTAGTCCTTACCTATATGCGAATGATCTCATTGAAGTTCTGAAAAAGAAGCATGCTTCTGGAACGTATAAAAGCCTAGTAAGTTTCTGGTAAACGGTCATTTGTTACTATTGTACCGTAACTTATTCAGGCTAAGAACTAATGCTTCATATTTATGTAATGGTGATGCAGGTATTTTACCTTGAGGCTTGTGAATCTGGGAGCATCTTTGAAGGTCTTCTTCCTGAAGGTTTGAATATTTATGCTACAACAGCTTCCAATGCAGACGAAAGCAGTTGGGGAACTTATTGCCCTGGGGAGTATCCTAGTCCTCCCCCAGAATATGAAACTTGCTTAGGTGACCTGTACAGTGTTGCCTGGATGGAAGACAGGTAGGTTCACAACTTCTACTGTAAGCATTGTGTGTTTGTGTGTGTATTTTAATGTTATATGACATAATTAGGTAACATTTGCTGTGTAGAGTTATGGGGTGCTTCAAATGACTATGAATGTAAATGGATAACTAGATCATATGTCATGCCAATTTAGGGCTGTATATCATGTGAACTTGAAGTGCACGTGTGCTAATTTTGGTTTTCTAAACTCCTGAGCAGTGATATTCACAATTTGCGAACAGAAACATTGCACCAACAGTATAAACTGGTAAGATTCTCTGGCTAACATAGAATGTTTATATTAGTATTTTCAAATTCTTGTACCTTTTTTTTTTTTTTTTTTGGGCCATCGTTTCAAATTCCTGTTCTAATTTTATGGGCTGAAGACATGTTGAATGTTACTTTATGTGATGGATGCCTTTTATGTTCCACCGTGTTTGCAGGTTAAAAGAAGGACAATGAATGGAAATGCCGTCTATGGCTCTCACGTGATGCAATATGGCGATGTAGGGATTAGTAAGAATCATCTGGTACTCTATTTGGGAACCAATCCTGCTAATGAAAATTTCACTTTCGTGGATGAAAACTCCTTGAGGCCACCCACAAAAGCAGTTAACCAACGTGATGCTGATCTCATCCATTTTTGGGATAAGGTATCATGTACTTACTACATTATTTGATGAAGGGTATATAACAATTTAAGCTGCGCAGAATAAAATGATTATACTGATAAATAAGAGACAATTTTCAAGTGAATGTGCACCAGTCATTAAGTGTATCTTCCTACTAACAATTGGGGAAAAAAAAAATATCAAATAAAATTCATAAGCCTCAACGCCAATCAAAGTGGATGAAAACTTTTGATTCATGAAGTGCATGCCTGGTAAAGATACACAAGTAAAATGAAATTGATGTTAACTATTAGACTAAAGCAAGGAGAAGCTTAAATTAAAACGAACTTGCCAAAATAAAATTCATGCTTAGGAAAAGGAGGCTCTAAATAGAAGTGATCACAACTAAAAGTGGGATAAGTTGTTTAGATATAATTAGATTTCTGGTTTAGAGAACTTACTGGATATTGATCAGTTTTGTGCAGGAATGCTATACGGCATGTTAGCATGAGTAGCTAAATTTTATAAATAATATCTTAATTATGCCCCTATTGAAATTTTTCTGCCTTACTCATGACTTGAAGCGGCATGTAAATGGTTAGGATAAATTCCATAATTAGTGATCACCGTAATCTTTTAATTGAATTGAACATTAGCAATGACTAGAGGATTAGGGACGACCATGAGGACTTAGGGGGAGAAACCTTGTATTGCTCTCACATTACTCCTGAGAGATTAAAAACAAAGTGCTAAGAGTAGATGCACTGGATACAAAATATGCAGATTTCAAATCATTTGGATGCGTAACATTAGGCAGCCAGCTATAAGGCGATATAGAGCAAACTCAGGGACTCAGGATCATGTGTTGTGTGGATAGAAGGGTCTGGAAATCAGAAAGTACTTGGATTGTTCGGTAGGAGTAGAATGAATGATCATGCATTTAAGGAATTTAAGCGAGTCGATTAGCCTTTTCTTTCTTCTGTCTTTGTTCCTTCCCTCTTCCGGGGCGCGAATTTAATGCAGAAACTAGAATAAATGAGATTCCTCAGCACTCTTATTTTAAAGTCCAACTCCTCCCCCTTTCCTTACATTTTATTTCGGTGACTTCATCTTCCCTGTGTTGTGCCAGTACCGCAAAGCTCCTGAGGGTTCTCCTAGGAAAGTCAAAGCTCAGAAACAAGTTTTGGAAGCTATGTCTCACAGAATGCATTTAGACAACAGCGTAAAACTTATTGGAAAGCTGTTATTTGGCATTGAAAAGGGTCCGGAAGTGCTCAACTCTGTTCGGTCTGTTGGGCAACCACTCGTTGATGACTGGAACTGCTTGAAAATGATGGTACTATTGCCTTTTATTTCTTTTTTAATTTATTGTTCGCACAATGTACAATATTAGAGGATTCCAACAGTTTTGTTTTCCCATAAATGTTTGAAGAGACTCAGCTTACATTTCTTGATTACCGTAAATAATCTTTCCTATTTGATTCACGAGAGGACTTCTTAATCCATTCTGGGTGCAGGTCAGGACATTTGAGACATATTGTGGATCCTTGTCCCAGTATGGGATGAAGCACATGAGGTCTTTTGCAAACATCTGCAATGCAGGAATACAGCATGAACAAATGGCGGAGGCCTCAGCACAGGCATGCGTCAGTGTTCCCGCCACCCCCTGGAGTTCTCTGCACAAGGGTTTCAGTGCATAATGGTCGGAGGATGAGCAGCGCCCTGGAAGATCAATGCATAACTGCTGTTTATATGTTTCATAGCTGTATATAGCTATATGTGATGTTCACTTGTCACAAGTGCTTATGCATTCTCTGTAAATATAATTTGATCAGTGTGGGATATCTCTGGTATTGTAATTGTGAACCGTCGCTATTATACGACGACTGTGATGCTATATTTGTTCCTATCATCATTGCAAGAGAACTCATTAAATTAAATTCTATGGAATCGTGTATTTTGCAGCAGAATCAGGGATAAGGCCCTTGCTCCTTAGAACGTGTGTTGTAATAGCAAGGCTGTGTGTGTTCGAACGGAAACATGACCAATGGAAAAGGGTCATGTTATAATGACAATTTGTTTGGAATGCAAGATCTTCAAGCCAATTCCTTTTGGAAGGTCATACAAGTAAATTTCTCCACGGTTACATTGTGAAGCTGCTCCCAACATCGAGAATAAGTTCCTTTTGCAAGTTTAATCTGTGGGGTCTTTCCAGGGTTTTCTCCATTTATATTTATTTTTACTTTTATTCTTCTACAAAATGGTAAAATATTCGCCGCTTTTCACGGGCACATTAATTTTAATACACATCTGTTCTTTAGTATAAGATTTATTTAACTAGTTTGATTAAATTAAGAAAGTTAAGTAAATTAATTATAAAAAATACAACATATTTTTTTAATAAAATACTATAATTATCTTTTTTAATATCCGTTGTCTCTTTTCTATTTGATTATAGTTAGGAACAATTAATAAATATAAAAAATATGTCTTATATTTAGAATCAAAATTAACTTGACAACTAGATTTTATATTAAGAATAGGAAGAGTATTATTTTTTTTTTATTGTTATACGCGCATCATTCCCGCATTCCTTTTGTTAAAAACTTTTCTCCATACCAAGTGATATGATGTTTTTTGGTCAAAAAAATTCCTGATTCTAAGGACTATAACATCGTAGAAAAAGTAATTTCTCCATCGGATGGTTGGATGTAGAAACATTGACTCCCGACACCAGTACGTCAGGGTTATCAGAGTTGCATATTCACTCCAAGAGCATAACTTTGGTCGGTATGTGAAAATATATTTAATATAAAATTAATTAATTAATTAATTTGAGTAGATTAAAAATATTTATTTAGTTCCTTACCAAAAAAAAAAATTTATTTAGTTAGTTTTTTGTGATAAATAAATATTATATTTCCTGAAATAGCCTTACTAATAATATGTATTAATTAGAACCATCATTTAGTAAAATCTTTAATATGTATAGCTACTATAAAAACTATTTTAAAAAAATAGATAAATATGAAAAATAAAGTAAATTTGGGTTTTATATTTAAAAACAGATTGAAAGTTAAACTAACTTTTGTATATTAAAGAATGGAGCTAGCATCTTATATAGTTGACATCATTTCAAACCATTGTCCATCGATGGCGTTAAAAATTCCATCGAGACAATGAACCAAAATTATGTACTTCTTCGATCTTTAATATAGGATCTAATTATTGAGTTGATTATAATCCTAAATATAAGACTTATTTCACATGTTTATCAATTTTTTCTAAACTACTCCTATGACTCAACCATAATCAAATAGAAGAAGGACAGAGGATATTAAGGAAGACGATTATAGTGTTTTAGAAAAAAAAAGTCATATTTTTTTATAATTAACTAACTTATCTAACTTTTTTAATCTAATTAAATTAGTTAAAAATGTCTGAGGAGTATTTACCATTTAAAATGACATGACAAGTGATAATACAGGCATCAAGCTTCCATGGACCTTGTAAGTGCTGGTTGGAAGCACATTTCATTATTTCATATGCACCCGTAAAATGCGTTGGTGATGGAGGGGTATGAACTCTAAAATTTAAAATTTTAATAATTGGCCAAACTGGCCCTCTTCACAAACTTCAATCTGGATTGGCTCTACACGAAATAAAAAGTCATATTTGAGGGTATTGAATATTTTTTTTTAATAATCTTTTCTCTCTCAAGTGTCTCAAATGGCATGATTTTTATACATTTTCAAAAAACTTACATTATTTTCTTTTAATACTAAGAGACCTTTACTTAATTTATAGATTCCTGCATTTACTCCTTACACATCATGAATAATGCTAAATATATGATTGATTAGTATAAAGTGGTCATTCCCAAGTTTTAAATATGATAAATTTAAAATTTATATTTTTAAGAACTACAGGAATACTTTTATAGGGAGGAGCTACTTTATACGTTTTTTAAAACATCAAAGCAATTTCATAATTTTATTGGATATCTCATAATTTTTGAATGGGCATTTTTTGACCAAAAATTTTGAATGTGTATTCTTAATTAATTTATCTTATTATTATTAAAAATTGTCATTACAGTCACGATGGAATTACAGATGGCCATGATTTAGTGATTGCCTGAATATGTAGTTACAAGATTCAAGTTTAGCATTTGTAACTATTCAAATAATAATAAAACAAAACAAGTTTATATCCATGATTTTTTTTTTGGGGGGTTCAGAGGCTCAGAGCTATCTATAAGAAATAATGGACGTCGCATGGTTGTTTTAACCGATGTTATGGTGCGACATAATTAATCAACATGATTCACTAAACCTTAATCTACCACGATGAGTTGCCCCAATAGAATAATCTAAAGCTAAAATGCATGTACATGAAAAATGAGATAATGAAATTAGTTTACCTAATATTACCTCTGGTCCTAATTATAATACCTAGTTGACTAATCTGAGTAGATTAAAAAATTTAGTTAAATTAGTTATTTGTAATGAATATGTGTTGTTTTTTCTAAAATATCCTTACTAATCAAGTTTGTTATCTAGAACTACCATTATTAAAGGACTATCTTGAAAAAAAATAGATAAATATGAAAAACAAAGTGGATTGGATCTTATATTTAGGATTAAAATAAAAGTCAAGCAAAATCTTATATTAAGGATCAAAGGTAGTATTAATACAAGGCTTTTTATAGATGCTTTTTAGAACTATAAAATCTCCAAAATTTAATTCATTTAAATCTCTATTTTTAAATAAATTATCTCCTCTTTTTTTTGGTCGAGGAGGCGGTGAAAATCGAAGCTACCTTTCAAAAGTTCAGTTGAGAAACTCAGATGATATATTTCTCTTGTAAAAAAACTGAGATATATTTCTTTTATAAAAAAATTGATGCGATATTAATTACGCAAGCCATTGTATTCTCCCAGGTGCAAAAAAGTCATTTTATTTAGGGTAAATGAATAAATGATATATGAGGGGATATTTGGCAACTTTCAAAACATGGTTTCAGAAACACTTTTCTGTAAAACGAAGCAAATTCCTTTACATATTTACTTCGTAAACCGTAAAAGCACTTCTGAAACTATGGTTTGATTTCTATCCAAATACCCCTGAATCTCATATCGCTGTGGGGATCACGCCGTGAGATAAAGATTTAACGGCGAAGGGGCAGCGCCCGGGAGTCCTAACGGAGTTAGCACGTCGCGGGGGGTGACCTTTGTATAGATTATGGGAGGATAAAGGAATGCCGTCTGATTCCGAATGAACGATCATCAATTCTCGGAGGGACGGTTGGTGTGAGGGAGAGGAGCACACCATGTATATATTAAAATGCCTCTACAAGAAATGCTCTGCATTTCGTTTTATCACAAGAAGAAGAAGAAGCTCCCTGTACTCTTCTTCCGTCCCTCTATCATCTCCGACAAATTTCTTGTCTCGTTCCCCATTATCCGTCTAATCAAACGGGAGGATTTAGGATACAAGTTTTGATAACTGAACGGTGAATGGTAAGGATCTGGAACTTCTTTCAAGATATACGCCTGTAATTGTAGAAAAAGGTTCTGAGCGATGAGCTCAATTTCTATTTCTGTTTTTCTTTCCTGACTTTCACAGAGCAGAAGCTCAAATTTGTGGCCAATTCGAATTATTGACTGAATTATGTTCTTGGCTCGTTTTTGTCAACAGGTGCATGTCAAGAGAATTTGGAATTGGCGAATTTGCCAGAATTTGATTTTATTTATTCCTCTAACTGTTCTTGAGATTCCATTCGTTCATTGTGATACATAGATGGCCCTGGAGAATCACCAATTCTGAAGGTTGGGAATCAATCGAGCCAGAGCTTCATTCTCTTTCTGTTTTTGTTATTTGGCATGTGGGCTTAGTTATTTCTGTGCTGCTTGTCATTTACAGACTCATTTTCCTGGAAATCTAGGCGGAGACGGGAAGTGTAAACTATCCGGCAGATTACGGGAACGATCATCGCTTGCTTAGTTTAACCTGAGTCGCGGATTTAAACTAAGAATGTCATCATTAGTTGGATTTTCGCAATAGCTTTACATTAATCAAGGCCTGAGAACTGAAAGCGGCGAACTTTTTGGTCCTGGGTAGATGATTTTAGCTGAATCAGATTGAGTGAGGTGAGAGAACAACATGCTTTGTTAAGAATCAGAACTCAGGAATTGATTTAATCGACATCTGGATGCTGATTCGCTACTGCTCGCCGCAGCAGTTGCTCCCATTCTGCTACGGTTTATAGCTTTTACGCTGCTCTGAATTCTTTCTTCTCGTTGATTTCTCGCAGGATATTGAAAAATCGGCTCTTTTTCTTCTGCGCAAGGTTGTTTGAGAAGAAATTTGATTGCTACCAAAGTCGAAGTTTTCCGGTAATGCATTAATTCCTTGGCTCTGTTTCGTCGTTTGCTTGCTTTCCTGATCTCTTGCCTCATTTGGATGCTCCTTTCCTTCGCATATGCTTTCAAGGATTTGGGTCCTCCCTCCAACGCCGGCTGTATGGCTCGGCCGTTAATCTTCTGGTTCTCGAGCACGCTTATATTACTTATGCCGATTTTTGTTCGGTGATAGGTTCGCCTTTCATCTTTAAATTTCTGGAATGATGGAGAGCGAGTTCAGTTATCCATTTCTTTCTCTCACTCTCGATTTGTCTATGGTTTCTCTGTCAGGGCCTGTAAGGCTAAAATGGTTCGTTGATGCTCGGCCCTAAATTCATGAATTCTTTTTTTTTGGTGCCTATCCTTTGAATCTTGGTGTGGTTTCAGTCTTTAGAGACGAACCACTTTCTGAATCTTAAAAATTCAGGGTGTCAAGCGAGCCGATGCAATGATTGACACAGAACGGAGGGCTGATTCTGGGGTGATTCTAGTGCCGAGAGCAGCCCTGAATCCATTAACTCGTACATTTCTTTATTCTCTACATCGTCTTTCCCGTCAAAATGTGGCCATACCTCCCTCCCTTTAAAAGAGGAGGGAAAAAATGAAAGCTCTTTCGTTGACGCCAATTGGATTTTGAATTGTTTTGGATGGGAAAATATTTTCATAATCTCAGGTTCTCCGCCCCGTTAATCTGATCATCCATCTTGTCAGCGACACAGGAGATGCTCCCAGCGCACATGCTTCCCATCGTTGCTGGTGGTGTTTTACTATGTTTCTGGGTTTTCGGGAGGGCAAATCGTGACCGTACCATGCTCTGTTTAGAGTTAATAGATGGATGAATGTGATTGCTTGAAGGCGGAGTGGGCAGGGCCGGTGGTGGGTGGTGGGGAAGTCGCAGAATTCCAATTTGATGCAAATAATAGTTGTGTAATTCCAAAATTAACCCCCTTAACTTTACCTATTAATGATGGCAGGTGCGGAAAGGAGATGGATAAAGAGTCACTTAGGAGCAATAATAACATTAACAACAATCCCAAAGACAAGAGCGGGCTCGCCGGAGCAGATGCCTCGTCATTGTTATTGAGGGGAGGCTCCGATAGCATCAGACAGGCGGCCTCGACCACCACCACCACGACGTCTGATTTACTGTTGGGGTGGGGGAACCGGAAGCGGCTGAGGTGCATGAAGATTCAGGTGAAGGACGACTCTTCCGCCACGGTTCAGCGGACGACGGTTCGAGTGGACCGCCGGGTCGTCAAGGATCCTCCCAATCACTCCACACCTCCCGTCCCTAATGGCGCAATCACTCATAATCACAGCAACCGCTATCCCAACCTCCGTCAACGGTCATCGTCGCCGCAACAGCCGCCTCCGCGAATTCTCAGGTATATTCGTTTCCTTCCTCATTTTGGCCAATACAATTCACAGGGGAGGAGGAAAGAAGAAATATAGAGATATATTCATATTTATATGATTGGTGTTTGAGAGGTCGGTGATGACGTAGGGTGGGGTGAGTTAACGGCGTGATTTGCCACTTGCGTAGAAACAGGTGAGTATGTGTCTGGAGGATTTAGTGGGGGTGGGGGGGGGGGGGCGTCGTTTAGGGTTTGGATTGGAGTCCATTGCACGAGAGGTGGTGTGCTACAGCGGTTGAATTGTCTCGATCTTGAACTCGTTCCTTTTTTTGTTATTTTATTATATTAATTTAACGATACGATAATTTTTATTTGTTTTTGGTTAAGAAGAAAGAATGATGATTTATGGGGGCGAGTGGGGGCATGATGTTAATATATGGGTAGAATCGGGTGGAATAATGAAGTGATGGATGGGAATTTAGTTATATGTAAGGGTAGTAATGAGTGATGAAGATATGAAGGGAGAAAAGAAAGTGGATATGATGATGAGCGGAAGGGGAAGTGGGGGCAGAAGGCAGATGCGTAGTGCAGTCCATGTCTGCCACGTTTCACATGTCCAACAGCACCTTCGTGCTTCAAATGAAAATGCAATTTCTGGGGATGAGATCTGCGTTCCAATTGGAACATGAACACCGCCTCCGCCAAGAGCGTGACGTCAAAAACAAAAATTACTTCCCTTTTGGCTTTTACTGGGTTTAGGTTGGGTACGCTCTCTTTCGTTCTTATTAGTTCGAGATATTCTCGTTCGGCAGATGTGCAGCTCTGATCCGATCTTTGCTTGCTGAGGTGCGATCACTATACCCTGCCTCTTCCCCGCTCATGTCCTTGGTGCTTGCCAGTTGCCTGCCTCTTCCGATCATATTCCTTCCGATCTTCTGTCTCAAGCGCTATTCATGCTCATGGATTCCGTATTTTTTGGCCTTTTTATTTGTCAATCAAATTTTGCACTGCTGTTTCTGTTTCCGTTTCCGATTTGGCTGCCCCCAATTTGAAATCCTTGGGCTACAGTTTTATAGATCAAACATGTATATGGGGTGGCCTCTTGAAAAGAATATGTCGCCGCTTTTATTCTCAATAGCCCCCCACTTCAAAACTGGTATTCTAGATGGGTGCATCAATCCATTATCAGGATCGTTGGAAACATGGAATGGAGTGTCTCATCCACGTGTTTCCCTCACTGTCCTTTTCTGCTAGCCCCCATTTATGGCCGTCCGATGAGGTGCGGCCTTCCTCCTCTCATTCGACACGTAACCTTGATTTATCCAAAAGGCACTGCATCCGACGGCTAGAAGGAATCCCATTTCGCCCTACCCCTTCAAATATCTACTGCCTATAAATCTTTATCTTTATTCCTTATTAAAAGGGGGAACAAATTGAGATACGAAGGGAAGGAAAGGAGCGATCCCCTTGTTTAAAACGCAATGGAAATATAGAAAGTGCCCCGAAGAAACCAAAAGACCCACCCCATATTTTACGCAAAACCCGTCGAGATTCCAGTCCCTCCAATCCAGCGATCTAGACCATCCCCAAGGTCAATTTCGTAACTTTACCACTCCCAGTTATTTCCTCTCCTCTTTTACTTTTTATTTTTTTAAAAAAATATTTTGACATTCCTTTTCACCTTTTGCCCCCCTTCTAAACTCCCCCAAGGAAGGAAATGTTCAATCCAGATTTGTTGTGTTAATTTATTATGTATGTGCGTATATCGTTCATGATTATCAGAGGTAGGGATACATAATATCTGGTGTTGTGTGTGCTTGTTTTCTAATTTAGGAACTCGGAGACTTCGAGTGCTATGAGAGGCCAAAGCAACGGGGGCGTTAGGGGAATCGCGTCACCGGACAGGGGTGCGCACGATAAGAGAGGGTCCCATCACAACCACCACCACCACCACCACGATAATAACAAGTCCGCCGCCTCCTCCGACACCGCACACGATAGCAAGAAGGGTGGCTCGCCGTCCGGCAGTGGTGATGTCGCTCCTCCCGTTTGGCCCCCAAAGTTCGTGATAGCCCTCACTAACAAGGAGAAGGAAGAAGATTTTCTGGCAATCAAGGGTTCAAAGCTCCCTCAGAGACCCAAGAAGAGAGCCAAATTCATCCAACGCACTCTCAATGTAAGCTCCTTCCTTTTCCCTGTGCTCCTTCTTTTACTCCTTTTTCCGTCCAGTTTAATATTTTCTTTATCAAGTTTTGTTTCTTCCATATATTTCAATATTTAAATTTGATAGTCCATGATGCATTTACAAGATGACAGATTCCTGTCGATGGATTTCATTTTAGAATTTGGATCTTACGCTCTCATAGGACTTGGAAATAACTAGTTTTTAACAGTTCAAAAAAATAAAAAAGGTGCAGAAATCAAATCATCATTACCCAACTTGAATTTTAATTATCTTTTACTATGGGCTTGATTACTAAAGTTGTTTTGGACTTTTTGGTTTGGTAGCCAACAATAAGTGCAAAGCAATTTTACTGCAGTAATTGGAGGAATGTTGCATTTTGTATTTACGACGGGGTTAGGTAGGTACTTGAGCCCAGATTTATACCAGCCAATAGACCCGAATAATGACCTAAGTCTCGGTAAAAAATTAGTGGCACCACGTCTTTGGTCATAAGCTATGTCCCGTTCTGGAACCCCGATGGTGGAGCTAGTATAGATTTTTTGGTTTTCCAAACTGAAGTTTAACGAGCTTCCAAAGAGAGCAAGAAGGCAATCTGCCAAACCTAAAAAATAAAATTAGCTTGTGTTTATGTTCTAGGAAATCCCTTAGTGATTCATTGATTGACTCCCCCTCCCCCAGATTGCCCAGCAAAACCTATGGACTAGACTGGAGATGGAGATGGAGCTTATTTATTTATTGTGGCGTGCGTGAGGTTATTAAACTCTTTCATTTGTCGGGGCCTTGTACTGAAAAATCGTTTGCTTCTGGAAACCTGATAAAATATTACGTTCCGGAATTATTACGACAGATCATGGATTATAGACATAGTGGGCCCATTGAACGCAATCGTTGCTTTGTTGTGCTTTTTGGTGTGTCTGATCTGATCTCACAAAGCCACTTGACGAAGTTGCGGACAGACAGCTGTTTAATATGCCTTGTGCGTCCTGGCAGCTTGTCTTTTTCTTCCTCTGATTTCATTGAAAACCTACCAGTGAAATTATGATTACGGTGTTTTATAATAAAATCGCATCCTTTTTTTCCTTTTGGTCTCAAAGATCACGTCTTAAAAGAATAAAGTGAATTCTGCTGGAAAAAAAATAGGAGAGAGAAAAGTCTGAAGACATGGGAGAAATGTGGGTTGTCGTGGGATGGAGGCGGGGCATTTGCTTGCGGAGGTGAGCATATTGATTAGCCCGCGAGTTTGGGATGAGAGGTGCTAGTTGGGCCACGTGGACGGTCGTGATGGAGTTATTCTGAAAACCAAAATGTGAGATGCTTGAAGTAACCGACAAAATTAAAAAAGGACTGGCTGGGCGGCTGGCTTGTCTCTCTCTTGCATCTCTTGACTGCGTTTTCTTTCAAAAAAGTTTCCGTCTTTGATTTTATTCATATTCGTTAGGTGGATTGGAATCTCTAGTTAATTTAACCGCAAGACTTGAATGATACTGAGCTGTATATTCGGTTCACTTGGATTTGTGCAGCTCGTGAGTCCGGGTGCATGGCTGTGCGATCTCACCTTAGAACGATACGAGGTTAGGGAGAAGAAGATATCAAAAAAGGTATGCAATTGTCATTTATGCCCTTAACACTAAATGTTTGGCTTCTATTGCAGCTATTGCATGACTTGATATGACAATGGCTGATACTTAATGTAGAGACCAAGAGGGCTTAAAGCAATGGGCACCATGGACTCAGATTCTGAATAGGGGAACCCCAGGGAAGAGGCAGGGAGTTCTATCAGTCAGCTTGGCGCTCGGAAGAGGACTGTGTTGATGATAAAATGACAAGATGAAGTTGAACATGCATGTGTTGGATAAGAACGTGAAAAATGTTGCAATGGCTTTTTGAGCGTGCCATGAAATCAAATGCAAATTGCTTTCTCTGCGCCCTTCACCCACGCTAATTGTGTTTGTAAAACCAACTTAAAATGACTGACGGAAAGGCCCTTAAGGAGCAGAAGATATTTCGCTCCTGCTCAACTTTGGATTGATGGTATTTAGGCATGAAGAGTGATCGCTTAAAAGGAAGATAATTGTGCGAGACTCAGCCCGGTGTAAAAGGGCAAAGCAACCTTAAGAAACAATACATACGTAATTGTGGAATTCGATACTGTGCGCTAGCGGTGCAAGACCATACTCTCGGATGTAGCGAGTGTTAAAGACCTAACTTCACGTCCCGAAAGCAAAATTGTAAGCATTTAAGACTTCGGTCAGCATAAGTTCTTGAAATTCAGTCTCCAGTCACCATTTAGGACTTCGGCCTTTTAATTGGCACTCACCGTGCTTGTAAACACGAAGCGCGCAGATCCATACGGCAATGGAGACCGCCCGACTTGTTCCTCTTACAAGTGTGCCCCGTCAATCGGTTGGAAGCTGGTATCCGGTTTTCCTGTTTTTGGCTTATCAAGCAAATATCAGGGATGCTCATGTAAGTTGAGCTTCAACAGAACCCACAAGCTTGTTATGATGATATGTCTCAGCTCAGGAGCTCATTCACAACATTAGTTTTATACACCAAGAAAACAGGCCAGCAGGAAACTACATACAGCGTGTCAAGCAAGAACACTATAATATCCCAGTTTATCAGTTAACACAACATAATGTGTCAGTCCACCGTGTCAACGGCTGCGTTCCATGATGCTCCCTGGTATGACGCGAACTCTACTTCACCACATCAAAAGTAGCACGGACGTTTGATATCATGACCGGGCACTCTCCCTTCTCATCATACTCAGCAAACTCTCCACTTGACAAGTCAACGTCTACAAATTTAGTCCCCTCTAGCTACAAAAGCAACGCTTGCAATAATTAGTAAATATGGAAAACATTAAAAAGAAAGTAATGAAAATGAAGACATGATATAAATCTATGTATAATATAGAACCTATAAACTAATGGAAGTCACCTTTTCTGACTTATAAATAATGCAACTCACCTCAAACTCCTCACAGTCTAATACAGCAACTGCAGTGAGCATCAAACAGTACAAAGCAGGTAACCGATTCAAGATGCAGCTTATACATGTTACATTAATTACTGTATGAACACACTGGTTGAAAAGGGAAAACAAGATGCAGAAGATGACTAAGATCAGTGCAAGAAAGAACAGGGCAGGGAAGGAAATCAAATACTCATGATTGAAATATAGGGGCTTCAACCACCGAGCACACGTCAATAAAGAGTTTCGAAAGGGGCAATGGACCATAACATATTTAGCTCTCAACAGAAACCGCAACTAAACTAGTATATATTGTTGCTTTATTTAAAATGGGCAATATGAAGAGGAACTCAAATTACAGTTGCTGCTCTGGTTTATTTATAAGGTATTTACAGCATATCTCACACAAACAAAAAAAAACTTTAAAATGCATTAACCCTCCATTAAAATATACTCCTCCGGTCCTTAATATAAGACCCATTTAACTAATTTGATTAGATTAAGGAAATTAGATAAGTTAATTAATTATAAGAAAAGTGATACATTTTTCCTAAAACACCATAATCATCTTTCTTAATACCCTCTCTTTCTCTTCTATTTGATTATGATTGAGGAAGTATTCATAGGGGTAATTTAGAGAAAATTGATAAATATAAGAAATGGATCTTATATTTAGGACCAAAACCAATTCAAGAATTGAGTCCTATATTAAGGACCGAAGGAGTAACATTTTTTCAATTTTACCAATATTGAATAAGTACATCTTTCAAAAAAGATAACCATCTACACTATAATAAATAAAAGACAAAATAGTACATTCACGTTAAAAACTTAATGATTTATAAATAGAATAAAAAAAAACCTTCTCTCTTTGCCTTATAAATAAGACCCGATGAGTAAATGCCAGTGACATTAAGAATAATTTAAGACTGTAAATACAGTAAACCGTAATGATAATTACATAAATGAACACACTCACGGATTCAACTTTCCATCCACCGCTAAATATGAAATCCACCGGCTCATAGCCTCGGCAGTCGAATAACATCAATGGGGCATAATTCCCTGATTCACTCATTTCCTGGGTTAGTGGTTTACCTCGTCCTGGAATCATTGTCACTGTGCCATCTCTGCCACAAAACTTGCACTGCGGACCAAAGAAGAAACATCAAGAAATCACCAGCTGTAGGAAAAAACATTTAGAAGAATCTCAGATGGACAAATTATTGTCAAAGTTGATGTTAAGCAACAGAGATTAATCACATCAGCATGAAGTTTACTCCTCTAAAAGAGAAAAGAGCAGACGGTCAATCTTGCTAAATTAATGAAATTCTAATAATAATAATAAGACATCTTGAAGCTGACAAACTGACAAGTCAGATCAGATAGCAAGACGCTATTCATGATCTCCTCATCTGTGTACGAGAAATTATTTCAATCAGAAAACTGCATGACGGTGATAGGTTGCATCTCCTTTATCATACGTACATCTATACAAAGTGTGAAAACAATTTAATGGGTGCTACAATATACAAAATTGAAAACAAAGTATTGGATAATGGCGTCTTTATCTTTTTCTGTAAATTCATAATTACGGTTCCTCTCAGACATCTCAAGTCCTGGTAAATTAAAATGCTTCTAGACTGATCTTAAATGCTATGGGAAGCTGCTGGTAACTAGCAATCATTTGTGAATGAGCTCTGAATGCTCAGGATACTAAATGGTCCATGTAAAATACCAATAGATAGATTAAAGAAATCTCAGAATCACCGTGGACCAGTAGAATTGAGCTAACTATTCAGTGATCGCAACACAGTTACAGTTAGTTAATTTGCCAAATGATGTTCCCTCTATGGATACTGGTAAATGGAGAGATTGAGAGTACCTTCTGAATGAGATTAGTTGTCCCCTTGCCAACTGGGAGAGGAACAGTTTCATTCAAGGCCACGCAAGTTTCCTTTTGGCTCACCTCTCCACATCTCCCACATTTTACCTACACGGAAATATAACAAGGATGAGTGAAGTAAATATCACAATATCTAAAAAGGAGTTGATCGAAATTACAAGAGGACAGGGTATCCGTAAAGCTTGCAATAATAACATTATCCAGCATTTCATTCCCATTGATTTGGAAAGAACAGCCGCATCAAATAGGAGGACACACTACAAAATACAGTAATATTAAGCAAGAACGTAGTATTATTTAAAAGAAATCAAGGAAATATAAGAATGAAACTAATCATTAAGCCTCCGTAAAAGAGAAAGAAAAATACATTTAAAAAAATAAGGAACGTGAAGATTCTCTACGAGATTCTTATTGCGTTTAGCTTTCGTGACTTTCATGTATTATGCTGTAAGCATTGCGCAAAACATCTTGGAAAAAAACAACTTATTAACATAATTACAAGCTATTATATGTCATCCATTAAAAATCCAGAGATGAACCCGCGTAGCTTACACATATAAAGTAGGGGAAAACAGCGTACAACAAATCGAAGTGGAACAGAATCAGTGTCGGAAAAGAGTCGGCATATAATGAACTGAAGAATCGCGTGTTGGAATCAAACTCACTAGGGTTATGTAATAGGGAGCGATAATCGATACTGAAGGATTAGAGGAAAGAATAAGAAGAATGAAGCAGACAAAGCCCTAGGGGTTGGAGAGAGCCACCTTGAAGAGGTAGGAGAAATTGGGGTCATCGCAGCCACCTTGGGGTTCAAGGTTGGTGAGGTTCTCAAGGTCAGCGGCGATCATCAGCATGTAGTTCACCATTGTTCTTCGTTGGGCGCCTCAACTTCAAGCAATCCTCACTGGCTCATTCGTGTCTCGCGCTTCGCTCTCCTCTCTTTGCATCTGATTCGGACTATTGCAGGATTTGTACACCATCAGGGACTGCATCAACTTGAATTTCCAATTTTGCCCCCGGAGGATACATGAAGGCAAGCTATGCCGCCAAAAGGGTACCGCCAAGGATTAAATATCAACGAGGCAATCCCTTCTCTGGGAGCCGCCTTTACGGATTCGTCTGAATTCTGACACGGCGACCTTCAATTTCCCCCAACGAATCGATCCCTCCCTGTTCAGAATTCTCTTCATGAAATTATGATGTTCGTCATGGTCGAGATTTTCGTTCATTAACTGGTGACATTGTCCATAACACATATTCACACAACAATTCCTCATTAACTTTGTGATATCTACGTTCCAAGAATAAGAAAGACTTATTTGTTGGCCCAAACGGAGTAAGAGACTTATTTGGAGAGCCTGCACTATTTTCTCCTCTGGTAGCCATGTCATTAGATTCAATGCTATTGTAAAGATCAGTTACATTAATTCAAGGAAAAACGTGAAGCTTCTCTTCCTACTTACAGAAGATACCATCGTGATGAACCTGAGACATCAGTTACATTGAGAGCCACTTGTCCTGCGGTTAAAACAACCCGCTCAGGCGCGGAGGGGCCCACTCTTCCGCATCAACTCCTTCGGCGGCATAGGGATAAGCATATATGTATGAAGACACTATGCTAATAATATTACATTTGACTAGTTTTAAACATTGCATAGATATCTACATACAAATATATTGTAGCGCGACCAAAACCAAGGGGAAATATATCCGCTATAGGATGTCATCATACTCCAAAGGGCCCTTTTGGTACAAAATGGAATGAGAAAGAGAATGGGAATGAGAAAATTCTCTGCTACAAATATGGGAAGTGTCCCCCCCCCCCCCCAAAAAAAAAAGAAAGGCAATTTGTCATTTATCGCACATAAAAAAAATTCCCTCACATTTTCCCTCTTCTCAAATCCTTTCTCATATACCAAATGGCCCTTAAGAATACAGGGGCTCAATCCACTGTAGCATACTGACTTAGACGAAGGTCACTATACAGTGTCAAACTGTCGTCTCTCTTCTTGAATTGACTTGAAAATTCTAGCAGCTGATTCCGTTGCAGATCTGGGGTTGTGAGGCACAACCCTGATCACTCGCGTTTGCTGTCTGGTCTCTAGGAGAGGCAGAGAGTGAGGGGCTCTCTCTGCCTCTGTCTCTGGAAAAACTGGAGAAGCCATTGGAAAAAGAGGAAGTGCATCCCTTCCTTCAATTTGACTCGTGCTGGTGATTCTTTGTGCCATTTCACCAGGACTACTCGCTGTGCTTCCTTGTAACTCACTAGCCTTAGATGCCTGAAATTTCTTGACCTGTGACCGTGATATAGTTCTACTCTTCTGAACTGAGGGCAAATTACAAGAGCTTTGACGAGCATTGCTGTTGCTATTGCTGTTGCAGTTAGCTTCTTTACCAGACAAATGACCATTTTTACCATGAGGCCCTGGCCCAGCAAAATGGTTCTTCTGCTCAACAGCTGACCCAGACATCGCTGGAGCCATAACTGGCATATCATGACGAGGAAAGTAAGCATTACTGCTTGGAGGTGTGTCCGTTGGAACCCCTAAGCCTTGATGAGAAGCTGGGACTCCGTAGGCAGGATTCATAAAAGCACCTCCCAGAGGCCCTGGCCCAAAAGGTCCATACCCTCCACAAGCTGTTCCCGTGAATCCAGGTCCAGGATATGGCTTGTAGACAAGCCCCTCAGAAGGAGACATCACAGGAACTAACCACTGATGCCCAGGTGGCTGGTGTAAATACCAAGGATTATTTACCTGGTGGGAGTTTCCAAAAAAGGCGGTGTAATTCGAAAGGTGGCTACCATTTTTCACAGATGAAAGAGATGTTTTCCCAACTGCATTCTCCGCAGAACATTCCATGTTATGGTTACGCTTTTCAGAGTTGTCTTTACACTTGAGATCTTGTTGCTGAGGTTTCATAACATATTCCAATGTGTGTTTTTTGGGAGCAGATCCCTCTAAAGGAGGTTTTCCCAGAAAAGCATCCTCAAGCAAAATATCTGGTGATCCAGCAATCAGTTGTTGGACCTGCTTAATTTAAAAAAACAATACTTCATATAAACTCAAAGGATGAATGTTTATATGTGAGAAAAGCTAGCATGTTTCTCATTTTGGACTGCCACAAGCCATTTAGTGCCAGAAACCATTTTACCTTTATGAGTCTGTGCAACTCAAACACCTGGACTGCAAACACTCTCTGTTGACTGCAGAGAGGAACAGAAGTATAATCAAGAAATGTCACGGTGAATCTTTGAGGCACATAGAACCAAAATTAGGCAGAAGGTTTGGAAGTAGATACGATCATACAAGGAGAACCATTATATAAATTAACAACATTCGAAATCAGATGATCTTCAATCATAATAGGTATCTGGTTAAGTGGGACATAGAACAATCTCAAACTCATACGACACCCCATGTTGTGTTAGAATACAGGACTCTGTCTGTAGAAGCATATTAATTATGCACAAATATACTTATCACAACACTTGTTTGATAAAACACAAATCCCTTGGACTTAGGTCATACAATTCCAACAAGATCTCAGGGGGTTAAAGACAAAAACGCATAAGACCAAAAGAATACATTTCAAGGCAGGAAACGAAATTATACAATCCAAAAATAAGCATTTGACCAATATTGTATTCTCTGATTTATAGTTAAGATCAGACTCAACAAGGAACTTTAAGATGGGAAATATGTAGAACAATACAAATTTCCACTTTCCAGGGTAAAACTACGAACTAAAGATATATCTATATAATACAAAAACTATGAACTAAAGATGATGGAGCACTTAAGAGTTGTTTGTGTCAGAGCAAAACCAAGCAGCAAGTCTGTTAAATATGTTTTGCCTCAAGGGAAGAGAATGACGATTCAGAACACCAGCAGGAGGCAACATGAATGCACCTGGACAAAACCAAAACAAGGATGATGGTGAACATGGATGGATTAGTGAGGGAGAATGGTGGTACTACCAGGGACGGAGGACGATGGCAAGGTGGATTTTACAAGTTCATGGAATTGTGTAGCATCTATGGGGCATAAGCCTGGGGAATTAAAGAAGGTCTGCAACTAGCCTAAGACTTTGGTTTCAGGGAAGTAGAAGTGCAATCTGACTTGCTGAACCTAATTCAAACTATCAATGGCAATGCTGAACTCAAGCCAGCCAGCTCCGCAGTGCTGTTTATTAAGGACTTGATGCCGAGGCAATGGACAGTTTCAGTAGATCACATTAGGAAGAGGCCACTGGACCAGTGGATTGATTAGCCCCTTATGCAGCCAAATGTAAACAGAGCACGGACAATCTTAGGGAACCACCCAATTTTTTGGGGTATTGTTACCGAGGATCTTCTAGGGACTCAAGCCACTGCTGATGTAGAATCTTGGTTGGGCGTAGCCCATCGTTTATTTGCCAAAAAAAGAGGGGGAAAAAGAGAGAAGATGATGAGAAACCTTTCCTAGATAAATTTGAACATGTAAAGGAAAAGAAATTCACATTTCAAGAGTGTCTTAAACACAGAACCAAAACACCAGATAAGTAGGGGAAAATTCCATGACATCTAAGAAGTACTTGTCAAAAAACTCTCCATATGTCCATATTTCCTGGTACCATCCTGCGTTAGCTGGTTGCCATCATTTCTAGTCCTTCAATGCAATGCAATAAAAAGAAACTTGCCATTCGTCACAAGGGAAACCAAGCTAGAGAAAGCCAGGGCAGGAAAATATCCAAAGTCCAGCGGCTAAAGGTCAGTGAAGAATGAGATAACATGCTGTCATAGCATTTTCTTTCCAAAATAGCATAATATTAAGACTTCTAACGAACCTTCAGTAAGATGAAGCGCTATCCACCATTACATATATATAGATACATGAGCGTGTGTGTGTGTAGTATTGACTTCAGATGAACGAAAAATCCAATTTCGAAGCGATCAATCTTTTTGACCAGCGAAGGAATCCCAAGTCTATCAAATTTCTTTTATTCAAAGGCATATGTACAACTTATGCTTAAAAGGTAAAAGCCACTGGCTCAGTAGCCTGACTGCATTATAATTAGAGGTGCATATACCAACAACTGCGCTTCCAAATTCAATTATACAGCTAAATGATTTCTTATAACTTACCATTTTCAATACTCCAGTCTTCTCTAATGTTTCTCATTTTCTCAAAAAAGGCCTCACAAACTAATCATACATAAAAAATGAAAATAAAAAAAATATTTAAAAAAGTAAGAAAGGATGAGGAAAAAAAATCTGACCAATACATCAAAATAAGTAAGCTCTTTTTCCTTTCATTTGAAAATTATAATTATTACAATGCTCAACAAGTACAAGATACCATCACACCAAAGCATGTCATAAGAGTTCAGTTATCATATATGCAAAAAATGATTCACAAGGAAAAATTTAAGTTTAGTAGGACCACCCAAAAACAGGTGCTATGTACAGGTAACAAGACTTACTTGACAATAGCTCTTCTTGCTTTCCAGAAATGTTTTTGACCTATTATCTCCACAACATCATCAGGAGAAATTTCTTGGCTTAACAAATTATCTACCATGGAGATCTTGGAAACATTGTCACTTTTGTCCCAATTTTTCTTCATCAGACCTGTCCGCCTGGTATCATGACACTCTGTGTCATCAATAGCCTCAACTGGACTATCTTGATCAGCAGTAGAATGAAAGCAGCCTCTCAGTAAAGGGACGTCTCCCTTTTCTGTATCACTTGAAGGGCGAACAAGACCATCACTGCTTCTGGCGTTATTACATAGAGACACAGCTTCAAGATCCTGTTGTGGGCAAGCATCAGCCTGATGCAATCTGCCAAACCTTGATCCAGGACAATTCTGATCCTGATACTCTTGATTTCCAGTCGCATTGTCTTGCCTGGCAAGACCGTCAATATTTTCTCCATTTAAAATGTTCCTGGCAGATTTTACTGGCAGGTCCCTACTTGGGCTTTCATTTGAAAGAACATTACCCTCACATCTCACGTCTTTTCTTATATTGACGTATGGGAAGCCAAACTGTTTGGGATCCCTGTCACAATCATTTTGCACTTCTACTGCACAACCGAAATATCGAGGGCCTATGGCAGTGAATTTTCTTCCATCAAAAGTCTTCTGAGTATTATCGTTAGATTGACCAACTCTTGCATTCATATACATAGGAACCCTAAAGTCATCTTCATCTACCTTTTTTCTTTGCTCAGGTTTTGACATCGACGGGTTCTGATTTGCCACATCAGATTGATGAGAAATATTATTTTCATCTTGATAAGTAGGTGTTTGTGGAGGTAAATGAACAGGAAGGATATGGTTTCTCTCAGGAACAGTCCTCTGCAAACAAGTAAATCCAGAAATTCAGGAGAAAAAAGTTATTTCTCACTACACACGGCAAAGGTGCACACATACATCCCATAATGCAACAAACTCCAAGGTAGAACGTAGAAAATAAGAATAGCTAATTCATGAAATGCATATACTCTTGTTCTCAATGAACTAAACATGCACAAGTATTCCAAGCTTATAAATGAACGAAGCAGAAACACCTCAAAAAAGGTCACGTCCAAGTCCATGTCCAACACATATCGGAGACATGACGCTCTTTTTATTTTTATTTTTTTCCAGCAACACGACGCTCAAATTACTTAGAAACACTTCAGCTTTGTTTCTTCATATATAGCTAGCATGTACAAGTACAAACTGACATCTAGTTCCCGTTATCCAAGTACTGGACATGACTGGAGAAGTCCTCCAACGCCAGATGACATGCATATAAAGCCAGTGCACCAGAAGATGAATTTGCATAAAATAATGTCACAAATAGCAGGAATATTTATAGGAGGAGAAAGCAACTAAGAATACAAGCAAAGCCACAAAATCAAAAACTTACCTGGCTTGAGGATGCCAGGGAGACTGTGTTACTAGAACTAACAGGGTTAAGTGGCTGAACGCCTGGGTTGAACCTTTGAGATGGAATACTAAACTGTTCATAGAGGGCCATCTTATTCCTCGGCGGTGCTCTTGGACCACCCTTTTCCGTATCATTGACATGCAATCTAGGGAACATTGGCCTCACGAGCTTCTCATCATCTTTGCCTCTCTTCATCTTTACTCTTTCTAATAGACAAAAATTCCCTTTATGTTCAGACGCAAACGAGCAAAAAATATATGATCTCCAATTCACATATCCAGATGTAGGAGGCCGAATTATTTAAACCCAGCCAACAAAACCAGTTCTCACCATATCATGCTGCAGAGAGAGATATTATCGAAACCTAGATTTTTTTGATCAACTGAACTTCTAGAGAAGATACCAATATTTCGCCAACGGCGCACCGAGCGGACCTATGAAATTCAATCCTGCTGGCGAGAACTCAAAGCTCCGAAAATCCAAACACAGATTGCAACAATTTCCTGTGTATAAAAGCGATTCATTAAAAAAAAAAAAAAACTTAGATAATAACCCCAGCCCCGAAATCCGAAGAGGACTCTCTCCGGCTCAGATGCCAAATATGGGCTCCTTCGTTCCCCGTAAAGGGAGAAACCAAGCAATATCTGCAGAACTCAGCTAGAGAGATGAGGGTACTTAGTGAAGGACGCACGCGGCGGAAGTTAACGGGAAAAGGGGAATTTTGGGAAACGGTAGGAATACATGAGGGGATGATTGCGAAGATAAAGGCCACAGAGGGAAGGGATGAGGAGTCGAACTTATTCGAGAAGTGAATGTAAAGAAGTGGAGGCAGGCTAATTTAGGGATTCCTGAGAGGATCAGCACGCCCATCATCTTCAAAAAGGGAAAGAGAAAAGCGCGGAGACGTGGGCCCTCTTTGGGCAGAACTATAAGATCCCTTCTTTTTTTTTCTTTTCTTTTTACCAGCTAAAAGATCCCTTCTTTTACTTTCCGGTTTCAGCATTTATTATAATACTAATTTAACTGGATTTTGTCATCCAAACATGCTTCTGACTTTTAATTTATGTATTTCTGGATAAACACCTAGTGATACTTAACACTTTACGTTTTCATATCTTAAAGCTTTTTTTTTTAAGAACTTTACGTTTTCATATCTTAAAGCTTTTTTTTTTTAAGACTTTTTTCTTTTGGTCTCAAGCTTTTCTTAAAAGGTTAAGCTGCAATTCTGGCATGCAAACGTTAGTTGAGAAGCTGTTTGTCAGGTGTCCGACCAAGAGTCTTTAGTTACGGTCACGGTCCCGTGTTTTCACTGGTACGGTCGCAATGTCTTCGCCAGTACATGAGGTTAACTCAACTCATTAAGATTTTTTTCCCCTGGGAACCAGAAAAAGTTAAATGAAATTAAAATTCAAAAGGGATCAATATATACTACTTCCGTTCTTAATTATAAAAACTAGTTAACTAATTTAAAAAAAATTAAGAAAAGAAGTTAAGTTAATTATTTATAATAAATAAGTGTTGTCTTTCCTAAAATATCCTTACTAATCAAATGTATTGGTTAGAACTATTATTGTTAGAAGGACTATGTTGGGAAAAATACATAAATATAAGAGAAAAAATATATTAGGATCTTATATTTAGAATCAAAATAAAAATCAAACAAAGTCTTATATTAAGGACCGGAGGTAGTATTATTTAAAAGAAGAATAGATTATTCCGTTATTTGCTGTTGCTGGTCTGCAAGGCGTAACTGATATGCGTGTGTTGATATTGATGAGAATGTATATAATTCCCCCAAACTTCTAAATTAAAACTGATGCACATAACTCCCCTCATATTTTTGTTTGGCCAGATAAAACAATCCCCTCACATTTCAAAATTTGAAATCGGCATTTTTTTTTTCCAACCAGGAGCCCATCTTATTAATTTTTCTGTTACCTTGAAACACCTGGCATCTTATGGCATCAAGCCGTCATGCTTAACTTGTCTTTCTTGGAAAAAAGAAGGGTAGGAATGTAAATCTGCCAGTGGCAAAATGCATTTTCCCACTATCGCCTGCACTAGAGATTAACAAATAATTTACTGGAATGGGGTGTCATATTCAAAAGTGCAGCGCGCAAGGAAGGGAAGAATTTGTTATACAACCAAATAAAGATGTAAAGATGATTTAAAAATCATAGTTTCTGGCAAAGGGGAAAAAAAAAATCGTATTCATCATTCGCTTTTAAATTTGCACGACTAAATTCGAAAGGCGTGGAAGGAATGGATGACCTGATGAACAAGACAACAGTGAGGGAGATGCTAAGCACGAGGCAAATTTTCCACAACCTCTGCCGAGCCAGTCAGATCAAAGATAAAACCGATGACACTAATTTACTAACTACCTACCTACTAATCCTAAATATAAAACCCTTATACAACTAGTATAAGGGTCTTATATTTAAGATTAAAAAAGTTTTTTTTTCACTTTTCCATTTATAATGGTTTATAAGTAGTTTTTTTTAATTATGATTTACAGAATACAAAATAAATATGTGAGTAGAGTTTTATTTCGACTCACGTTAAATGTGTTTATAACAGTGTATCTGAATTAGTAGTAATAAAAATAACTTTTTTTTCAATCTGACAGCAAAAATCAGATAATATAATGTTATTTATATTTCGAAAAATAGTCGAGAAACTAAAACCTGTTTGAATGATTAATTAAAAAAATAATCTAGATATAAAATGATTAAAAAGACATGAATTTTATGTAGTCATCATATTTGATATTAAATGTATATAATGTGACAATCGTAAAGGACACATTTAAAAATAAAAGTATTAGAAATAAAGAAATTAATTTACTGTTAGGAAGAATTTGAAAAATATTAGAATACTTAATTAAATATATGGATATATATATAAATTAGAAGAAGCTCGCTCTTTTCTTTCATATTCTTTTTAAAGAAGAGATATGCATGCAAAAGAAGATAAATGAATAGGTAAAGAATTTAAAATACAGATTTTCTATCGCATTATTAGTCTCTACGTTAAAAGCAAGATGATGCAGCTTATGAAAAAAAAAAAGTCATTTGAAATAAAAAACCCAAATTGCCAAACTGCTAAACTGAGTATCACCGATTATACAAACCCAGCTTTGACCGGTTGGTAAGTTAGTTTAGACTTCCAAACATAATTCCAAACATATCCTAAATCATTTTAAATACTCTTCCGGTCCTAAATATAAAACTCTTATACACTTATATAAGGTGATTATATTTAGGACTAGAGGAGTATGATTTCAAACAGGGTCTTAATTGGCTCGTGTAAGACTGAGAATGAATCCTTTATACGGTTGTTGAAATAAACCTTTAACTTGCTCTTCCAAAAAATTAAAATCGGGTAGTCAACTCTCCCTCGTCTAAACCGTAAATATGCATAATTTTGCTTGCGATCGATATCTCATTTGCCAATAAATTTCATATTTCATAGACTATAATGCGGCCATTTTCTCTGCATCAAGTGATTGAATCATGGGCCAGACAATATTTCATTCCAATATTTGTTTCAAAATCAAACTAAATACCACCTCCTGCCTCAAAAAATGATCTGCTAGTTGCATCAGCGCAACTTCTTGACAGGTCAATTTCATTAAATCTACGGTATAGAGCCGTGTTCTTTTATTTTCCTTTTTTTGGGGTGATATTGACCAACGTTTGTTCGTTCCGAATGTCTGGTGTCAACCCCACTTTCCCAGAAAGACCGTGTCCGTTCAGAGTTCGGACCCCCGCAGTAACAAGGCAACAAATTACTCCTCCGATCCTTAATATAAAACCCATTTAACTAATTTGATTAGATTAAGAAAGTTAGGTAAGTTAGTTAATTATAAAAATTGTGACATGTTTTTCCTAAAATACCATAATCATCTTTCTTAATACCCCTCTCTATCTTCTACTTGATTATGGTTGATGGAGTATCCATAGGGATAATTTAGAGAAAATTGATAAATATGAGAAATGGGTCTTATATTTAGGACCAAAACCAACTCAGTAATTGGGTCTTATATTAAAGACCGGAGGAGTAGTAAAAAAATTCTTCACTGCATTCCAAATAAATTGGAGAAAAAACCCTTAAAGAAAAAATCTAGACGTTCTCACATTTACAGTAGGTGCTGTGGCGGCAGAAAAACTGTTCTCAGAATACTGGGAAGCCAGAGAGAATCAACCGACGCCTTAACAGGGTGCTTTTATTTTCAGTATTTAATGAGTTATACCAACTCGGGCAAACAGTAATCTTAAAAGCACGGATATTTTACAACTCGGAGCAGTGCACAGCTTTAGCCACTGCACAGGAATCAATAACATAAACAATGCAGAATCGAATCGTGACTAATCTTTATATGATCAAAGCCCAGCCATGCTAAAGAGCTCAACAGCTTTTGTAATGCCAACACACATAATATGCAATAAAAATGTGATGCAATGGTAAGAGATTAATATCTGGAAAGTTCACTTTTGAAAACCACTAAACTGATATTGTTGGCCGCTCAAACTTGCAAATATATCGTCCCCACCTCCTGGCTGGGAAGGAGTGAAGCCAGACCTACCAAGACCGGATCCCGATCCCATAGCCCTCCCCATGTAATATGATTGCGGAGGACCTTTCTCCTTTTCATCTGATCCATCACTCAATCCGCCTACAATCCCAACATCAGTCAGGGAGGCTTTCTTGGCTGCAAAACAACACAAAACTTGCGTCATTGACATACAAGGAAAAAGGAAAGGATTCAATCGGTTGTACATATTCCACTCTCATTCCATAAAGGTGAGGAGGGGCGGAAAAAGGGAAAAAAATGTGCTTATGCGGTAATAATAAAAGGAAGACAGAGAAAAAAGACTTTTAGATCGCATGTCATTCGTGAAAGCATAATTAAATAAGTCCACACAAACAGATGGGGGCAAGGGGGTAGTGGATGCACAAATATGCATTCCGACAAGAAATGTAATCTTAAAGCAAAGTCCAGTGCAGCACGAAAATGTACAAGAATTTAAAGCCTTCCTCATTCAGTGACACCCAAGGTATCGTGAACTAAAAGGCTGAAGCCCTGACCAATATGGATTTGATCGTTACCCCACCCCTTAGTCCAATCCTTACTACTGACTCCAACGCCTTGCATCTCCTCTGTAACAAAAAGAAGATGAAGCTGAATCCATGAGGACTTGATACATGAGTTCAATTCCCATCCTGCCTCTTTCTCCGTTCTCTACTCTCATCCCTAGTCTAATCTCCTTTGCAACAGCAAAAAAGGCTGAAATTCTTTGGAATAGATAGTGCATACATAATGGATGTACTCTAACAAACAAAAGATCATAGACTTTCAAAATATCTTCAGTATGTAGATATGACAAATGTATCGCACAGCAACTGATTAGATAATATTCCATTAAAAACCTGCTGAGGAGGTCAAGATAATAAACTTACGAGCAGATATATTGAGATCAATTAACCCACGGCTCAGCGAATCAGCCCAAATACCAGACTTCACCTGGAAAGCATCCTTTTTAGGGGGTATTCTAGACTCTGGCAAAGGGTTCACATTCATTTTATCTTGGATGCCATCAGTGCCAGGAACTTTTGAGGGCTGCTCAGATGCTGAATCAGAAGGAGAAGTAAATTCACCAAAAAGATCAGATCCATCAAAACTACCAAGTGGAACAGCAGTGAAGGGATCAATGGAGCTATTATTTTTAAGACCAGAGCTTTCTGACTTGCTGTCTGGCTGCAGAACTGGCTCAGAAACAGAAAGCAAGTCAACTGTTGCAGTAGCTGAGGATGGAATGGCCGGTTGGGAAGCAAACAGATCA